ACCCAAAGATGATTTAAACTTCACAGGCATTGTGGCACAGTGGTTAAGCTGCCATTTGGGGTACCCTCATCCCACAGGGGAGTGTCTGGGTTCAGGTCCCACCTCCTCTTCTGACCCAGCTCCCTGCTAATGCACCTGGAAGAGAGTGGATGATGGCCCGAGTACTTGAGTTCCTGCCACTGGTGTAGGGGACTGGGATGGTGCTCCTGGCTCCTGGCTTTGGTGGGGCCCAGTCCCAGCCATGTCAGCCATTTGGGGAGTGAACCAGTGGTTGGAAGGTCTCTCTCTCTCTGTGTGTGTCACTCTTTCAATTAAAAAAAAAAAAAGTAGATGGGAGGGATGTGCACAGATTATATGGAAATACAACGTCATTTTATATAGGGGACTTGAGCATGCACAGATTTTGGAATCCATGGAATTCCGTGGAACCAATCCCCTGTGGATACCAAGTGGACACTTACAGGGAATGAAATGACCCCGCCCGCATTGGTTTTTGGCCACAAAGATGTCAGTTTAATATGGTTTGACATAGGGTTATCCCCATTTTAAAGAGGAGGAGACTGAGGCTTAGGCCAAGGGTATAGAATTCAGCATGTGACTTTGTCCATGCCCTTTGTGTTGCCAGTGGTTGGGAGCAGATGTGCCAGGCTTCACGTCCTCAGCCGGGGCTGCTAGCAGGGTGGGGGTTGAAATCTTGAGCAATGTGAGGGCTGTGGCTGCTCCCAGCCTCCGGTGTACAGACAATACCCAGAGCCAGCTTCCCCATTTCTCAGCAAGGTGCACGCCTCTTAACCTTTAGGGGCAATTATCTGCAGGTCCCTGTGGTTTTCTCCAGGACCTGCAGAGGGGTGTTGTCTTCCTGGAACTGCACTGTTCTATGTTTAATTAGAGCTTTTCTCTCTGTGTGCTAGGCTCCTTAACCCACAGGTGTTCAGAGTGGTGAGGCGGCCTCTGGGCTGTCCTGGCTGGCTTTGTCCTAAAACAGGATGAAACTCCATCCTCTGCTCCTCCCTTCTTCCCTCCCTCCCCACGCTGCACCTACACCTTGCACAAGGTTTTCCATGTGAGAAACACCAGGTTTCTCTGGGTATGGGGAAACAATTCTATTTTTTTATTATTTGTTAAAGATTTACTTCTTTGATTTGAAAGGCAGAGTGACAGAGAGGGAAAAAGAGAGGTCTTCCATTTGCTGGCTCACTCCCCAATGGGCACAATGGCTGGGGCTGCGCCAGGCCAAAACCAGGAGTCAGGAGCTCCATCTGGGTCTCCCATGTTGGTGCAGGTGCCTCTCTCTGCTTCTACCTCTCTCTGTAACTGTTTTTCAAATAAATAAAACAAATCTTTTTAAGAAACTGCATTTGTTTTAGCTTTTAATGTGGTTACTCATGGTATGTACGGCTCTAATTATATTCCTATAAGGTGACTGGAGGAAGAGGGAAGGTAAGTACTCTGGCGTGACCCCAGGTACGAGGCTGAAGGATCTGACAAGGAGAGCAGTGGGCCTGCATTGAGAGGGAGGAGGAAGTGCAGGGCTGGGGGAGATGCTGATGAGTTTAGTTTTGGATGCTGCTTTTAGGGTGTCCCTGTAGATTCTGCTAATCCATCCAGTCACTCATCCACTCATCCACCCCATCCACTCATCTATCCATCCATCTGCCCGTTTGTCCGTCCGTCCATCCATCCATCCATCTCTTCCATCTGTTCCCTATGTATCCATCCATCCATCCACCCCACCCATCCATCCATCCATCCATCCATTCATCATCCATCTCTTCTATCTGTTCACCTATGTATCCATCCATCCATCCATCATCCATCTACCCATCTATCTGTTCACCTATGTATCCATCCATCTACCCAGCTATCCCTCTCCATCCATCTACCCATCTGTCCATCCATCCATCCATCCATTCATCCATCCAGCCAGCCACCCATCTATCCATCCATCTACCCATCTGTCCATCATCTATCCATCCATCCATCCACCCATCTTTCTTTCCTCCCTTCCTTCCCTCTATCTGTTTATCCACCCATCTGTCCATCCATTCATCTCACCATCCATCCAACGTTCCACTCGACCACTCATCTGTCTATACATTTTTCCTTCTTTCCTTCCTTCCTCCCCTCATCCTCCCATCTATCCACCCACACGTCCATCCACCCAGCACATGGTCACTGAATGCCTACTTCAGGCTCACGCACATGCTTTAGAACTCTGCAAGGTCCATGGAGTGGCCTCACTGCTCGGGAGCTTGTTAGGTGGAAAGAGTCCCGGCAGGACCCACTGTACCAGTCTGTGTCTTAACGAGTGATGCCTGCGTGCGTTAGAACTCAAGGGGGCTCTGCAGTATTTATTGCCAACACTGACAGGAGTTGTCATGCAGACTGGAGGAGAAGCAGGGCCAGTGCTGGCATCTGCCGGCGGCTCAACAAGGGCCACTTTCCATGTTTCATCTTGAAGCTCCTAGAACTGGGCTGGTTAGGACTGGATTTTGTCCTTTGTATGCAAAAGTCTTTTGTAACCAAGGACACCTGCTGGCCAGGGATGGTTTCCAGAAGGTTGCTTCCCCCTGTAGTGCACTTGGGGCTCAGGATTTGCAAACTTCCTAAAGCCTTAACACTGGTCCTTCTCCCCTCCCTCTTCTCCCCAGGGGCAGCTACGCACTCAGATCCCAGAGCTCTGCGAAGCCTGGTTGCAGCCCCAGGAATTCTGGGTGCTCAGCATGTGCCTGTGTATCAGCCTTCTGCAGAGGGGTTGCACCTTGATGTGCCCATCTTCCCAGGGACACGCCCACCATCCAGAGCTGGGAACACCAGTGACTCTTCTCTGGATGCCAGGAGACAGCTGAAGAAGAGAAGACCAGTCAGAGGAGCAGAGGCCAGCCCAATCCCCTCAATGTCGCCCGTGGGTCTGGACCATCCTATGAGCTCCTGGAGGAAAGGCACCAGAGGCCAGGAGTGGGCCCCAGGAGGCCCCGGGCCCCAGGTGCCTCACTCGCTCCATGCCCCGCCGTACCTTCCACGCTCAGGGCTGAGGCGCTGGCCAGGCCCCCACAGCAGGACCAGGCATGGTAAGTCCTTGCCTTTTTAATCTTCTGACGAGACCTTGAGTTGATTTATTGTCTTTGGTTTTCTGAGGTTCTTGAAATTATTTTTTTTAACTTAGTTTTTAAATTGGCAGGTAAGCATTGCATGTATACACTGTGCACAAGGACGGGCACACATTGCTTCAGGATGGGGTGGATGTGCAGCCGCGTATGCCTGGCTGTTGTGTAGTTCCAAGGACGTCAAGACATGCATCTGCACAGGCTGGGGTGGCGTCGGCCGAGGTGGCATTGGCTGAGCATCCGCTGTGGCCTCTTGGTGTGGTCGAGGGACGCGGTGAACAGGAGATGTCGTGGGCTGCTGCTGGGGCAGCAGGGTAGATTCGTCAGCTGTTTGTGGCTGTAATGAAATACCCAAGGCAGGCTAACTTCATAGAGCAGAGAGGTTCGCTTCGCTCATGGTTTCGGAGGCTGCAAGTCCAAACAGTGTGGTGCTGGCTCTTGCAAGGGCCCCGCAGCAGATGGCGAAGAGTGTGTGTGCGGCAGGACGTGACCACGTCGGCAGACAGGAAGCCGAGAGAGACTTGGGGTCAGAGGTCAGCTTTTGCACTGACAGTCTGCCCTCCCCAGAACTCACTCCAGGAAGCCAGTGTTCCCTTCCAAGGGCAGTGCCTTCAGCGAGCCAAGGACTTTTCACTAGGCCCTGCCTATTAAAAATTATTAATTTATTTTACTTATTTGCAAGACAGAGACACAGATAGTCAGACACGGCAAGACAGAGTCAGAATCAGATTTCTTATCTCTTGGAATGCCCACAAAAGCCAGGGCTGGGCCAAACCCAGCCAGGAGCTGGAACTCCATCTGAGTCTCCCATGTGGGTGGCAGGGATTCAAACACTGCTGCCTCCCAGAGTGTGCATTGGAAGGAAGCTGAGTGCGAACTTAAACCCAGGTGCTCTAATATGGGATGCCGGCATCCCCAACGGGTATCTTCACTGGTGTGCCAGATGCCCTCCCCTGAAGCTGTCATTTTTAAGCACACTTCGCATGTACGCTTTGAGCGTTTATCCTTTGGTTTCAGGGACGTTGAGGCTGTGATGAATGCCAGGAGGTAGGGTTGGGGTTTAGCCAAATTGGTCCCAGCCTCACACAGCTCTGTGGAGACGGGTCTTAAACAAGTTGTCCCAGTAATGATGAGACAGGGGACAGGCAAAGTACACAGCCCAGTTCTAGGAGCTTCAAGATGAAACATGGAAAGTGGCCCTTGTTGAGCCGCCGGCAGATGCTAGCACTGGCCCTGCTTCTCCTCCAGTCTGCATGACAACTCCTGTCAGTGTTGGCAATAAATACTGCAGAGCCCCCTTGAGTTCTATTGCACGCAGGCATCACTCGTGCTGGTGTGGGGTGTCTCTCTCACTACCTGCCACTGTTTTTATTTTATAAAGGTATATTTATGTGAAAGGTAGAGTGACATAGAGGGAAGGAGAAAGAGATCTTCCATTGCTGGCTGATTCCCCAAATGGCTTGGACAGTCAGTGCCAAGAGCCAGGAACTCCATCCGGGCCTCCCACATATGTGGCGGGGACCCAAGCACTTGGGTCATACTCTGCTGCTTTCCCAGGATAATTAGCAGGGAGCTGCATGGGAAGCGGAGCAGCCGGGACTTGCACTGGCGCTCAGATACAGGATGTCAGTGCCACAGGCCCACACCAGTACCTGCCATTTAAGCTGCCTTCAGGAGCCCACCGGCAAAGCAGGTGTGAGGAAGGCACAAGGGTCCCAGGGGTGCCTCGCCCCTGTCTTTCTTTCCAGCTCTTTCTTCCTTTCTTCCTCTTCTCCTCCTCCCCTCTGCCCTTCCTCCTCCCCCTTCTTCACATTTTTTTCTTCCCGTCCTCTCTGCCCCTTCCTGCTTCACTGATTTTAAAATACAAAGGTCCTTCAAGAAGTGCGTAGTAAATGGAAAGAAAAGTTGTTTATTTTGGTGCATTTTTTTAAAAATCTGGGCGTAGATGAGGCCTTTGAGAAATATGTGGAAAAGGCACAGAGACAGAAGTAGGCATGGCTTTCAGAAAGTTTCTTGCACCCAAAACACTTTGAATTAGTGAATTAATTTTGACAGGTGGAAAGGTGGGGAGAGAGCCCTCGCATCCCCTGTTTCATTCCCTGCAATGCCCGTGACAGCCAGGGCTGGTGCTGAGGCTGAGAATCAGAAGCTGGAAATCCCATCTGGGTCTCCCATGTGGGTGGCAGGGACTCAGGTCCTCGGGCCATCACCTGCTGCCTTCCCAGGCGCGTTAGCACGGAGCTGGGTCAGAAGCAGAGGAGCAGAAGCTCAAAGCCAGCATTCTGAGGGGCCGCTTCACCCACGGCACCACACCCCGCCCGCTCCTCAGAGCTTGTGCACACACTACTCCATGGGCCTGCCGCGCCTTTCTTGGCATGGGAACCCTCTTGTCATTCCAGTCTTGGCTCAAAGCTCACCTCTGCAGAGAAGCCTTCTGTCTGGAGCTGCCCCCTGTCCCTTGCTCACCCAGTTCTGGGCAGATTCATTCTTCTGCAGAGGCAGGAGGCCTAGACCTCACTGCTCTGTGTGCATCCTTTGTGCTGGGCACATACATTGCCACATGGCAGGTGTTCGGTAAATATTTGCCGAACGAGAGAGTGAATGAGTGGGGGAAGCTGGTGACAATGAGACAGCTACACTTGCTCTTTGAACTGGAAAACAGAGCAGACAGACAGGAACTGGTGCCACAGACACCCACAATTGTCCTGTTTTTGCTGGCCGGCCAGGAAGGGGTCAGCGTGGACCTCCCCCTGACCTGCCCTCGCAGAGACCTCGGGGAGGGGAAAGTCCCCGCTGCTTCCACTAGGACAGCATGCCCGGCTGGTCCTCATGGTCTCCTGGGCACACCTGTGGAAGCCAGCCGGCTCGGGTGACACCACAACAATGGGCTGTTAATCTCAAGTGTCCACAGGAGCCGCTGGCAAGGAAGTGTCCCGGTGTGGCCAGCCCAGCCCAGGAAAGCCCCGGCTGCCAAGGTGTGCTATAGGCTTCAGTAAGCCTCCTGGGGGGCTGGGGCTGGCCCCGCGTGCAGGGTTTGCCACCTCATTCAGTGCTCTGAGGTGCAGATGAGGCTGCTGAGGGTCAGTGGTGCGAGCTGTGTGGTTCCATCCCAGCTGGATCCAAAGCCAGGAAATCCATGAGAGCAGCATAAGCCACTACTCATGATACCGGCATCCCATACTGGAGTGTGGGTCTAAGTCCTGGCTGCTCTACTTCCAATCCAGCTTCCTGCTGATGCACCTGGGAAGGCAGCAGAAGATGGCCTAGGTACTCAGAGACCTGGATGGAGCTCTTGGCTCCTGGCTTTGGCTTAGCTCAGCCCTGGCTGTTGTGGGCATTTGGGGAAGGCACCAGAGGGTGGACGTTTCCTCTCCTCTCTCCCTCTTTCTCCCTCTCCCTCTGGATAAGTAAGTAAGTCCTAAAAAAAAACCCCAAAACCCAACACATTCAGGAAATTCAAAGCCAGAGACCAATGAGGATAACTGTTGGCCTCCGTGTCCCGTCCCCAACTTTCCCACCTCCACCTAAGCTCACAGGACGGTGCTGAGCCACCACTGGGGCTGTGAGTGTGCTGCAGGGAATGAAGCTGCCTCTCGGGTGTGTCCACACTGTGTATCAGAATGCAGGTTCAAGTTCATGCTCTCCTGCTTCCAATCCGGCTTGTTGCTGAGGCAGACCTGAGAGGGCAGCTCAAGTGCTTGGGTCCCTGCAGAAAGAAAGAAAGAAAGAGAGAGAGAGTGAGTCCATTTGCTGGTTCACTCCCCAAATGCCTGCAATATCCAGGCTGGGTCAGGCCAAAGCCAGAAGCCCAGAACTCCATCCAGATCTCCCACATACATGGCAGGGACCCCACTACTTGAGCTGTCACCTGCCGCCTCCCAGGGTGTGCATTAGCAGGGAGCTGGGACTGGAAGCAGGCACTTGGATAAAGGATGTGGACATCCCGAGTGGTGACTTCACTGCTGAGCCCAGTGCGTGCCTGCTGTGTGCTAGGTAGCCTGTGTGATCTTCACCAACCTGGAGTGTGTCATGATGGCGTGGGAGATGGTTACAAAGGGGCTCTGGACACGGGGAGGGCGGCTGTGTGCTGTGTCCGAGGGAGGCCTGGAGGATGGGGCACAGGGCAGCCAGGCCTTTGGAGGAGAGTGAAGGGGTGTAGGGAACGAGAGAGAGCAGGCCTTGGCGTGGGGCAGAGCCAGGCAAAGGCCTGCAGGTGAGGCCCAGCTCGTCCATGGGGCAGGTCCCAGATGGGGTGGGCCCAGGCTGGAGAGTCCCACTGATCTGGGTGATGAGCTGCCTGAGGATCGAGCAGAGGCGGCAGCTGTGTACATTTGAGAGTGGGGGGGTGGACTGAAAGGTGAGGGTGCAGTGATGTGTGAAATGTCAGGGTGGACAGAGGAGGGCGTGAACAGAGTCCCGAATCACCTGGAAGGTTCTGGAAAGGAGGGGGAGGCAGGATGGCATCTCCCTGAGCATGCCCCCCGTTTCCACCTCACCCCCCAAAGCTCAAGTACCCAGAAACAACTGCCCTGAGGAAGTCCTAGGACTTTTGTTTTGTTTGTATTGTTTGACTAGTGTTTTGAGGGCCTGTGTCGAGGCTGAGGGGATGTGGCCAGGTCTGAAGTGGGCACAGCCCCTGCTGTGCCCCCAGGCGTAGAGGGAGTCAGGCAGGCCACCTGATGGATAAAATAACTGGAAAGGGAGAGGCATAGGGATGTCTGAGTACCAGGTCAGGTCCCAGCTTGGCTTTTTTTTTTTTTTTTTTTTTTTAAGATTAAATTATTTATTTGAAAGGCAGAGTTAGAGAGAAAGAGAGAGTGAAAGAGAAAGATCTTCCCTCTGCTGGCTCACTCCCCAAATGAGTGCCCAGGGAGGCAGCAGGTGATGGCCCTAGGACTTGGGTCTCTGCCACCCATGCGGGAGACCCGGATAGAGTTCCTGGCTCTGGCTGTTGAGGGCATTTGGGGAGTGAACAAGCAGGTGGGAGAATTTTCTCTCTCTCTCTCTCCCTCCCTCCCTCTCTGTCTTTTAAATAAATAAGTAAAAAAGTAAAAAATAAAAACATTAGAAACAGAAAATTGACAAGTACTGGGGAGGGAATAAGGACAACGGAGTGACGAGTGATAGAAAGGGCAGCACAGTTCAGTGCGTGCTGAAGGCAGATCTCTGATTTGAGCAGGACAGGAAGCAGCCAGAAGAGACCTGGACAGGTGGAAGGGACAACACGTGCAAAGGCCCTGAGGTGGGCCTGAGGAGCGAGCAGGAACTGCTGTGAGAGCCAGGTGGGAGGCACAGTGTGTGCAAAGGTGGGGGGAGCCTGCCTACGAGTGTGCAGGGTCCACTGAGGACAGCAGGGAGAGCCCGGCCGATAGGCGGCTGGAGTCACATCCCCATCCAGGGCTCTGAAGGTCCTGGCAAGGGTCTGGGTTTTACTCCAAATGCACTGTGGTCACTGGGGAGCAGTGAGCAGGTGATGTGTAGAGAACGGCATGGAGCAAGGTGACAAAGGATGCACCTCTCAGGTGAAAAACTGCACTCTGCCAACTGCATATATTTGTTAAAGTTAGTTTTATTTTTTAAGTTTGCTTTATTGATTTGAGAGGCAGAGTGACACAGAGAGGGAGAGACGGGAAGAGAGAGGAATAGAGGGACCTCCCATTGACTGGTTCACTACCCAGATGGACACAACTGGATCAGGCTGAAGCTGGGAGCCAGGAGCTTCTTCCAGGTCTCCCATGTGGCTTCAGGGGTCCAAGGACTTGGGCCATTGCCTGCTGCTTTCCCAGGCACGTTAGCAGGGAGCTGGGTCAGAAGTAGAGCAGCCGGGACTAGAACCTGCATGAATCCTATATGGGATGCTGGCATAGCAGGCTTAACCCGCTGTGTGACACCGGCCCGAGGAGTTGACTCTAGAACCCTTTTTATTGGAAGATGGCACAGGCGTGGCTGTGGTGCAGCTGAGGGTGTAGAGTCTGCCCTTCCTCTGGGATAGGCTGCACCACCCGTGTTTGGGGGGCCAGCTGAGGGACTGTGCCGTGCACTGCAGGATACTGAACCTCCACCCTGGCCCCAGCCTCAAGGTGCCAACAGCTGTGCTCACCCCGGCTGCGTCATCTCCAGGCCTTGCCAGATGTCCCTGGGAGTGATGCCCTCCCTGAGATCCAGACGTTTCCTTTAGTCCCCACCTCCCAGATGATGCCCCCCAGCCCCCGGGGCACCGTCCTGCTGCCTGTCCCCGATCACTCATCCCACCTGCACTTGAGAATGCATGAAGAAAGCAAACCTGCAGTGCCCAGCTGTGCCGTCTTGGGCGACTTCCGCATGCCTCACTTTGCCCCGCTGTCAAATGGGTTTGTGAAAGCACCGCCTCACACAGCTACCCCGCGGAATGCGAAGTTGAGTCGTGAAGTTCTGAGAGGGGCGTGGCTCCAAAGGTCATCCCTGGATGCTGGGGTTCAAGGCTGGTGCTCTTAGCCCCCTGGCGCTCTTCTGTTTCCTTGATGCCCTGCATTCACTGCGTGCTCTGGAGATACCAGCGTTGTTGTTGTTGCCGTTGCCATGGGGATCTGAAGGCAGATCCCCGTCACTCCCTCTTGACCTCTAAGCCTGACTGTCCGGCTTCATTCTTTTTTTTTCCTGCGTGGAAAATTCCGTTTGAGAGGACGCACAGCTTCTCTGGGGCTCTCTTCACCTCTATGTTGGGGGCCTCTCCCTGGGTCTCCCCCCACCCTCTGCTTCTCAAAAAGAGAGAGAGAGAAGAGAGAAGAGGAGAGGAGAGAGAAGAAAGAGAAGAGAGAGAGGGAGAGAGGGAGAGAAGGAGAGAGGGAGAGAGAGAGAGAAATGGAGGGAAGGAGGGGCGGGGGGGATGAATCTTTCATCCACTGGTTCATTTCCCAAATGCCTGCAACAGTTAGGGCTGGGCCAGCCTGAAGCCAGGAGCCTGGAACTGCACCCGGGGCTCCCATGTGGGTGCAGGGGCCCAAGCACTTGGGCTATGTTCCGCTGCCTTTCCAGGCCATAGCAGGGAGCTGGATTGGAAGGAAGTGGGACAGCTGGGACATGAACCTGTGCTGCAGCCCCTCTTCCTCACCTCATAAAGCCACAGATGCATCCTGGGGTTTCTACCCACATGAACTCATCTCATCCTTGTCACCTCCCAATACCACTGACACAGGAATTTGGGGATTACGTTTCCAATGCACGAACCTTTGGGGGACACGCAGCATTGTCTGGTACCCTGGCGGCCACCAGCCCAGTGCCCTGCCCCTTGCTGTCACAGGATGTCCCCTGGGGAGGCATCGATATAGCAGCGAGAAACATCAAGCTTACAGCCCACCTCTGTCTGTTCTAGCTAGGTGACTTCGGGCACATCCTTGGCCTCAGCTTTCTCATCTGTGCAATGGAGCCATTCACCACAGCTACCTGTGCAGTAAAAAGTCTAGCTTGGTGATGGCTGGAGACCATGCCCGACTCACATAGCAGGTGCATGGACCCAGGGCCTCTTGTAAGGGCAGAGGGCAGTCCTCATGGACTGATGGACACTTGGGGATGCTTACTGCTGTGCCTTGGAGAAAGACAACTTGAAATGCTTATGTGGGATGAGCACTGGATAGGGAGTCCAGAGGCCTAGGGCCCAGTTCCAGCACTGTGATTGATCTTGAAGGTGCCTGGGGTGGGGGGAGGGAGGGAGAGAGAGAGAGAGAGAGAGTGTGTGTGTGTGTGTGTGTGTGTAGGGGCCTCAGTTTTCTCACCTGTGAAGTGGGGAGACAAACACAGTGACCACGCAGAAGACCTACTGGCTTGGTCTCTGTTCCTCCAGGAACAGGAACAGTGCCTTGGTGGAAAACTTGGAGGTCAGGGTTTAGATGAAGGCCATCCTCGCCTTCCTCCTTCCTTTCTCTCTGATGTCTCCAGCCACCGTCTTCTCCCCGTGACTCTCTCTTTCCCACACTCCATTGCCACTGCCCGGCCCCCGCCCCCCCAGGCTTCAGTTTGTTGATTGTGACATCTCCTCCAGGAAGCCTTCCCCAATTCCCCACCCCCTCCCAGGCTGGGTGTGGTGTCTCCCACTGACCTCTGCACTCCAGCCCTATCACATGTTCTTGTTCATGAGACCACCTCGACCAGGCTGCAAGCCCAGAGTCTGGTGGAGGCTCAAGGCGTGTGTGTGCTGAGGGTGAGCAGGAGTCAGTTACCAGGAAATTGTGTGGAGCAGTTGCTGATCAGCTTTCCTGGGGCCATGGGTCCCTGGGGTTTGGCTCCAGGTACAGGAGGTAGGAGGGGAGAGATGTGAGGCCCTGTGTCGTGCATTCTGAGGTCTGAATCTGCAGTCACTTGTACCCCAGGCACCTGCACCTGCATCCTGTTGGAGATAGGAGATGACAAACCCAGTTCATCTCTTAGCATCTGGACACATGATGGTTGTGGGGTGTTGTCTCCTGAGAACCCACACCAGGGAGAAATGTGGGGGCCACGGAGGGGCAGGGTCCTCAGAAAGGGTTGCTCTGAGCAGCTGGCAGGGTGGGGGGGACCCACCTCTGGGGCAGCTGCTACAATGTCCAGGTGTGGGTGATCAGCCCATGGAGGTTGTGGGGTTTGCAAGGAGGATGCAGAACCCCCCGAAGCCCCTCTTCACCTGTTCTAGCCCTTGGTCTCCCTTTCTGCCACAGTGAGGGCATCTGAAGGGTGTTGCTGGGCGGTGAGGGCTTGAAGCCCCCATACTGGGCTTCAAGTGGAGGCCTATGGGGAGCTCTGGAGGGGGCCCTGGCGGGTATGATAAGCCCAGCCCTCAGCTCCCCTGGGTGGGCAGGAGCTGCCATGGGGAAACGCAGCCTTCCTTGCACTCCTACGCGTTCCAGACCTGCCAGAGACAGCAGGGCCTCTCCCAGGAAGGATCCACCCAGCTCCAGTCTGGTGGTGCCAGCCCGAGATGAGGGTGTCAGGTAGAAGCTGGGGGCTTAGGAGAATGGGGGTAGATTTGTACCTAGGACTGCGACCTCCCTGGGTCCCTGTGGGGGTCTTAGTTTGGCAACTGACCTGGGAGCCAGCTGTTGCCTGGACAGGGGTTCGTATGGAGCCAACTGTTTTCCAGGGAGGGGTCTGTGGACCCCCTCCTCCTGGAACATGTGAGCCTGCAGGTGTTAGTCACCACACGGCCACTGAATAATGCAGGCTGACCTGGGCGGCAGAGGTGGCACCCACTGCTTTCCCCTAGGGCAGGCCCTGCCCCTCTTGGGAAATTGATAAGGTGTGTCCTCACTGCTCTGCCTGGAGCTGGGGCCAGGCTGGGCTGGGTTCAGTCGCAGGGACTCGCCCCGGGGGTGAGGAACACAGCCCCAGAGGGCAGGAGGATGGGCCAGGAGGAGCCTGCACACCCGGGGCACTGGCATGGGCACCTGATTGTTCTGGCTGTGAGCCTCCTCGTCACCTGCAGGCCAGGTAAGCGGGGCTGGGCCGGGGCCAGGTGAGGAGGAGAGGGCGGGATAGCACAGGTGCCTCAGGCCTCCCGTGTGCCCGTGGGTGGCATTCCGGAGGTCTTCTTCTCTCTGTCCCAGGTGACCCCTGGACGCCTCTCTTTCTGCATGGACTTGGGCGACTCACTCACACCCTCATTCCCTTGGGGGTATTCACTGACATCTCCATGCCCAGCTCTTGGGTGGAAGGGTAGGGTGGGAAGAGGAACAGGTCCTAGCCCCACAGGTGGGCGAGACAGAAGGCCGGTAAGACAGGGTGTGAGGCTGAGCGATAGCTAAAGGAACAGGAAGCTGAGGGTCGGGGGGTGGGGAGACACACTTTGCATAAACTGCATAGGGGCTCAGGGGCTGGCCAGGAATTCAGCGGGCACGGTTCTGTGGAAGGGCGTCTGTGGCAAGAGAGCTGGGAGGGCAGGGGCTGGGGGGCAGGAAGCACCAGGTGCACATGGGCAGCTGAGTATGGGTGAGTGTATATGCTGAGCCTCGGGGGCTGTTCGGGGAGGTGCAGAGGCAGCAAGGCAGCCTGGGAAGGAGAGAAGAGGTGCGTTCATCCCTGGATCCAAGGGAAGGCCTTTCTGGTCTGTGGGTCTCTTGGTGGGGGTAGGGGTCAGCATGGGACTTGCTGCCCAGAGGCAGACCCCCGGCCTCACGGGAAGGCTGGGGTCCACTTGGGGGAGGTGGACGTTGTTGAGGAGGGGGCACCAGGCTCTCTGGAAGGTGCAGGTCCTCTACACTTGGGCCCAGGGCTGCCCAGTCCCACTAATGTTTCATGCTGCCCAGGGAAGTGGACTGTGCAGGCAGACAAAACCCTCCAGTGCCCAAGACAACCTGGAGCTTGTGGAAAAGGCATGCATGCTGTGCTGTACCGGGGCTGGGGTTTCTGTTTATTTACTTGTTGAGAGAGGAGAAGGAGGAGAGCGGGGGGGGAGGGGAGGAGGAGGAGGAAGGAAGGACTGTGGCTCTTCCTGGCTTAGCCTGGAAACACAGGCCACAAGGCACAGGGGTGGGGCAGTGTGCAGCCCGAGGTGGGCGCGACCACCACCTTGCCCCTCCTGGGCCCCGAGGAACTGGAGAAGGTGCCCCAGTACCCCCAGTCTTGAGTCATCAAGACTCTGGGCTGCCAGAGCTTTGCGGTTGGAGGCCATTGTCACCGAGGCCACACAATGGGCTGAATGGCAGGCGGTCCCAAATTGTCCAGTCATCACAGACACAGACTGGTTAACTGCTTTTGTCCTCGTGGTCTACTCAGGAGCGGATGCTGGGGGTTCCTGGCCCAGGGAGGTCCAGTGGCCTGGGCTGATGCTCCTCCTTCCCACAGGGCCAGGGACAACCCTTCCGGCCACCCCAGGCCCTCCCAACGGCTTCCCTGACATAGGATTTCTGACATAAAATACCTGGGAACTCCCTTAATTCCTAGGCAGAAAACTCAGTCTGCTGTTGATGGATGCGCTGTGTGTCTTTGGGCCAGGCACTTCACTTCTCTGAGTTTCTACCTCCCCAAAGAGCAAGGCTTTAAAGGTAAATGCCAGAGCTGTAGGCAGCAGTGAGGCTGTCTGGTCTCACCTTGGAGGACCTGGGTTCGAGTCCCGGCTCCACTCCTGACTCCAGCTTCCTGCTGATGTGACCCTGGGAGGCAGCAGGTGGACAGCTCACCAGGACTTCGGCCCCTGCCACTCACACAACACACCTAGATGGAGTTCCCACTCCTGGCTTCAGCCTGGCCAGGCCTGTTTATTGTGGGCACCTGGGGAGTGAATCAGTAGATGGGTGCTCTCTTGTCTCAGCTACATCGACTGACTGGCAGATGGGTAGTTAGACAGGCAGGTAGTCCAGAGCTGGGACTGCCTGATACCCCCTGCCCTGGGCCCCTTCTCTCCTGTCTTTGTGCTGCTCACTCACCGTGAGCCTGGGTGTTCTCTGCGTCATCTTGCTCCAGCCGGTGGCACCTGGACCTCAGGTTTCATAGAGGACACTGAGGCCAGGGAGTTGGAGCCTTCTGTGTGAAGCCGCAGAGCAAGGGTGGAAGCCCAGCTCCTGGGAGCCTCAGGAAGACAGTGAGGCGGGTGATGGCACCCGTCCTGCCGGTGTCTGGTGCAGTTCTCCTTGGCAAACACCTCTGTGAACACACGGAGGAGCGCAGCATGCTCGGTGGAGACCCCTCCCCACGGCTCCCCCCGCCCCCTGAGGTTTCCGGTACCCCTGATAATGAAAAGGGAACGTGGAAAATTCCAGAAGTCAACAATCCGTAGGTTTCAGATTGTGCGTCACTGTGAGTGGCAGGCTGAGGTCTGGCTCTGCCTAGCTCTGCCCTCCCGGGAATGGGACCCCTGCCTTTGTCCAGCACCTCCAAGCTGGAGCCTGCCTATCAGTTCCCCACACGCTGCCTCGGGACAGGTGGGCTACTGCGCCGTCTAGCCACTGACGTCACTGCTCTCGTTTATCAGCTTTGTTTTCAGTCTCTCACTGTGCCTCATTTATACAATGGGCTGCATCACAGACAAGGAGGAGGGCGCTTTGGAAAGCTTGTGCGGAATGGAGTTAAAAGATGTTTACTCTGGTAGAGAAACTTTGAAATCCAGGCATATGACAGCTCTTGAAATACACATGGTATGGATGGGAGTTTTCTCTCTGCCTCTGAAGTAAGAATTTTAAAAAGAGACATTCATAGGATTACAAAGTAGACATTTCAAAGTAGATATCTTTGAATCGCATTATCCATGAACTTTCTTTGAAGCCCCTTGTATGTCTAGAAAAAAACATAATTTGTTCCTCCATGTGTATCTTTCCCCCACAATCCACATTTTTCCATGAACTTCTTGAAGACCCTCTTCTGCAGGTATTTAAATTTTCTTTTTAAATATTTATTTTATTTATTTAAAAGGCAGAGTTACAGAGATAGACACAGAGAGAGGTCTTCCATCCAAGGGTTCACTCCCCAAATGGCCACAATGGCCAAGGCCAGGCCAAAGCCAGGAGCCGGGAGCTTCTCCCAGGTCTCCCACGTGGGTACAGGGGCCCAAACACTTGGGCCATCTCTTGCTGCTTTCCCAGGTGCATTAGCAGGGAGCTGGATTGGCAGTGGAACATCTGGGAATCAAACGGGTACCTAAATTGGATGCTGGCACTGCAGGCAATAGCTTTACCCGCTATGCCACAGTGCTGGCCCCTGGTTTCAGTCTTGGCTTCTCTCCTGACGCCAGCTCTCTGCTAATGGGCACTCTGGGCAGCAGCAGTGATGGCTCAAGTCCTTGGGTCACTGTCACCCATGTGGGAGACCTGGATGCAGTTCCTGGCTCCTGGCTTTGACTGGCTCAGTCCCAGAGGTTGTGGGAATTTGGGAAGTGAACCAGTGAGTAGGATATCTGTCTGCCTTTGTCTCTCTTTTAAGTAAATTTTTAAAAAATGTAAGAGGTTTTTTTTTTTTAAAAGTTCATGAAAATGAGTATTATAGATGAGAACTCTATCTCTCTCACAAATATACACAGTTTTTTTTTTTTAAAGATCTATTTGTTTATTTAAAAGGCAGATTTAGAGAGAGGCATAAGCAGAAAGAGAGAGAGCGAGAGCAAGCGAATGAGCGAGAGAAAGAGGTTTTCCATCCACTGGTTCACTCCCCAGATGCTGCAATGGCCAGAGCTGAGCTGATCCAAAGCCAGGGGCCAGGAGCTTCCCCCAGGTCTCCCACGCAGGTTCAGGGGCCCAAGTACTTGTGCCACTTTCCACTGCTTTCCCAGGCCATAGCAGAGAGCTGGATGGGAAATGGAGTAGCTGGGACTAGAGCAGGCGTCCAAATGGGATGCCAGCACTGCAGGCAGAGTTTCTACCCGCTACGCCACAGCACTGGTCCCTAAATACAAATTTTTTAAAAAGAGAAAAATGTGTATTACAAAAAACTGCATTGATTTCAAAATATTTTGCACCAAAATTCCATGTGAACCTCTTCACATATCCTCATATGTATAGGAAAAACACAGCTTATTCTTATTTGTGTGTGTGTGTGTGTGTGTGTGTGTGTATATATATGCATTTCCATGAATTTTTTGAATACCCCTATGATACATAGATTTTAATTTCTTTTGCCTGACTCAGGGACTCCCGCAAGAAAGCACTATTGCTGACCACAGGCTCTGAGGTCCAGATAACCGTGCCTGCTTTACAGGTCGGAGGACAGACAGTCAAAGAGGAAGGACCCCAGGAAGGCAGGCAGGATGGAGCTGGGCTTTAAAACTTGTGTATAGGGGCTGGTGCTGTGGCATGGCAGGTAAAGCTGAGGCCTGCAGGGCCAGCATCCCATATGGGTGCCAGTTTGAGTCCCGGCTGCTCTACTTCCAAACCAGGTCTCTGTTATGGCCTGGGAAAACAGTGGAAGATGGCCCAAATCCTTGGGCCCCTGTACCCACATGGGAGACTTGGAAGAACCTCCTAGCTCCTGGCTTCAGATCAGCGTAGCTCTGGCCGTTGCGGCAATCTGGGGAGTGATCCAGTGGATGGAAGACCTCTCTCTTTCTGCCTCTCTGTAACTCTGCTTTTCAAACAAATAAATAAATCTTTTAAAAAACAAACCAACAAAAAACACCTGTGTATAAAATTTTTACGTATTTTAAAGGGAGAGCAAGAGCGAGAGCGAGAGAGAGAGAGGGAGCTGCTGATAATTCACTCCCTAAATGCCTACAATAGCTGGGGACTGGGCCAGGCTGCAGCCATGAGCCAGGAGCTCCATCTAGGCCTCCCACAGGAGTGACAGGGACCCATCTGCTTGAGCCCTCCCTTGCTCTCTGCCTTCATAGGAAGCTAGAGCGAGGAGTGGCGCTCAGATGTGAGATGTGGGCATCTCAACCACTTCACCCAGTGACCACCCCTGGGGCTGGGCCGCTAACCCAGCCTCTCTGACTCCTGGCACTGGGTTCTGCATCCCACTGCCACTGTGCAGGGCTCCCCCTCACCTCCCAGCTCTCTGGAGCCCCTCACGCCTATAGCTCAGAACTGCCCTCAGGAGCCTAAACTCATCCCAGGCCCAGAGCTGTGGGGGCAAATGCCAGGGCCAGACGGGTGTCCCAGGAGGGTGACCAGCCATCCTGGTCTCAGTGTGGGAGTTCCTGGGATGTGAGAATGTCACAGGCGCTCGGGGGGCAATTTGGTCACCTCCTATGCTCTTTCCCTTATTCTCTGCAGCCCAATCAGTACCTGGCACATAGCAGTTGTCTGCAGTAAATGGTACATGAATGAACTTAAAAAAAAAAAAAAACAACTGGGAAGCAGAGATGCACACATACACACAGGTAGATAAAGACAGACAGACAGACAGACAGAACCCCCATCTGATGGCTCACTTCCCAGATGCCCGCAACAGCCCCAGGCAGGCGGCAACCAGAGCCAGGCTGAGTGGCTGACAGGAACTCAGTGACTTGAGCCATCCCCTGCTGCCTTCCAGGGTGTGCATTAGCAGGAGGCTGGAGTTTGGAGTGGAGCTGAGATGAAGCCAGGCGTTCTGACGTTGGATGTGGGCCCCCAACCAGCATCCTAACTACTAGGCCGGTTCCCTGCTCCTGGGCTACTTTTTGTCTGGCTTTATGGAGGTCTATTGGACAAGTAAGAATTGTACGTGTTCATACATAACACACATGGCACACTGTGACAGGTGTGTACATTGTGAAGTAATTAACACGTCCACTGCCTCCCATGGCTACCTTTTGCTGGGTGACAATGTGCAGGAATGACTGTTTAGGGCTAGCGCTGTAGCATAGTAGGCTAAGCCGCTGCATGCAGTGCCAGTATCCCATATGGGCTCTCATTTGAGTCCTAACTGCTCTGTTTCCAATCCAGCTCCCTGCTGATGGCCTGGGAAAGGAGCAGAAGATGGCCCAAGTCCTTGGGTCCCTGTACCCACGTGGAAGACCTGGAAGAATCTCCTGGCTCTTGGCTTCAGATTGGCCCAGCTCTGGCCATTGCAGCTATTTGTGGAGTGAACCAGCAGATAGATGACCTCACTCTGTGTCTCTCCGTCTGTCTGTAACTCTGCCTCCCAAATACATAAACAAACCTTTAGAAAAAATTGCCTCCTTTAGCAAGCTGAGTACATAGCAGAGTATCACAACCTGGGCTTCATGCTGTGTGTGAAGCCCCAAGACCCTATTCATCCTGCAGAACTGAAACTTGATACATTTGACCAATATTTCCTTATTTTCTCCCACTGCCCTGTAGCCCCTAGCCACCACTGTTCTACTCTCTGCTATTGGGAGTTTGAATATTTTATATTTTAAGTTGATTTGTTATTATTATTTGCAAGGCAGGAGAGGGATAGAGAGATCTTCCATCTACTGGTTCACCACCCAAATGCCCACAACAGCCAGAGCTGGGTTAGGCTGAAGCCAGAAGCATGGAGACTCCATTTAGGTCTCCCACGTGGGTGGCAGGAACCCAAGTACTTGGCCCATCACTGCTGCCTCCCAGGGTGCCCAGGAAGCTGGATCCAAAGCGGGGATGGGATCTGACGTGGGATGCAGGTGTCACACACAGCAGCTTAACCCGCAGCACAGCAACACCGACTGCAAGGAGTGTGGCATGTTTCGATTTCACACGGGAGTGAGATTGTGCAGTGTGTGTGTGTCCCTGTGCCTGCTTATCTTACTTAGCACGGTGTCCTCCGGGTCTATCCCTGCTGTTTGGAACAACTGGATTTCCTCCTTTGAGGAGGCTGACTGGTACGCCACTGTGCATCTGCACGTTTTCTCTTCCCATCTCTCCATAAGCAGACACTCTGTCTGTTTCCATGTCTTGGCTATTGTGAATAAGGCTTCAGTGCACACGGGAGTATAGATGTCTCTTTGAGAAATAGATTTCATATCTGCAGGTATGGGAGGGCTGCATATCATAGTATTTTCAGTTTTCTGAGTCACCTTGGGTCATTGATTATTTTTTTTAAAGATTTATTTATTAATTTGAGAGGTAGAGTTACAGACATAGAGAGGGAAAGACAGAGAGAAAGGTCTGACATCGGCTAATTCACTCCCCAAATGGCTTCAACAGCTGGAGCTGGGCAGATCCAAAGCCAGAAGATTCTTCTGAGTCTTCCACATGACTGCAGGAGCCCAAGCACTTGGGCCATCTTCTACTGCTTTCCCAGGCCATAGCAGAGAGCAGGATCGGAAGTGGAGCAGCCAGGACTTGAACTGATGCCCATATGGGATGCTGGCACTGCAGGCTGAGGCTTAGCCTACTAGGCCACAGTGCCAGCCTCTACTTCTTCTTTAAAATCCATTTTATTTCAGAATAGTTGTAAGTTTATAAAACAAAACTCGTGAGAATTCCCACATACCTAAGAGGATTACTGAGTTTAGCTCTGTGTGTGCTTAGTAAGCGTCTCCCCTGTAAACACCTCCTATTAACATCTTTGACACAGTTAATGACCCACACCAGATTCCCCTATTTTTTTTTAACAACCAAAACCCCCTTTTCCCTCCCAGACTCTAGTAATGAATATTCCGTGTTCAGAGTGAGGTGTTTTGTTCGTTTGTTTAATTTTATTCTCCACATAGAAGATAGAACACGCAGCATTTGTCTTTCTGAGTTCAGCTTATTTCACTCAACGTGATGCCCTCCAGTTCCATCCACTTTGCTGCAAATGATGGGATTTCATTCTTTTTTTAATAGCTGAATAATATTCTATTGTTTATAGATGCCAGTTTTCTTTATCCATTCATCTGATGATGGACACCTCAGTTGATTCCATATTCTAAGGCAGCAAGTGAGCAGCATCTCCATCTCATCAGACCCACACAGGGGGTTGGCGTTGGGGTGCAGTGGGTTAAGCTGTTGCCTGTGACACCAGAAACCCATATCAGTGCCTGCTCAAGTCCTGGCTGCTCCACTTCTGATCTAGCTCCATGTTAATGCACCTGGGAAAGCAGCAGAGGATGGCCCAAGTACTTGGGCTCCTGCACTCACATGGGAGACTGGATGGAGTCTAGGTTCCCAGCTTTGACCTGGTTCATCCCTGGCCATTGTAGCCATTTGGGAAGTAAACCAGTGGATGGAAGAGATCTCTCTCTCTCTGTCTCTCTCTCTGTCTGTGTCTGTCTGTCTCTCCCTCTGTGCCTTTTTTTTTTTTTTTTTTGACAGGCAGAGTGGACAGTGAGAGAGATAGAGAGAAAGGTCTTCCTTTGCCATTGGTTCACCCTCCAGTGGCTGCTGCGGCCTGCACGCTGCGGCCGGTGCACTGCGCTGATCCAAAGCCAGGAGCCAGGTGCTTCTCCTGGTCTCCCATGCGGCTGCAGGGCCCAAGCACTTGGGCCATCCCCCACTGCGCTTCCGGGCCACAGCAGAGAGCTGGCCTGGAAGAGAGGCAACCGGGACAGAATTCGGCGCCCTGACCGGGACTAGAACCCAGTGTGCTGGCACCGCAGGTGGAGGATTAGCCTATTGAGCCGTGGCGTCGGTCCCTCTGAGCCTTCTAAATAAAACAAAAAATAAATATTAAAAACAAAGAGAAGCAAAGCCACATTAGAGGGTGCTTCCCTCTTCCTCTGTGCCTGGGTTCTAGAGCTGTCCTTGCCTTCCCCAGGAGACGGGAGAAGCACCTCCTCTCTCACCCCCGCACAAGGAGGAATCTCCACCTCCTGTGTGTGTGGGTCCTCCTTTTCCTCATGCTGAAAGGGCCCTGTGCCCTTCTACTCTGTCAGGATGGGCCCTCCCCTGTGTACTGAATGCTTACTGTACTTAGGAGGGTACTCCAAAAAGTTCATGGGAAAACAAAACTAAAAGCATAAACTTATTTTGATGCCATGGCTAAGATACTGTTTGGGATGCCCACATCCTGTTCCCGAGGGCCTGTATTCAAGTCCCTGTTCCTCATCCAGCTCCCTACTTGTGCATACCCTGGGAGACAGCAGGTGAGTGTCCTTGGGTCTCTGCCACCTATAGGACAGATCTGGATGGGATGACCTGCCCTCAGCTTTGGCCTGGCCCAGCCCAGGTTGTTAAAAGCATCTGGGGAATGAATGAGTAGATGGAAAATTTCTATCTATCTCTGCCTTTTTTGTGTCTCTCTGCCTTTCAAAGAAAATTAAACAAATTTTTTAAAAAGCTTGTTTTGCTGCAAAAAGTCTTGAAATCCATGCATACAAAGGGCCCTCTAAAACTTCATGGAAAATGCGTGCTATGGAAAATATGAATGAATTTCAAGATCTTTTTGTACCAAAATCAAGTTCTCTTTTAGAAGTTATTTGAGACACACATACCTACACACACACACACACACACACACACACTTAGCTGCCATCTACTGGTTGTTCCCTCCCCAAAGGCCTGCAACAGGAGACTGGGCTGAGTGCCAGGGCCAGGAAGCAGAAGATGCAACCTAAATGTCCAACATGGGTGTCAAGAACCCAACTACTTGAGCCATCACTGCCACCTCCAGCAGGAAGCTGGAGTCAGGAGCCATGGGATGTAGGTGTCCCAACTGTTAAACTAAATACCCACACCCAAAGTAAACTTATTGTTCATTCTGTTTTTTTTTTCTGTGAACTTTCTGAAGTCCCCTGGAAGACATTTATTTGCCCAGGGAATAGTTATTGAGTAGCTACCACGTGCCAAGCAGTGTTCTGGGCACTGGGGTTCTGGCTGTGCACGAAGACCTCTGCTGAGCTGGCATTCCGTGAAGGCAGACACAGCATAAACCGTGGTGGTGCTGCGCACACCAGGCAGTACTGAGACGGCGACAAGGAGAAAAGACACAGGGTTGGGAATCAGGGGTGCGTGAGTGTGGGGCGGGGCAGGTCAGTGAAGCTGTGACTTGCAAGGGTGGGGAGCCGTTGCTCTGCATTCACAGCTAACTCATCTGTTAAACCTCGTGGCACCAACTGGGCATGTGTATCCTGCTTTGTTGTGTATTTAGTATTCTGCCTTTCCTGTGGGGAAACAGGCTTTAAGAAGGGAGTTGAGGCAGATCTAGGATGAAGCCCAGAGCTCTAGGACTTGAGTCCCTGCCCAGTGCGTGTGAGTGTGGGGAGTCTGACTGTGGGGAGTCTGAGTGTTAGTGTGTCTGTGTGTCTGTGGGTGCTTTGTGAGTAGCTGAAAGTGTGAATGTGTGTGAGTCTGCGGATACATGTGAGACTCTAAGTATGTGCATTTTGAGTGCACAACTCTTCGTGAATAAACATGACAGCATGTGCATGGATGTGTGTGTGTGTGTGTGTGTGTGTGTGTGTGTATGCGTCTCTGCATGTACGCAGGTTCTTCAGAAACACTGCTGGAAAATGGAATTCAACCGTAGATTTATTTTGGTGCAAAAAACTTTGGAAACCCATGCATCGTTTTTTCATCATACACGTTTTCCAGGAGTGTTCGAAGGCCACTTGTAGTACATGTCTAGTTCAGTGCTTCAGTGATGGTAGTTAATCACTGTGGCTGGAGATGCCTGGATGGGTCTGGGAACTGGGAAAACAAGACTGTAGAGGACATCACCCCAGGGTAAGGAAACCAAGCCCCCACTTTTCTTGGGTCAAGACCTGTCCCAGGGGAGGATTTAGAGGCCCTCCCACCCCCCGCCATGGACACAAACTCGAGCTGCCATTGAGATGTGAGGGAAACATCTGGCCATCAGGAACCTGGGTACCAGAAATGTGTGTGTGTGTGTGTGTGTGTGTGTGTGTTTAATTTTATTTACAAGAGAGAGAGAATGCGCACTTCAGTCTACTGGTTTACTCTCTAAATGCCCACAGTGGTTGGGACTGAGCCGGGGCTAAAGCCAGGAACTCCATCCAGATCTCCCATGTGGATGGCAGAGACCCAAGTGTTTAAGCCATCACCGCTGACTCCTGGGGTCTGCATTAGAGGGAGCTGGAGCTGGCATTCTGATATGGGATGCAGGCTGGTGGATCCCAACTGGTGACTTAACTGCTAAGCCAAATGCTCACCCATGGGTACCAAAATGCACCCCCATCCATGTCTTCTATCCTTTCTTTTATCTGAGGAACTAGCTACAAAGAGAGGGAAAAGTGCCTCATTGGACATAGCCCTTGCTATGTCTCTGCCTTCCTGGCTGCTTCCTCTGAACATTACATATTGACTCCCTATGGTATGTTTTGAGGTTCCTGTGGTTCTAGCATCAGCCTAGACACTGGATTCGGTTTTGAAAGGATTCCTTTACCCCTAAAGATGACAACTGTCGCTGTCAGGGTCTCAGGGACAGCGAATAGTCCCATAGAAACTGCTCTTGATGTCCCAGTCTGCCTTGTCCACAGACAAGTTTCCTTCCATGTATTCATCTCATAGCCATAGGTCACTCAGTTGTAATAATGAGAATTCCTGTTATGTTGGACTGACTCCTTCTAAGAACTGTAGCTGCGCCGCCGCTGGGGTGTAGCAGGTAAAGCTGCTGCCTGCAATGCCAGCATCCCATATGGGTGCTGGTTCTAGTCCTGGCTGCTTCACTTCTGATCCAGCTCCCTGCTAATGTGCCTGGGAAAGCAGTGGAATATGGCCCAAGTGCTTGGGCCTTTGCCACCTGTCGCTCCCCCTCTTTGTGGAGGAACGACACTAAACCCTGCCTAAGCTTCACATCCAAGTCACGGCACCATTATGTCGCTCCCCGTCTTCGTGGAGGAACGACACAGGACCCTGCGTTGTTCTTTTGTCTGCTCGGCCCTCCCCGGGTTTGCTGCTGGTTCTTCCCGGGTTGGCTACCATCCCTTCCACCACCGTGGAAGGGCGGTTCCCCCTGCCACTTTCCCCACTTCCGCGGGGGAGCGGCACACCGCCGGCCGGCTCTTCTCGGGGGCTGCACAGGTGTTCCCTTAGATGTTCCCCTTAGATGTTCCTGGTGAATGCCGTCTCTCTCCTCCTTTATAGTCCTCCTCCGCCAATCCCAACTCTGCTACCCACACGCCGAGTACGCTGCTCTCCTCCAATCAGGAGCAGCTCCTGCAGCTTGTCAAGTTGGTGAGAGGCAGCTGGGTAGAAGCTGTTTGCTCCTCTCCCAGCGCTATATTGTGGGAGAGCAGATATATAGAATAAGTCTTAATTCCAGTAACAGTATAGTCCGAGTTGCTCCCCACAGCCACCCACATGGGGGACCCAGATTAAGTTCCTGACTCCTGGCTTCTGCCTGGCCCAACCCTGAGCCATTGCAGCCATCTAAGGAGTGAAGCAGCAATGGAAGATATCTCTGTCTTTCCCTCTCTCTCTGTAATGCTGCTTTTCAAATACATAAATCAATCTCTTAAAAAACAAAAACAAAAACAAAACCTGTAGCTGTAGGAGAATATTTTAAAAAGCTCGTAGAAGGCAGGTGTTTGGCAGAGCAATGAAGACACCATGGGGGTTCCTCCATTTCATATTGCAGTGCCTGGGTGTGAGACCTCTCTCTACTTCCAATTCCAGCTTCTTGCTAGGCACACCCTGGGAGGCAACAGGTAATAGCTCAGATGTATGGGCCCCTGCCACTCATAGGGGAGATCTAGATTGAAGCCCTGGCTCCCAGGTTAGGCCTGGCCCAATCCTGGCTGTTGCAGCCATTTTTTATTTATTTTTCTTTTCACATGTATTTTATTATGAAAAAATCTGATACCATTCTATATGAATGCATCCAGCAGCATGGTTTGTATGAGTTAAGTATTTTTGTAGTTTTGATAAATGAATTAACTTTTAGCCAACTGGCAGAAGAATGTCTTGAAAAAATATACCCAGGCTCAGTCATTTTTTTTCAAAACTTAATATAAGATGGGCGGTTACTAATTCATCCTGACAGGAAGTCAGGCTATTTACAAGGAGGGTTCAAAGACACCTGTCACTGTGTTTGATGTCACTTTGTTTATTTTAGTTTTACTGTTTTGTCGCAGGCATTTAGAGAGGGAGCCCAGCAGAGGGAAGATCTCTCTGTCCGTCCGTCCATCCGTCTTGTCTCTGTCTCTTGCTTTAAGTGCATAAATAAACATTTGTTAACAGCTTGTGGGAAGCAGAGTTAAAAGAAAAGCAAATTTTGGTGTAAACTTTTTGGGGTGCATGTGGCTGAGGGGTCTTCAAGGACCCAAGGGGCATGTACAGTATGAAAAAACTGCATGGATTTTAAACAGTTTCTGCATCACAATAAACATCATTCCGATCCATTTCCCCAGGGACTTCCTGAAGTCCCCTCATAAGCACAGGAATAGATCAAATCTATTTGACTTGATCTAACTTTAGTAAACTATACAACCAGACTGCAGACAGACTCAAATAAAGCTCTCCTGCCTGAGGGCTGTTCTGAGTTCATCTACACTGGATTCTAGGAAGCCCACAGTGTGGGGGGGACACCGGGAACTCTCCTCTGAGAACAAGGAAGGTGGGGGGATGGGTGTGGCTGAGACCCAGGCCCCACTCCTTTCTCTCCTGGAGATGGTGCAGTCTCTCCTAGTGCAGAGGGCCTGGGCACTTGTCAGAGTTGCTTCAGGAGGGGTCCTGTACTGTGGCAAGAGTTGAGAGAGAGCCCTGCCCAGCCCCTGTGCTGGTGAGGACTGGTGTGCCCATGGCAGTCACTCCCATGCCACTGACTGTCCAGGGATGCATGGCACCAACTGCCCTGGACCCTGAGGGTGCGGCCTGTGTTGAAATGGATGTGGGAGAGGTCCCAGGCTCTGCTGTATTCTCCCCAAGTCATTGACCTCGACACAGTTTCTGATGGTGAAGAGCCTCAAGTGGGCGAGCTGAAGCAGGGGGTAGGGGCAGGCAGACAAGTGGGAAAGGGGTCGTTTCTGTCACTCTGTGTCCTTGGCTTTATAAAAGAGTAAGTGGAGACACGCAGTGTTGTTAGATCACGGCCTTAGACTCTGATTCATAACTGAAATCTCAGAGGTTCAGGTGCTGGCTTCTCTGCACTTAGGGGAAGCCCTGATGGCCCAAGACCTGGTTGAGTCCACTGGACTGAGCTGTGTCCATGGGACTTGGGCTGCTCTGTGTGACTAGCTGAGTGGGAGGTAGCAGGGTGGCCACACTGTGTCCAGTGAAAGTTGCAGAATATTGAGTATTTCCTGTAGCTGAAGCGTAACCTGTATATTTTGGTGGAACTGGTGATCGGCAGGCCATTTCTTTCTATGAGAGTCGCAGAGCTGGGTGGCGCTTCCAGAAGCCTGGGGCACAAATTCAGTCCTTCTCAGTTAAAGTTTACCCCTTCGCAACCCAGATGAGAAATGGGAAAGAACAGAAGGAGGTGCAGGGGAAAACAGTATTTCTTGATGACTTCTTTGGACGCTGTGGCGCAGGCAGGTCATGCGGGGCTGCATGGTGAGTCTGTGTGGGAAATGGGAGCCACAGCCTCCTGGGCAGGGATCTCGCTGGCTCTGAGAGTTTCCTGAGAGATGACCACACTTTTGGGCAAAGCTCCTGAAGACGTGTCATGGACAAGTCCTCCTTCCCCGGGTCCCTCAACCTGCAGTAACCCCCGCCTCCCCTCTTTACTCCACATTATCAGGGAGTAGCTGCACCACTTCTCTGCCTGTGCCCTCATCACTCAGCACGGAGGTGCTGCACACAAGTCCCACACCGAGGACCAGAACAACTCCAAATACCAGGAGCACCTCGGGGGAGATTCTGGTCACTTGCAAAGCTGCTGCCGACACCGAAAGAGTGCATCCTTCTGAGAGGACGGAGGTGACCGATCTGGGGACCAAAAACTCTGCGCAGCCGCCACATTCCTCCACTGCACCGGACTTGGAGACACGCAAGGTCACACCACTGGGGGTTTCCACAGTCCCCACAGGGGATGCAAGTGTTTCCAGGGAATCTCCTCCTCACACTGGACAAGCTTCCTCCCTGACAAGTGGGTTTCTGGAGACCAAAGCATCTAAAGAGACCACGTCAACTGCAGGATCGGGCGCCGGCCTTTCTGAGCTGCCTGCCAGTGCTTCTGCTGGGGACTCCAGGACAGGGGTCATCTCCTTCAGCGAAGCACTCAATGCTACCCCGACCCAATCCACAGAGCCACCCCACAGCCCCGCTGGAAAGCTCTCCAGGCTTTCCGATTCCCCAGCCAGGAGAGAATCTGCAGATGTGACCGTGGCCACCTACTTGGGACATCCTGAGGCTACCACACCCAGTACACTCCCTGGGGAAAAGATAACCACAGCATGGCAGGCAGGGACCACATCCATGGAGACTAACCACCCAGAGGAGACCGGTCTCCTGAGCATGGGCCCTGAGCATGTGTCCAGGGCAGGCATGGCCTCTGTGGAGGAAGCAGCCTCTGTCTCTGCCCTGCTGTCCTCCCCTGCGGTGACCCCACCTTCTCCTTCTCCTGCTCCCTCCACACTACCCGTCAGCAGCCCTTCCTCTCCTCTGGCCACTTCTGCCCAGCCTACCACTGTTCTCATAAAGGCCACAGAAGTTTTAAGCCCAAGCCCAGAACCAGAATCCAGTCCATCTCTAAATCTGAGTGGCACCCCAGTTGGTGCACTGGCCTCCTCTGAAGTCATGCCAGAGTCAGAGAACGTCCCCCCTTCCTCAGAGGCAGCAGCGACCATGGAGGAGACCACCAGTCCTGCACAAGGATCCCCTTCCTCTGCCCCAGCTGACCCAGAGTCATCCACAGCCACATCTCCACAGGTGGCTGCCTCCCCCTTGGGGGACACAAGGTTTCTCCCATCCACCCCTGACTTCTTTGACACTACCAGGACACACAGAGGGTCAGCATCCTCTCTGACCACTGGGCTGAGGGCAACCAGCTCCTCTGAGGGAAGCAGCCCAGCAAGAGAGGCCAGCTCTGGCCCTTCTGAAGGGGCCACTGGTGTTGCCACTACAGTGTCCAGGGTGGAAGTCATCTCTTCTGGAAAGACACCTGCACCACAGCCAGGCGGAACCCTACAGTCACCAGGCACCCCCACTGGAGTGACCTCTGGGTTCTCCGGTTCCTCTGTCACGGCAGCATCTGTGGGCATGACCATCACCAAGTCAGGTCATGGTGGAGCCACACCACAGAGGACCCTCACTGGGGACACACTAACCAGAACTGCACGGGTGGGAGCCCCCTCAGCTGTGACTCCGAGGCTGCTTCAATCAGAGGTCACCACTCTTGGAAACACAGGTCCTGAGAATGTGTCAAGGACTCTCCCAGCCTCTATGGATGAAACAACTTCTGGTTCCTCCGTGCTGGCTTCCCCTTCCATGACCCCACATCCTGCGTCCTCCACCTTAGCAGAGGACAGCACCTCTTTCTCTCTCCCCACTCTGTCACTGCTCTCGTCCGGCCTGAAGAAGATCACGGAGGATCTGAGCACCAGCTTGGAAGAGGAAACCAGATCACCTTCCTTTCTAACCACAGGACTGAGGGAGACTGGCAGCTCAGAGACCAGTAGCTGGACTGCAGAGGTCAGCACGGACCTCTCTGCATTGCCCACTGCTGCTACCACTGCGGTGTTCCGGACGGAAGGCATCTCTTCCAGCCACACACACATTGCTAGCCCAGGTCAGTTCACAGAGTCACCACGCACTCACACAGGGAAGATCTCCCTGTTCTCTAAGTCCCCTGTCGTGACAGAATCTGTGCAGGTGACCATCTCTACCCAAACAAGTGCTCTGGGGACAGCAATTCAGGGCATGCTCACTGGGGGAATGTCGCCCTCAACACGGCAGGCAGGGACCACATCCATGGAGACTGACCACCCAGAGGAGACCGGTCTCCTGAGCACGGGCCCTGATCATGTGTCCAGGGCAGGCATGGCCTCTGTGGAGGAAGCAGCCTCTGTCTCTGCCCTGCTGTCCTCCCCTGTGGTGACCTCACCTTCTCCTGCTCCCTCCATGCTACCCGTGAGCAGCCCTTCCTCTCCTCTGGCCACTTCTGCCCAGCCTACCCCTGTTCTCATGAAGACCACAGAAGTTTTAAGCCCAAGCCCAGAACCAGAATCCAGTCCATCTCCACATCTGAGTAGCATCCCAGTTAGTGTATGGGTCTCTTCTGAAGTCACCCCAGAGTCAGAGAATGTTCCTCCTACCTCAGAAGTAGCAGCAAGCATGGTGGAGACCACCAGTGCTGCACAAGGACCCACTTCCTCTGCTCCAGCTGACCTAGAGTCATCCACAGCCACGTCTCCACAGGTGGCCGCCTCTGCCTTAGGGGACACAAGTATTTCCCCATCAACCCCTGACCTCTTTGATACTGCAAGGACACACAGAGGGCCAGCGTCCTCCCTGACCACTGGACTGACAGCAACCAGCCTCTCTGGGGGGACCAGCTCCACAGTAGGGACAAGCACTGGCCTTTCTCGTGCTACCACTGTGGTGTCCTGGACAGAAGTCCTCTCTTCTGGTGAGACACCTGCCCGACAGCCAGCTGGAACCCCACAGTCACCAGACACCACCACTAGAAAGACGTCTGGATTCTTTAGCTCCTCTGTCACGACAGAACCTGCAGACGTGACCATTCCTGCCAGGTCTGGGCACTCCGAGGGTGTGACACCCAGCACCATCACTGGGGAAACATCAACCACAGCCCCATGGCAACAGTTCCCTATGGGTGAGACTCAGAGTCCTGACTCGGAAACGACCACTCCAACGAGGCAGAATCCTGAGCAGGCATCAAGGGCACGTTCAACCCCTGTGGGCGAAACAGCCGCTGATGGATCCTGGAAACCGTTCTACGATGCAGCCTCATCTTCTCCTGCCACCTTCATAACACCGGAGGGTAGCCGCTCATCACATGATACCATTTCTTCACTGCTCACATCTGGTGGGGTGAAGACCACGGACGCTCTGAGCACAAGCTCAGGAGCTGGAACCAGGCCACCTCTAAATGTGAGTACTGCCTCACTTGAAATACTGAGTACCTCTGTAGACGTCACAGATGCTCGGAGAGTCCATCCGTCCTCAGAAGCAGCCACAAGCACACGGGACCCTACAAGTCCTGGGCAGGAGGCATACTCCTCTGTCCCAGCTGGCCCAGACACTCGCAGAGGCACATCGTCACAGGTCTCCCATGTCACCATGAGACAGACACGCGTTTCTACCGTGGGGCGTGCATTGCCTGACACTGTGCAGACACGCACAGAGCCAACTTCCTCTCTAATTAGGAGACTGAGGGATGCCAGCACTCCTGAGATGTCCATAGGGACAGCCACTGGCCTTGCTGACATTCCCAGTGGTCCTACCACAGTGGTCTCAGGCACAGAAGTTGTCTCCTCTGGGGGAAATTCCCTCCTTGGCCTCGCTCGAGCCACAGGGTCTGCAGATACCCCCGCTGGAGACACTGCTGCTGGGTTCTCCCGTTCCCCTGTCTTGTCTGAATCTGTGAGCCTGACCGTCAGCACACAGACTGATCATCCCAGGACCGCAACACGGAGCATGCTCACTGGGGACACGGCAGCCACAACATGGTGGACAAGGACCACATCAGAGGGGATCCGGAGTCTCCCCCACTCAGAGATGGGAGGCCTTCTGGGCACAAGTCCTGAGTATGTGTCACGGCGGAGCACGGCCTCTGTCTCTGCCTTGGTGTCTCTCCCCACCACGACCTCACCTTCGCCTTCGTCTGTGACTGTTTCTCCTCGGCTCACCACTGGTCTCGTGAAGACCACGGAAGCTGTGAGCGCAAGCCCAGAACCAGAATCCAGTCCTTCTCCAAATCTGAGTAGCACCTCAGTTAGTGTACTGGCCTCCTCCGAAGTCACCCCAGTGTCAGAGAATGTTCCCCCTTCCTCAGAGGCAGCAGCGAGCACAGTGGAGCCCACCAGACCTGGACAAGGGGCCCCTTCCTCTGCCCCAGCTGACCCAGAGTCATCCACAGCCACATCTCCACAGGGGGCTGCCTCCGCCTCGGGGGACACAAGTATTTCCCCATCAAATCCCGACTTCTCAGATATGGAGAGGATGCACGGAGGGCAAACCCCTTCCCTGACCACTGGATGGAGAGCAGCCAGCACCCCTGAGGCAACCAGCTCAGCAGCAGAGACCAGCACTGGCCTTATTGAAGGGGCCACGGGTGCCTCCACGGAGGTAGCCAGGAGCAAACTCATCTCTTCTGGCAGCACCTTTGTCCCTCCCACAACTCAGTACACACAGTGGCCAGACGTCACTATTAGAAAGACCTCTGGGGTCTCCAGCTTCCCTGTGAGGACAGAGTCTGCAGACATGACCACGTCCACTCAGTCAGGTCATGGCAGGGATCTCCGTGGGCACACGGCATGGGTGGGGACCCCCTCGAGTGTGACTCAGGGTCTTCCTCACTCGGACGTCACCACTCCTAGGGGCAGAGGTCCTGTGGATGTGTCAAGGACTCGCCAGCCCTCAGTGGATACAATCTCTGACCCTCCCCAGCCGTCTGCTCCTGCTGGGACCTCACTTCCTGCCTCCTCCATGTTGGCAGTGGCTGGCACCTCCTTATCTCCTTCCATGCCTTCACTGCCCATGGCTGGCCTGGAGAAGGCCACAGAGGATTCGAGCACGCGCGTGGAAGTGGAGATGATCACCAGAGTGAGGGAGACCAGTGGCCCTGAGGCGGCCAGGTCAAATGCAGAGACCAGCACTGCCCTTTCTGAATTGCCTGCTGGAGCTACCACTGAGGAGACCAGGATGGAAGCCATCACTTCTAGCCCAGCTCAATCCACGGTTTCACCACACTCCCTCACTGGAAAGATCTCCAGGTTCTCCAAGTATCCTATCATGACAGGCTCTGCACACGTGACCATCACCACCAAAACAAGTACCCTGGGAGCACCAACACAGAGCACCCTCCCTGGGGAAAAGGCGACCACCTCATCAATGGAGACGCAGCCCTTGGAGGGGACAGGTCGTCCAAGCACGGGCCCTGAGGGTGCACTGAGACCACACACTGCCTCTGTGGGGGAAGCAGCCTCCAGCTCTGCCCTCCTGGCTTTCCCTGCCGTGGCCTCACCTTCTGCTGCCTCTACACCATCAGAGAGCAGCTCCCCCTCCTCTCTGACTGAGTCTGCACAGCTCACCTCTGGTCTGACGGGGCACACACAGCTTTTGAACGCAAGCTGGCAACCATTATCCAGTCCTTCTCTAAACCCGAGTAGCACTTCAGTGAACATGCTGGCCTCCTCTGAAGTCACCCCAGAGTCAGAGAACATTCCCTCTTCCCCAGAGGCATCGGCGACCACAGCGGAGACCACCAGACCTGGAAAAGAGGCCCCTTCCTCTGCCCTAGCTGACCCAGCGTCACCCACAGCCACATCCCCACAGGAGGCCGCCTCCACCTTGGGGGACACAAGGTTTCTCCCACTAATCCCCGACCTTTCCGACACTGAAAGGACACACAGAGAGTCAGCCTCTGCCCTGACCAGTGGACTGAGAGCAACCAGGTCCTCCAAGGAGAGCCACTCCACACCAGAGACTGGCGCTGAGCTTTCTGACTTGTCCACTGCTACCCCTGCGGTGTCTGGGAAGGAAGCCACCTCCTCTAATCAAGCACACATTGCTAGCCCAGCTCAACCCACAGAATCACCCCACACTCACACTGGGGAGACCTTGTTCTCTAAGTCCCCTCAAGTTACAGAATCTGTACCTGTGACTGTCAGCACTGAAGCAGGACCTCCCAGGACGACAACACAGAGCATCTTTGCTGGGGAAAAGGCAACCACAGCGTGGCGGGCAGGGACCACATCCATGGAGACTGACCACCCAGAGACCAGTCTCCTGAGCATGGGTCCTGAGCATGTGTCCAGGGCAGGCACGGCCTCTGTGGAGGAAGCAGCCTCTGTCTCTGCCCTGCTGTCCTCCCCTGCGGTGACCCCACCTTCTCCTGCTCCCTCCATGCTACCTGTGAGCAGCCCCTCCTCTCCTCTGGCCACTTCTGCCCAGCTCACCTCTGGTCTGAAGAAGACCACAGAAGCTTTAATCCCAAGCCTGGAACCAGAAACCAACTTGTCTCTAAATTTCAGTAGCACCTCAGTTAGTGTACTGGGCTCCTCTGAAGTCACCCCAGAGTCAGAGAACATTCCCCCTTCCTCAGAGGCAGCAGCGAGCACAGTGGAGCCCACCAGACCTGGACAAGGGGCCCCTTCCTCTGCCCCAGCTGACCCAGAGTCATCCACAGCCACGTCTCCACAGGGGGCTGCCTCCGCCTCGGGGGACACAAGTATTTCCCCATCAAATCCCGACTTCTCAGACATGGAGAGGATGCACGGAGGGCAAACCCCTTCCCTGACCACTGGATGGAGAGCAGCCAGCACCCCTGAGGCGACCGGATTGGCAGCAGAGACCAGCGCTGGCCCTTCTGAAGGGGCCACCGGTGCTGCCACTGTGGTGTCCAGGACAGAGGTCATCTCTTCTGGCAGGACACCCAACCCACAGTCAACTCAACCCACATGGTCAGCAGATGGCGCAGCTGGGAAGATCTCTGGGTTCTCTAGCTCCTCTGTGATGATGCGATCTTCACACACAACCATCTCCACCCAGGCTGGTCATCAGGGGGCAGCAACCCACGATGCCTCCAACACGGTCTTGTGTGTCGAGACCCCCTCCACCGCCACTCCGCACCTTCCTCATTCAGAGGTCACTTTTCTTGGGAGCAGGGGGCCTGAGAACGTGTCAAGGACCCTGCCACTCTCTGTGGATAAAACAGCTTCAGAGCCTTTCCTGCTCTCGTCCTCGACCAAGACCTCACCTGCCATGTCCACGTTAGCAGAGGACAGCCCCACTTTGGCTCTCACCACTTCACTGCTCATGCCCGGCCTGAAGGGGACCCCAGAGGATCTGACCACCAGCCCGGGAGAGAAAACCAGCCCACCTTTCTTGCTGACCATGAGAGTGACAGGGACCAGCAGCTCTGAGGCAACCGGCTCAAGTGCAGAGGCCAGCAGTGACCTTTTTGCCTCTCCTGCTGGTGCTGCCACTGAGGCTCCCAGGACGGAAGTCTTCTCCTCTAGCCATGCACACGTCCCAAGCTTTGTTGCACCCACAGAGTCACCACAACTCCCCACTGGAAAGCTCTCCAGGCTCTCTAACTCCCCTGCCTTGATAGAAACTGCAGGCCTGAGCATCACCACCCCAACGGGACATTTCAAGGCTACAACACACAGCGCCCTGTCTGTAGCAAAGTCAACCACAGTGTCACGGACAAGGTCCACTGTGGCCGTGACAGCGAGTCTTCCTCACTCAGAAGGGACTGCTCTCAGAGGCACAGGTCCTGGGGGCGTGTCAAGGACAAGCCCACCCTCTCTGGGTAAAACGACTTCTGACTCTCTGCTGGCCTTCGCTTCCATGACCTCACCCCCTGAACTCTCTCCCTTAGCAGGGGACAGCACCTCTTCTCTTTCCACTCCTTCGCTGCTCACGCCTGGCCTGAAGACAACCACGGAGGATTTGAGCACCAGCCTGGAAGAGGACACCAGGCTGCCTTCCTTCCTGACCACGGGACTGAGCGAGCCCAGCAGCTCTGAGGCAGGCAACCCAGCTCCACAGGCCAGCAGGGACGTTTCTGAAATGCCAGCTGGTGCGACCACTGTGGTGTCCAGGACAGAAGTCAACTCAGGCCAAGCACACATCCCTAGCCCAGTTCAGCCCACAGCATCACCACACACCCACCCGGGAAGCACCTCCAGGGCCTCTAACTCTCCTGCCACTGGAGCATCTGTAGACATGACCACTGCCACCCCAGCAAGTCATGCTGAGGACACAACACACAGCACTCTCACTGGGGGAAAGTCAGCCACCAGCTCTCGGGCACAGCCTCATGCAGCCGAGACTCAGAGTGCTCCCAACTCAGAAATGAACACCTTTATGCGCGGGAGTCCCGAGAACGTGTCCAGGGCAAGCACGGCCCCTGTGGAGGCGACAACGTCTGGCGTTTCCCCCAGAACATGGCATGATGGGACCTCACCTCCTGTGGCCTCCGTACTTCCCAAGAGCAGCCGCCCTTCCCACCTCACTGTTTCTTCACTGCTCACCCCTGGCAGGCTGAAGAGCACCGACGTTCCGACCACAGGCTCTGCAGCTGGAATGGGGTTGTCTCTGAACTTGAGTGCCACCCTACTCACAGTACAGCCCGCCTCTGCGGACACCACAGACACAGAGAAAGTCGGTTCTTCAGAAAGTGCTGCGGCTGCGTGGCACACAAGTCCTGGACAGGAGTCATATCTGTCCGTTCCAGCTGGCCCAGAGACAAGCACAGCTGTACCTTCAGGGGTTTCTGATGCCACCATGGGGGATGCCAGTGTGCTTACCACGGTGCCTGCCTTACCCGACACCAGCAGGACGCACACAGAGACAGGTAGACTGAAGGAGACCAGCGCCTCTGAGGTCTCCACAGCAGGGATAGACACAGGCACTGTCGACGTGCCAGCTGGTGCTACTGACGAGCCCTCTAGGACAGAGCCCGCCTCCTCTGTTGGAAATCCCACCCTGGGCATTGCTGAGCCCACAGAGTCACCAGAGCCCCCCGGGGGAAAGATCACAGAGCTCCCTGGCTACCCTGTCACGACTGAGACTGCAGGCCTGACCATTGCCACCCGCTCAGGTCACTTCAGGACTGCAACACAGAGGCCCCTCACCAGGGGCATGTTTACAACAGCACAACGGGCTGGGGCCACGTCTGTGGGGACTCAGGGTCTCCCCCACTCAGAGGTGACAGGGCTCCTGGGCACAAGTCCCGGGAATGTGCTGAGGGTGAGCAGGGCCTCTGAGGAGGAGGCAACCACAGTGTCTGCCCTGCTGTTGCTCCCTGCCACGGCCTCACCCTCTCCTGCTCCCTCCGTGTTACCTGCGAGCAGCCCCTCCGCTCCTCTCACAGCTTCTGCCCTGCTCATCTCTGCTCTGGGGAAGACCACAGAAGTTGTAAGCCCAAGCCCAGAACCAGAATCCAGTCCATCTCTAAATCTGAGCAGTGCCCCAGTTAGCGCACTGGCCTCCTCTGAAGTCACCCCAGAGTCAGAGAACGTTCCCCCTTCCTCAGAGGCAGCAGCGACCACAGTGGAGGCCACTAGACCTGGACAAAGATCCCCTTCCTCTGCCCCAGCTGACCCAGAGTCATCCATAGCCACATCTCCACAGGTAGCTGCCTCTGCCTTGGGGGACACAAGGTTTCTCCCATCAACCCCTGATTTCTTTGACACTACCAGGACACACAGAGGGTCAGCCTCCTCTCTGACCACTGGGCTGAGGGCAACCAGCTCCTCTGAGGGAAGCAGCTCAGTAAGAGAGGCCAGCGCTGGCCCTTCTGAAGAGGCCACCGGTGCTGCCACTGCAGTGTCCCAGACAGAAACCCTCTCCTCTTGGAAGACAGCCGTCCCACATCCAGCTCGGCACCCACAGTCACCAGACGCCCCCACTGGAACCATCATCTCTGGGTCCTCTAGCTCCACTGTCATGATGGAGTCTGCAGACACAACCACCTCCACCCAGTCAGGCCACCGTGAAAGCCCGTCACTCAGAACTGCAGGGCTGGGAACCACCTCAGGCATGACTCAGAGTCTTCCTCACTCGGCCACTGTTAGGAGCAGGCGTCCTGAGGATGTGTCAAGAACAAGTGCACCCTCTGCGGATGAAATGGCCTTCGATGTTTCCTGGAAACCCTCCTATGAAGGGCCCTCCACTTCTCCTCTCTCCTCTATATCACCAGAGAGTAGCTCCACTCCCCTGGCTACTGTTTCATCACTGCTCAGTTCTGAAAAGGTAAAGGGCACAGATATTTTGAACCCAAGTCTAGACGCTGGAGCCAGGCCACGTCTAAATATGATTACCACATCACCTGCAACACACGCCACTTCTGCAGACAGCACAAATGCAGAGAAGGTTCACCAGTCTTCAGAAAGAGCCTTGCCCACGGTGGACACCAATAGTCCTGGACAGGAATTGTATTCCTCCGTCCCGGCTGACCCAGAGAAAAACACAACCACATCTTCACAGGTTTTCAAAGGCACCATGGAGCACACAAATGTTTCCACCACAAAGGTGGCCTTATCTGACTCTGACAGGACACATACGGAGCCAACGTCCTCCGTGACCAGCAGATCAAAGGAGACCAGCCCCTCTGAGACAACAGTGTCTGATGCAGGGAAAGTGACTGGCCTTTCTGATGTACCCACTGCTGCTACTACTGACAGCTCCAGGACAGAAGCCATCTCCTCTGGAGGAAACACCATCTTGGGCTCTGCTCAATCCACAGAATCACCAGACACCCCTGCTGGAAAGATCTCCAGCTCCTCTGCTGTATCAAAATCTGCAGATCTGACCATCGCCACACAGACAGGCCCCCCTGGGACTATGACAAAGAGCACCCTCACTGGGGACACATCGGCCACAGCATGGCAGGCAGCGACTCTGTTGACGGGGACTCAGCGCCTCCCCCACTCAGAGGCGACTGGTCATCTGAGCATGCATCCTGAGACTGAGTCCAGATCAGGCATGGCCTCCGTGAACGCAGCGACCTATGCACCTGCCACGGCCTCACCTTCTCCCACTTCCTCCGCGTCACCAGGGAGCAGCCCCTCCTCTCCTCTCACTGTTTCTTCACTGCTTACTGCAGGTTGGATAAAGACTGAAAGTGTTTTAAGCACAATCCGCCCACCAGAAACAAGTCCATCTCCAGTGTTGAGTAGAACCTCAGTTAGTGTACTGGACTCCTCTGAAGTCACCCCAGAGTCAGAGAACATTCTCCCTTCCTCAGAGGCAGCAGCGAGCACAGTGGAGACTCCCAGTCCTGGACAAGGGGCCCCTTCCTCTGCCCCAGCTGACCCAGAGTCATCCACAGCCACGTCTCCACAGGTGACTGCCTCCCCCTTGGGGGACACAAGTATTTCCGCAACAACCCCTGACCTCTTTGATACCGCAAGGACTCACAGACAGCCAACTTCTTCCAGGTCCACTGGATTGAGAACTACAAGCTACTCTGAGGGGACCAGTTCCCCAGCAGAGGCAAGCACTGGCTTTTCTGGAGGGGCCTCTGGTGCTGCCACTGAGGTATCCAGGACACCAGTCATCTACTCTGGCAGCACACCCGCCCCACAGTCAGCTCACATCCTGCAGTCACCAGCCACCCCCACCGGAAAGACCTCTGGGTTGTCCAGCTCCTCGGTCACGGTGGGTCCTGGGGACATAGGCGTCTCCGTCCAGTCAGGTCACCATGGGGCAACAACACAGAGGACATTCACTGAGGATACATCAGTTGGGACCACAGGGCTGGGGACTCCTTTGACTGTGACACTGAGTCTTCCTCACACAGAGAACGCCGCTCTTAGGAGGAGGGGTCCTGAGAATGTACCAAGGACCCGCCCAACCCCTATGGCTAAAACAACTTCTGAGTCTTCCCTGCTGTCTTCCTCTGCCACGACCTCACCTGCTGTGTCCACGTTAGCGGAGGACAGCCCCTCTCTTGCTCTTACCACTTCTTCACTGCTCACATCGGGCCCAAAGGAGACCACAGAAGATTTTAGCACCAGCCCGGAAGAGAAGACCAGTCTACCTTCTTTCCTGACCAAGGGACTGGGGGAGACCAGCGGCTCTGATGCAACTGGTTCAACTGCAGAGGCCAGCACTGACCTTTCAGAATTGCCCACTGGTGCCACCACTGAGGTTATTGGGACAGAAGTCTTCTCTTCTAGCCAAGTGCACATCCCAAGCCCAACTCAACCCCTGGAGCCAGCACACACCCCCACTGGAAAGATCTCCAGGTTCTCCAGCTCTCCTGCTGTGACAGAAACTGGGGATGTGACCAATGTCACCCAAACTGGTCGCACTGAAAGTACAACACACAGCACCCTAGCTGGGGAAAAGTCAACCACACACTCAGCGGCAGGATCTCATAGGGCTGTGACTCATGGCCCTTCCAACTCAGAAATGACCACTCTTGTGAGCTGGAGTCCTGAGCATGTCTCTTGGGCAAGCACAGCCTCTGGTGATGCCCACAAATCCTTCCATGATGAGACTGCACCTCCTGTTGCCTCCATGTTACCCGAAAGCAGCCCCTCGTCTTTTCCAACCGTCTCTTCACTGCTCACCGCGAGTCTCACAAAGACCACGGAAGTCTTTAGCACGAGCCAGCAACCAGAGACCGTGTTGTCCCTAAATCTGAGTAGCACCTCAGTTAATGTGTTGGCAGATTCAGACAAAGTTCTTCCTTCCTCAGTCGCAACAGTGACCAAAGTGGAGACCGCCAGTCCTGGACAAGAATCACCTTCCTCTGGTCCAGCTGACCCAGAGTCATCCAAAGCCACAGCTCCACAGGTCACTCTGCCCACTTTGGGGGATGCAAGTATTTCCCTATCAACCCCTGCCTTTTATGAATCTTCAGGAATGCACAGGGGGCCAACAGCCTTCCTGACCACAGCACTGAAGACAAACACAGTCTCCAAAGGAACTGGCTTGACGGCAGAGACCAGCGCCAGCCCTTCTGGAGGGGCCCCCGGTGCTGCCACAGAGGTGCCCAGGACAGAAGTCATCTCTTCTGGCAGCACGACTGTGCTGCAAGGTCAAGGTGCACAATCATCACGCATCACTGCCGGGAAGGCCTCTGTGTCCTCCAGCTCTCCTGCTGCGACAGAAACTGTGGGTGTGACCATCTCCCTCCAGGCAGGTCCTCATGGGGCTACCACACGGAGGACCCTCAGCAGCGAAGCAACCAGAACCACGTGGGTGAAGACCCCCACGACCCTGACTCGGGGCCTTCCTCACTCGGAGATGGCTGCTCTTAGGAGTGCAGGTCCCGAGCCTGTGCCGGGGACTCACCCACCTTCTGGGGATACACCAAGTTCTTCGCCTTTCCTGCTGTCTTCCCCTGTGGCGACTTCACCCCCTCTGGCTGCTGCTGAAGCAGAGGGCAGCTCCCCTTTATCTCTTACCACTTCTTCACTGCTCACCTCTGGCCTGAGCGCAAGTCAGGGCACAGCGGCCAGTCAGCTTGCTTCAGTGACCGTGAGACTGAGGGAGGCCAGAAGCCCCGAGGCAACCAGCTCAGCTGCACAGACCGGCACTGACATTTCTCAGCTGTCCACTGGTGCTACCGCTGAGGTGCGTGGGACAGAAGTCATCTCCTCTAGCCAAGCGCCCATCCCCGACCCAGCTCAGTCTACAGAGTCACCACACACCCACACTGGAAAGATCTCTGGGTTCTCTAAGTCCCCGGTCGTGATGGGGTCTTCAGAGATTACTATCACCCCCCAGTCAGCTCGCCATACAGACACGACACAGAGCACTCTTCCTGGGGACACATCAACCACAAACTGGTGGGCAAGCAGCACCTCGACCATGACCCAGAGTCTGCCCCACTCGGAGGTGAGCACTCTTAGAAGCAGCAGTCCTGACATCATATCTGGGTCAACCCTTCCCTCTGTGCACAAAACCATCTCTGACTCTCCCATAGTGTCTCCACCTGCCACGACCTCACCCCTTGATGTCTCCTCCCCATCAAAAGAAAGTAGTCCCTTCTCTCCAGTTACCATTTCTTCATTGCTCACAATGGATCTGGGTAAGACCACAGATGTCTTGACTACAAGCCTTAAACCAGTAACAAGTCAGCCTCCAGGTCTCAGCAGCTCCTCAACTGAAATTGTTACCACCTCTGAGGTCACAACAGCGCCTCCGTCTTCTGACCCAGGGATGACCCTCGTGGCATCCAGGATTCTTGGAGCTGAAGCACGTTCCTCTGTCCCACCTGACTCAGAGGCATCCAGAGCCATATCCTCCCTGGTTTCTGCCACGACCTTGGGAGACACAGGTGTTGCCACCGGAACGGCTGCCTTCTCTGACATTAAGATGCCTACTTCACCAGCCTTATCCCAGACTAGGGGACCGATGGAGACCAGCTCCACTGGGACTACCATCTCCACTGCAGGAAAAACCGCTGGGCATTCTGACGTGCCCACCGGAGCTTTTACAGAGATCACCAGGACAGAAGCTATTTCCTCTGGGGGAAATCCCACCTCTGGCCTTGCTCAATCTACAGAGTCTCCAGATACCCACAGTGGAAAAATGACAAGGTTCCCTATCTCTCCTGTTGTAACAGAACAGGCACAGCTGACGACCACCACTCAAATTACTCACCTCGGGACTGCAGCACCAAGCACTCTCGCTGCAGGAAAGCAAACCCCAGCGTGGCTGGTGGGGACTCAGAGTGGCCTAGAGGTGACCGATCTCCTGAGCATGGGCCCTGAGAATGTGCTGAGGGCAACCACGGCCTCTGTAGATGAAGCAACCTCTGCCTTTACCATGCAGTCTCTCCCTGCCATGGCCTCACCTCCTGTTCCCTCCACCTTACCCGAGGGCAGCCCCTCCTCTCCTCTCATCGCTTCTTCCCAGCTCACCTCCACTCTGAGGAAGACCACAGAAGTCTTGAAGACAAGCCAGTCCCCGGAATCCAGTCCATCTCTAAATCTGAGCAGTGCCGCTGTTAGTGCACTGGCCTTCTCTGAAGTCACCCCAGAGTCAGAGAACGTTCCCCCTTCCTCAGAGGCAGCAGCGAGCACGGTGGAGCCCACCAGTCCTACACAAGGACCCCTTTCCTCTGCCCCAGCAGACCCAGAGTCATCCACAGCCACGTCTCCACAGGTAGCCTCTACCTTGGGGGATACAAGTATTTCCTTATCAACCCATGCCTTTTTGAACACTACAAGGATGCACAGAGGGCCAACCTCCTCTCTGCCCACTGAACGGAGAGCCACCAGCACCCCTGAAGGGACCAGCTCAACAGCAGAGACCAGCACTGGCCTTTATGGATGGTCCACAAGTGCTACAACTGCAGTGTCCATGGCAGAAGCCATCTCTTTGGGCAGCACACCCATTCCGCAGTCAACTCACACCCCACAGTCACCAGACAGCCTCACTGGGAAGACGGCTGGGTTCTCTAGCTCCTCTGTCATGATGGAATCCTTCTCTGTCCAGGCAGGGCATGGCATGGCGCCAACACAGAGGACCCTCAGTGGGGACACATCAACCACAGCCACAGCCACGTGGGCGGGGACTCAGAGTCTTCCTCACTTGGAGGCGACTGCTCTTAGGAGCACGGGTCCTGAGAATGCGGCAAGGACCAGCCCACCTTCTGTGGAGGAAACAATTTCTGATTCCTCTCTGCTGTCTTCCCATGTCAAGACCTCTCTTCCTGTGTCTTCCACATTAGTGGAGGACAGGACCTCTTTTTCTCCTCCCACTCCTTCACTGCTCACATCCAGCCTGCAGAAGAACACACAGGATTTGACCACCAGCCTGGACATGGAAGCCAGTCCACCTCCTTTCCTGATGACGGAACCGAGAGAAACCAGCAGCTCTGAGGCAACCAGCTTAACTGCAGAGACCAGCACTGGCCTTTCTGAATCACCTGCTCCTGCTACTACCGAGGTGTCCAGGACAGATGTCCTTTCTAGACAAGTACATATCCATCGAACAGCTCCACCCACAGAGTCACCACAAACCCCCAGTAGAAAGGTCTCCACATTCTCTAGCACCCTGGACATGACAGAACCTGTATACGTGACCATCACCAACCAACAAAGACCTCCCAGGACAACAATGCAAAGTACCCTCATTGGGGAAAAGCCGACCACAACACGGCATGCAGGGGCTATGTCGATGGAGACTCACCACTCCGAGGTGGCTGGTCTCCTGAGCACAGGTCCTAAGAATGTGTCAAGGACAGCCACGGCCTCTGTAGAGGACACAAGCTCTGTCTCTGCCCTGCTGTCTTCACCTGCCATGACCCCAGCTTCTCCTGTTCCCTCCACTCCTCTGGCCACTTCTGCCCAGCTCACCTCTGGTCTGAGGAAGACCACAGAAGCTTTAAGCCCAAGCCCAGAGCCAGAAACCAATCCACCTCCAAATCCAAGTAGTGCCTCAGCTAATGTATTGACTTCCCTTGAAGCCATCCCAGAGTCAGAGAACATTCCTCCTTCATCAGATGCAACAATGACCACAGTGGAGCCCACCAGTCCTGGACAAGGACCCTTTTCCTCTGCCCCAGCTGACCCAGAGTCATCCACAGTCACGTCTCCACAGGTGGCTGCCTCCGCCTTGGGGGACACAAGGTTCCTCCCATCAACCCCTGACTTCTTTGACACTACAAGGACACACAGAGGCTCAGCCTCCTCTCTGACCACTGGGCTGAGAGCAGCCAGCTCCTCTGAGGGGACCAGCTCCACAGCAGAGACCAGTGCTGCCTTTTATGAAGGGGCCAGTGGTGCCACCACTGTGGTGTCCTGGACAGCCGCTTCTGGAAGCACAGCTGTCTCGCAGCCATCGCTAACTACACAGGCAGCTGACACCCCCACTGGGAAGACCTCTGGGTTCTCCAGCTCTCCTCTCATGACAGAGTCTGTGGACACAAACAGCTTCACCCAGCCAGGCTCTCGTGGGGCTACCATACAGGGAAGCCCCAGTGAGGACACATCAACTGGAACCACATGGGTGGGGACCCCTTCAACAGGGCCTCGGAGTCTTCCTCACTCAGACGTGACCATGCCTATGGGGAAGGGTCCTGGGAGTGATGTGGAAGCCAGCCCACCTTCCTTCCTGATCACAGGTAGGAGGGAGACCAGCAGCTCAACCACAGAGACCAGCCCTGACCTGCCTGAATTGTCCACTGGTGCCACCACGGAAGTGTCCAGGATGGAAGGCATCCCCTCCAGCCAGGCACACACTCACAGCCCAGATCAATCCACAGAGTCAACACATATCCACACTGGAAAGACGACCAGGTTTTCTGACTCCTTGGCAAAGACAGAACCTGCACAGATGACCATCACTGCCCAAACGGGTCATCCTATGGCCACAACACAGGGCACCCTCACTGGGGAAAAGTCATCTACAACATGGTGGGCAGGGGCCACATCCATGGAGACTCACCCCTCAGAAGAGACGGGTGTTCTGAGCATGGGTCCTGAGCATGTGTCCAGAGCAGGCATGGCCTCTGTGGACAAAACATCCTCTGTCTCTGCCATGCTGTCGTCGCCTGTCCTGACCCCAGCTTCTCCTGTTTCCTCCACATTCACAGACACCAGTGGCTCCTCCCCTATGACCGTTTCTCCATGGCTCACCTCCAGGTTGATGAAGACCACAGAAGCTATAAGCACAAGTCCAGAACCAGAATCCAGTCCATCTCCAAAACTGAGTAGTGCCCCAGTTAGTGTATCGGCCTCCTCTGAAGTCACCCCAGAGTTGGACAACATTCACCCTCCCTCTGACCCAGCAGTGACTGCAGTGGAGACCACCAGTCCTGCACAAGAATCGCCTTTCTCTGTACCTGGTGATACAGTGACTGCCCCTTCCTCTGGGGATACAAGCACTTCCCCAACAACCCCTGCATTCTCTGACACTACGAGGGTGCAGAGAGGAACAGCATCCTCTCTGACCACTGGACTCAGAGCCAGCAGCACCTCTGAGGGGACCAACTCAACAGCAGAGACCAGCACTGGCCTTTATGAAGGGGCCATTGGTGCTACCACTGAGCTGTTCTTGGCAGAAGCCATCTCTCCTGGCAAGACACCCATCTCACAGTCAGCTCAAACCCCACAATCACCAGACACCCCCACTGGAAAGACAGCTGGGTTCTCCAGCTCCCCTGTCACAACCGACTCCATGGACAAAGTCGTCTTCACCCCGTCAGACCACCATGAGGCTACCACACAGAGGACCCTCAGTGGGGACACATCAACCAGAACCACGGGGCCTCAGAGTCTTCCTCACTCAGACGTGACCACACCTATAGGGAAGGGTCCTGGGAGTGTGTCAAGGCCTGGCCCAGCCGCTGTGGATGAGACAGTTTCTGACTCTTCCCTGCTGGTTCCCCCTGCCATGAGCTCACTTCCTGCATCCTCCACAGTGGCAGAGGCCAGCACCTCGTTTTCTACTCCTGCTTCTTCACGGCTCACACCCGGCCTCAAGAAGACCACAGCTGACTTGAGCACCACACTGGACGTGGAAGCCAGCCCACCTTCCTTCATGACCACAGGTGGGAGGGAGACCAGCAGCTCAGCCACAGAGACTAGCCCTGATGTGTCTGAAGTGTCCACTGGTCCCACCACGGAAGTGTCCAGGACGGAAGACATCGCCTCCACCCAGGCACACACTCACAGCCCAGTTCTGTCCACAGAATCGCCAAACACTGTCCCAAGTGATGTCTCCAGGTTCTCTGTGTCCCCTGCCGTGACACAACTTGCCAAAATGACCATCTCCACCCAAACAGCTTCTTCTGGGACAACACAGGGGACCCTCACTGGGGAAAAATCAATCCCAACATGGCAGGCAGGGACCACATCCATGGAGTCTCACCACTCACAGGTGACCCGTCTTCTCAGCATAGGTCCTGAGCATGTGTCCAGGGCAGGCACGGCCTCTGTGGACGAGATATCCTCTGTCTCTGCTCTCCTGATTTTCCCTGACAACACCTCACCTTCCCCTGCTTCCTCCACATTACAAGAAAGCAGCTCCTCCTCTCCTCCAACCGTTTCTCCACAGCTCACCTCTGGTCTGACGAAGATCACAGAAGGTTTGAACTCAAGCCTGGAACCAGACAGCAGCTTGTCTCTAAATCTGAGTAGTACCTCAGTTGATACGTTGGCCTCCTCAGATGCAGCAGTCACCAAAGCAGAGCCCACTAGCCCCGGACAAGAACCCCCTTCCTCTGTCCCAGCTGACCCAGAGACATCCAAAGCCGCATCTCCAGAGGTGACCGCCTCCCCCTTGGGGGATACACGTATTCCCTCATCAACCCCTGACCTCTTTGACACTGCCAGGATACACCAAGGGCAAACGTCCTTGACCACGGCATTGAGAGCAACCAGCACCTCTGAGGCCAGCTCTACAGCAGAGACAAGCACTAGCCCTTTGGAAGGGGTCAGTGGTGCTAGCACTGAGGTGTCCTGGACAGAAACCCTCTCTTCTGGGAGGGCACACCTCCCACACCCAACTCCACCACCCCCAAGGTCAGCAGACATCACCACTGGAAAGATCTCCAGGTTCTCCAACTCCACTCTCATGACAGACTCTGCACACACGACTGCCTCCATCCAGTCAGGCCATGGTGAGGATGCATCACAGAGCAGGCTCACTGGGCAGACGTCGACCTCAAGGCCATGGGCAGAGAACCCCTCGACTGGGACTCATGGGCTTCCCCTCTTGGAAGTGACTGCCCTTGTGAGCAGGGGTTCTGAGACTATGTCAGATTCAAGTCCTCTCCCTGGGGAAGAAACCTCTGCTGTGTCTTCCCTTCCATCTTTTCCTGCTGTGACCTCTCCACTTCCTCTCTCTTCTACCTTATCATGGGGTAGCTTCTCCTCTCCTGTTACCGTTTCTCCACTGATCACATCTGACCCGGTGCAAACCACAAACCATCTGAGCACAAGCATTGAACCAGAAACCCTTCCACATTCTTCCTTGACTACTGGACTGAAGGAGACAGGCACCTCTGAGGCGATCAGCTCAAGTGTGCAGTTAAGCACTGGCATTTCTGGCTTGCTTATGGTAGCTACCACTGAGGACTCTGGGACAGAAGTCGTGTCCCCCAGCAAGACATCTACCCCACATCCTGCTCATTCTGTGAAGTCACTAGGTCTACCAACTGGAACAATCACCCGGCTGTCAACATCCCTTGCTGTGACAAAACCTGCAGACATGGCTAGAAGCACTCAGGCTCTGCCACCCATGGGTACGTCATATGGTACCCATGACTGGAACACATCCAGCAAAATGTCTTGGTCAAGGATACCCTCGATGGTGACCAGGAACTCTGCCCAATCTGAAGCTCACACTCTCATGAACAATGGTCCAGAGACAGCAGCAAGGATGAGCACTCCCTCTGTGGACAACACCAACCCTGCCTCTCCTCTGATGCCATCCCCTGCCACGTCCTCACCCTCCCCTGCTTCTTTTACATCATCAGAGGACAGCTCCTCCTCTTCGTTTCCTATCACTTCACTTCCCGCTTCTTCCCAGGTGAAAACCAAATATGTGTTGGGTACCAGCCCAGGTCCACATACCAGTTCAACTCCACATGTGAGGAGCACCTCAGGTGAGCTGCTGGCCACTGCTGAAGCCGCTGCAGGCACTGAAACAGCACCTCTTTCCACGAGGACATCCACAGCCACTGTGGGGACCACGGGTTCTGCACGTGAATCACCTTTTGCTGGCCAAGCTGACCCAGAGAAGCCCAAAGTCACATCTCCAGAGGTTTCCACCTCCACTATAGGAGGTAAAAGTGTTTCCACATCAACTTCTGCCTTCTCAGACACTCTGAGGATTCTTCCAGAGCCAAGTTCCTCCATGGCCACCGGACTGCAGGGGGTGGGAGCCTCTGAGGAAACCAGCTCCACTGCAGAGATGAGCGCTGGCCTTCTGGAAGTGTCCACTGGTGCTACGACACCGGGCCCCAGGACAGAAGTCAGCTCCTCTAGCAGAACACTCATCCACCCTTCTCAGTCTACACAAACACCTGATATGGCCCCTGGAAAGCTCTCTGGGTTCTCCAGCTCTCCCGTCATGACAGATTCTGTGGACATGACCATCGCCACCCTGTCAGGTCATCCTGGGAATATAGCCCAGACGACCCTTACCCAGGAAACCTCAGCCTCATGGGTGGGGGCCCCCTCAATTGTGACTCAGAGTCTGCCCCATTCAGAGGCAACCGCTCCTCTGAGCAGGAACCCCAAGAGTACGGCAAGGCCAAGCCCACCCTCAGTGGATGAAACAACCTCTGCCATGAGTTCACCTGTGTCTGCTTCCTCCTCACTAGCAGAGGAGAGTCCTTCTCCCTCTGTTACTTCACAGCTCACTTCTATGAAGGTGAAAACCACAGATGTGTCAGCAAGAAGCCCAGGACCACAAACCAGCTCAACTCCAATCACGAGGAGCACCTCCGGGGAGATACTGCCTTTTTATGAAGCCACTGCAGACACTGAAGCAGCAAATCCTTCCACGGGGAAAGTGGTGACCACCGTGGGGACCAGAGGTTCCACGCTGGCTGATTCAGTGGTGTCCAGAGTCACGTCTTCAAAGGTTTTCTCATCTACCTTGTGGGATACTCCAGGGCCCAGCCCTTCTCCTGAGATGACTTACTTGCTGACTTCAAGCCTGAGGGAGACCAGTACCTCCCAGGGGGTGAGCTCTGGCCCTTCTGAAGTGTCCACTCACGCCACTACTGAGATCTCCTCGTCAGAGGTCATCCCCTCGAGCAGAACATCCAACCCAGGCCCTGCTCATCCCACAGAGTCACCACATCACTCAGCTGGGAGGATCACCAGGCTTTCCACCCCCTTTCTCATGGCAGAATCTGCAGATGTGACCATCGCAACCCAAACTGGGCCACCCATGGGGACATCCTATGGCACTCGTCACTGGGACGCATCACACAGAACCACGGGGCTGGTGACCCACTCAACTGTGACTCGGGGATTTCCCCATGCTGAGGTTAAGGCTGACACGAGCAGCAGTCCTCAGACAAAGTCAGGAATGAGCAGTCTCCCTGTGGGAAACAGCATCTCTACCTCCTCCCCGACACCTCTTCCTGCCATGAGCTCAGCTTCTGCTGCCTCCCCTACATTATCTGAAAGTGGCCCCTCCCGTTCTCCTCTCATGATGTCACCGCTGTCTTCTGCACTGGAGGAAACCACAGATGCATTGGGCATAAGCCCTGCACCTAGCAGCAGTTCAGCTCCCAGCAGAAGCAGCACCTTAGGAGCCACTGCAGACACTAAGGCAGCACATCCTTCCCCAGGGACAGTGGTGACCACTGTGCAGGCCAGTTCTGTTGGGCAGGAATCCGTCTCCTCTTTTCCAGGCATCTCAATTGCATCCAAATTGACATCTGCGACGGTTACTAACTTCACCACTACAGACCCCTCCATTCCCACAATGCCTGGCTCCTCTGAGATTACCAGGGCCACCAGGCAACCAACTTCTCCCATGGCTTCTGGACTGCAGGAGTCAATCCTCTCTGAGGAGGTCGGCTCTGTCAGCTTGGAAGAGCCTTCTGGCACTACCGCTGGATTCTCCATGACAGATGTCACCTCCTCTGCTAGCACACCCGTCTCTGGCCCCCCTCACTCCAAGATGCCATCAGACACTTCCACTGGGAAGATCACAGAAATGGCCATCACCACCCACACAAGTCCTCCCAAGGCTGCAAGGCAGAGTGGGGCCACATCAACCATGGCCTCCCAGGCAGGGACCCACGTGCCTGTGTCTGAGGGGTTTCCACACTCAGAAGTGACCATGCTCCCAGGTGGCAGTCCTGAGAGAGTGTCACTGACGAGTGCTTCCTCTGGGAAGGAACCTAGCCCTGCACAGCCCCCAGCACCTTCTGCCATGACCTCAACTTCTCCTCTTTCCTTGGCGTCACCAGGGAGTCTCTCCACATCTCCTGGGTCTGTGGTTTCACTGCTCACCTCTGGCCTGATGAAGACCTCAGACGTTTGGAGCACAGGTCCAGAGACTGGAAGCAGCCCCTCTCCAAAACTGTACAGCATCTTGGCTGAAACACTTACCACCTCTGTAGTCATCACGGTTACAGAGGGAATTCGTCCTCCTCCAGGCACAGCAGTGACTAATGTGGGGACCACCTCGTTGGGACATGAACCACATTCCTCTTCCCCAACCCACTCGGAGTCATCCAAGGCCACAGATCCAATGGGCGCCAACTCCTCCATGGATAAGGCTACTTACTCATCATTGCCTCCGAACTTGGAGGCTACCAGTCTTGAGGCAGAATCATTTTCCCATTCGACTTCTGGATTAAAGGAAACCAGCACGTCCCCGTTGGCCACACCCTCAAATGTCCCCTCATCTCCTGTTTTCACTCACCTGGTGCAGAGTCCTAAGGCTGACATCACCTCTTCTGTGAAAACATTGATCCCACAGCAGCAGGCTGCATCCTCACAGTATACTGACACACCAGTGGAGAAAATGACCCACTCTTATGCCTCTGCATCTGTTATGCAATCCACTGGAGTCACCTCATCCCCAAGACCCAAGTTTACCATGCCTGTAGCAGAAAGTGCTCACCACATGAGCACTGATATGCTGCCTTCAGGGGCCATGACTTCATTTGCTGCATCTCGAGTTCCGAGAGCCAGCTCAGCCGCCTTTCCAGGCAGTGCATCCTTTAGGACTGGGGCAAGCCCTGGGGATGCTACTGCGTCCTCCTTTGCAGGGACTTCACTGTCACCAGCTTCAATACCATTCCCCTCGCCTACCTTCACTACTACCGACTCTTTGACCAGTCCCACTCCCCATGGGTTTGGTTCCTCTCCGGCCGCCTCACATATGGTAGATACCAGTCCTGGGACAGAAAGTAGTGCCACAGAAGGACCGTTGGCTGGAGTCAGTCATTTGGTAACTTGGAACCAGCCAACTGGGACATCTTTATCACCCATTTTGGATACCAGCATGACACTGAGTGTTGATTTTGGAACAATGACAAGGGCATTTCAGGTGCCTCCACTCTCAACACAGTTAACAAGTAAGGGCCCATAGCTCCTACATTCCTATCCTTTGAGGGCTCATAGGACATGACCCTTTCTTAAGAGGTAAAAAGGAGTTCATTAGGAGTTCAGTCTCACATTATAAATTCTTTTAGCAAGCACCTGCTGATCTGACTACAGTTCCAGGTACTGGATGAGGTGTAGGGGAAATAAAGATAAATTAGAAAGTAGGTGAGTAATTACAGAACCATGATATAGTAACCTAAGAGGACAATTAATGATTATGACAATAACAACAGCAAATACTTAGATGCTGCTTGTTTTGTGTCAAACATTGTCTTATTAAGTTATTCAATCCTCATGGTAGCACTATTTGAACTAAGGATCATCATAAGCTTATTTGGCAGAGAGGAAAATGAGGCACACAGAAATTAAGTGATTTGCTCAAGGCATAAAGCTAGTAACTGACAGAACTAGAGTAAGAATTCAGACTCTGTGGCAATAGGGATTTGTGCTGTTCACCATTAGCCTAAGCAGGAGTGGTCAGACAGGTAGCAGGGAAAGCAGAAGATTCTGACATCAGAGAGTCCATAGGAGGGGAGAGTTGTAGGAAGGAGAAGTGGTAATTCTTTTCAAATGCTACAGAGGAGCCAAGCTGAAATGAGGTAATCATTGCCTTGGTAATGTAGGGGTCCTCAGGAATTCTAGCAAATGGAGTCTGAGTGAGACGCAGGGGTTGGGACAACAGCTAAAATCAAGAGAAAGCCTCCTCCCCACCCTGCCGTGCCTTTGAGTTGAGCATTTTTCTGCAATGAGAACAGGGTCAAAAGCAAGAGATAAGTGAAAGAAGAAGGAGAATGAAAATTGAGGAAGCAAACTATCTAAGGATGTGGCAGGTACTAAGAGAGGTGGAGAAATCTCTGCTTCTTATCAGTACTTAAGGGAGTAAACCTCTTGGAGATTCCATTCCTCTGAATTTGGCCCCAAATTTAAATTTTGGACAAAAAAGAGCAAAGAGGGGCTCAGACTATTCCAGCACCTGATTCCCTGGACAGTATCTACAGGAGGTTCATGTGGTGCCTCTTCCTTAACAAACTTAAAGAATTTGCAAGAAGTAAACCATGTTGGTGGCTACTAATCCAAGTCTTAAAATGTGGCTTAGTGGTTGAGTTATGGTTTTGCAGTAACCAAGTGACAAGTGAGGCAGAAGTGTGTCTGGATGAATGGAAGGATGAAAGGAAGAACAGAGAGATGGATGAATGGAAAGAAGGATGGATGTGCAGAAAGAAGGCTGAAAGGGGCTGGTGCTGTGGTGCAGTGGGTTAAGTTGCAGCCTGCAGCACCAGCATCTCATAGGGGCACTGGTTCGAGTCCCAGCTGATCCACCTCTAATCAAGCTCCCTGCTAATGCACCCGAGAAAGCAGCAGAAGATGGCCCAAGTATTTGGGCCCCTGTATTCATGTGGAAGACCTGGAAAAGGCTTCTAGGTCCTGGCTTCAGATAGGTTCAGCTCCAGCCTTTGCAGCCATTTGGGGAGTGAACCAGCGGATTGAAGATTTCTCTCCCTCTCCCCCCACCCCTCTCTCTCTGTCTCTGTGCATGTGTGTGTGTGTGTGACCCTGCCTTTCAAATAAATAAATAAAACTTAAAAAAGAGAGAAGGGTGAAAAGGAAAGATTGAAGGAAAGAAAGATGGAAGGAAGGATGAGATTAAATCCATACTTAAGAAAAGGGAGATAACAGGGAGGAAGGGAGGAGAGGTGAAAGGAAGGAGAAACATTAGGAGGAGATAAAAGGAAGGGAAGATGGAAAAATAAGTGGTCTGATCCAGGGATAGGTGAAAGGAAGTATGGATCAGGGACAGTGTAGCCACTTATGGCTCAAGGCCAAGCAGGTGGACTTGAGAAGATGTTGTATGGTCAATGAAGTGAAATAATTTAGACAGTGCTCTCCTCTGGATAAGGTGAGTTACCCTGGTTTTTCTCCTCCACCCTCATCTGTAGGAACTGAAGGCATTGTGGAGCGCATCACAAAGCAACACGGTGGAGCGGCACATGGAGGCGTCACAAGAGCAGTCAAAGGCCCCAGGGCATCCACATCACCTTCTCATCCTAAAGGTAGCTTTGATTTGGATTACTTCCCAGTAATCCTACTTGTAGCTGTATTTCCTTTTCCAGAGAGATAAAGCACTGTCTTCTTAGAGAACTGTATGTTGCTGTCGTATGTTTCCCTGAGTGGTTTCTTCATTTAATGCCTACCAGGTGTAGGCTACCTTGTAGCATGCTGAGTGAGTTTACTCCAAGATCAGATATGTCAACTCTGCAAATCTGACTCACTTTAACTTAATTCTGAAGATGTTGATTAGTAATGAACTATGTCTCAGAGGTTATGATATAATCTGAGAGACAGATGAAACTGCTCTGTAATGAACCCATGAAGTGCTCATTTCAGGAGGAGAGACAGCAAAGGAACAAAACAATTGTGATAAAGCTTTTTTTTTTTTTTTGGACAGGCAGAGTTAGACAGTGAGAAAGAGAGAGACAGAGAGAAAGGTCTTCCTTCCCTTGGTTTACCCCCCAAGTGGCCGCTACAGGCAGCACGTTGCCGCTGGTGTGCTGCGCCGACCTGAAGCCAGGAGCCAGGTGCTTCCTCCTGGTCTCCCATGCGGGTGCAGGGCTCAAGGACCTGGGCCATCCTCCACTGCATTCCCAGGTTATAGCAGAGAGCTGGATTGGAAGAGGAGCAACTGGGACAGAATCAAGCAGGACTAGAACCCGGGGTGCCAGTGCCACAGGCGGAGGATTAGCCTAGTGAGCCGTGGTGCCGGCCCGTGATAAAGCTTTAAAAGTGTGTAATGGGGCAGGCACCATGGCACTGCAGGTGAAGCCATGGCTTAGGAACATCTGCATCCCACTTGGGAGTGCCTAGGGTGGAGTCCCACCTCCTCTTCGAATCCAGCTCCCAGCTAATGCATCTGGGAGGCAGCAGATGATGGCCCAAGTGCTTGGGTCCCTGACACTCACATGGGTGACACCAATGGCATTCCTGGCTTCTAATGTTTTCCTGGCCTGATCCTGGCTGTTGTAGGCACTTGTTGAGTAAACCAGTAGATGGAGGATCTCTCTGTCACTCTGCCTTTCCAATAAATAATAAGTACAAGTTTTAAGAAAGCATGCAATGAAGACATATTGGAACTACAGAGGGAAGGCTTCATTGGGGAGGTGGTCCTTGAATTGGTTTTTAAAAGATGAATGGGAGTTTAGCAAGAAGACAAAAGTAGGAGATGATGACGTTCCAGATAGAGGGCAGAGCAGCATGTGCAGGCACAGAGATATCTGGGAGGTGTAAGTAATTCACCGTGGCCAAAGTATGAAGTATAAAAGTGGGCAGAAAACAGCATTCAGGAGACCTTGGTAATGCATGGATGGCCTTTAATAAAAGGACAAAAGTTTGTGGTCAAACAGTTTAGCAAGTTATTGCCCCTTCTTAGAGCCAGCATAGTAGAGGCCCTGAGCCATCCTACTGCAAAGGAATTAGTTTAGCTCTGCTCAACCCAGGGCCTAACGCAGTTATCTGACAGCATAACTTTTTCTCTGAAGCAATTCATGGTACTATTGTTCTGGATGGAAGTCTAATAAGTGCAGGTATGTGCAGCAAAGGGTTCTCCTTATCACTAATAAGGCAAGTCTCTCCTATCCACTGGGTTGCTTTCCAAGTTGTTCTGAGACCAGACTAATTTACGAGCTCATTTTGGAGGCTTCTGCAAGATACAAGTTTTGGATAGAAACACCTCTGGTCAAGTTATCAGTCTTTTTTTTTCCTCAAAAAATATTTAGGGGAGAGGGAAAAGGGGAAAGAGGGAGAGAAAGGAATCTTCCATTCTCTGATTCACTCCCTCAGTGTCCAATAAAGGATGGGCCAGACCAAAGTCAGGAACTGAGAACTCAATCCAGGTCTCCCACGTAGGTGGCAGGAACCCAACTACTTGAGCCATCACTTACTACCTCCCAGGTGTGCATCAGCAGGAAGCTAGAATAGAGTCGGACTCAAACCCAGGCACTTCAATATGGGATCCAGGCATTGTTAGTGGGGGCTTAACTGCTGCACCAAATGCTCACCCCTCCTTGAACTTCCTGATGTTCTTTTGCATGGAGCAGGGAGGGAGGAATGCTGACATGGGTTTGTGAAGTGGATTTGGCTGGGAGTTGAAGAAGGGCAGGATTGAAGGAATCCGAAGAGGGATAGGCATGCTGGGGCAAGAGAGGAGCTTGAACAAAGACTCAAAGGCTTGCGAGAAAAGACAACAGGTGGGAGCAGGAATGGACTAGAGGAGTCCTCGTCCACGGTGAGATGGGTAAGGCAGGGGGACATCAGTCACAGTCCCTGTTCCTATTTCAGAAGCTTCGTAGGCACGTTCCCAGCAATGGTATCAGAGACATTTCTCTGCCTTTCCTCTGGTGGAGAAGAAATAGTGGTTGCCAGTCCATTCCGTGTAATTGTTTTGTCTATGTTTTTCTGTCCATCCCCCAATTCACAGGACTACCCACAGAAGGGATGGAAGGAGCAGGCACTCTGACCACAACAGTCTCTACTCCTGCCTCGGGAACAATGACGGCCCCAACGGCATCCGAGAAGACGTCCAGCGCAAGCACAGCAGGAATGGTTGTTACGATGTCAGCAGTGTCCTCCGACGTCCCACTGATGACAGCCTCACTTGCCACCAGGCATGGGGCAGAGACCAGCACAGCCATGCCCGGGACAACCTCGTCTGTTTTCAGTAGTGCACCAGAGACCACTGTCTCTTCAGTCCCTGGTCTGGGGGCAGAGACCAGTCCAGCTGTTACATTTCTGACTGTTTCACATGGTGAGCCAGCTGCAACAGCCTCACGGGTCAGCCATCCTGCAGATACCATCTCAAATTTTTCCAAGACAACTCTGAGTGTCTCCTATAATGAATCAGATACCACACCCTCAACAAGCATCGATCCTGGCGCAGAGGTCAGTTCAGCTGTTCTAACCCCCTCAGCCTCTGCTGAGGTACCAGATGTGGTGACCTCACTGCCTACCAGTCCTGGGACAGACACAAGTATGGTTATGCCAATTACTGATTCCCCAGATGGACCAGAGACCACAGCCTCATGGGCCACTCACCCTGGAGTGCTGACCAGTCATTCCATTCCAGCTCCAGCTATCTCTCCCAGTATGCCAGGGTTGCTGACCTCACTGGATACTAGTACTGTGGCAAGGGCCACCTCAGCTTTTCCAACCCTGACTGTTTCCCCTGGTGAGCCAGATTCAACAGCCTCCTGGGCCACCCTTCCTACAGGGACCAGGCCACCTGTGTCTGGAACAACTCCCAAGTTTTCTCAGAGTAAATCACACACCACACCCTCCATGGCCACCAGTCCCAGGACAGCAGCGAGTTCAGCACTTCCAAAAACAACTCTCTTGCCTGGTATGCCAGAAAATCTGACATCACTGGTCCCTCATTCCAGGACAAGCATCAGCACAACTTTTGTGACAATGACTGAATCCCAACATGGTCCAGAGATGACAACTTCGTGGGTCACTCATCCTGTAGAGTCCAGGCCAACAACACCCAGGACAAGCCCAGGTTTTTACAACATTGAGGCCACACCATCAATGGCCACCAGTCTTGGGGCAGAAGCCAGGTCAAATGTTCCAACTACAACTGTCTCACCTGGTGGACCAAGGGAGGTCAGCTCACAGACCACTAGTTCTGGGACAGACACCAGGACAACATCAGTACCACTGACCCTTTCTCCTTCTGAAGCTGTACCCACAGCCTCATCAGTCACCCATCCTGGAGCACAGGTCAGTTTAGCTGCTCCAGTTCCAACTGTTTTACCTGGTTTATCAGGGATGGTGACCTCACTGGCCACTAGCCCTGAGAGAGAGACAGGTAAAACCATTCCAACTCTGACTGCTTCCCCCAATCAACTGTATACCACAGCCTCCTGGGTCAGCCATTATGGGACAGAAGCCAGTTCAGCTGTGACAACTATAACTGTGTCACCTGGCACACCAGATATGGCAACCTCACTGGTCACAAGTACTGGGATGGATACAAGCACAACTCAAGCAACCCTGACTCTTTCTCCTTCTGAACCACAGACCACAAACTCATTGGTTACCCACACTGGGGCACAGACAAGTACAGTCACTCCATCAGGGATGGTGACCTCATCGGTTACTAGTTCCAAGACAAAGACTGGTTCTATTTTTCCAACTCTGGCTGTCTCTGTGGATCGACTGGAAACCACAGCCTCCTGGGTCACCCATCCTGAAACAGATGTCAGTTCATCTATTCCCACTTCGACTTTTTCCCCTGGTAGCCTAGATACAAAATCCTCATTGGTCACTCAGCCTATAGAGGTCGGTGCAGCAGCACCCAGAACAATCCCCAGTTTTTCCTATAGTGGGTCAGATACCACATCTTCGATGGTCACCAATCCTAGGACAGAAGCCAGTTCAGCTGTCTCAACTTCTATTTCTACTGGAGTACCAGGAGTGGTGAACTCATTGGTAACTAGCTCCAGGAAAGTGACTGGTACAAGAATTCCAACTCTGACGCTTTCTCCTGGTGAAGCAGAAACATCAGCCTCATGGGTCACCCATCCTGGTGTACAGACCAGTTCAGACATTCCAACTTTGACTGTCTCCCCTTCACTGGCCACTAGTTCTGGAGTGCAACACAGTGCATTTCCAACTCTGATGATGTCCCCAGGTCAGCAAGAGACCACAGCCTCATGGGGCACCTATCCTGGGTCAGAAGCCAGTTCAGCTGCTTCGACAGTCTCTCCTAGTGTATCAGGGTTAGTGACTTCACAGGTCACTAGTTCTGGAGTGCAACACAGTGCATTTCCAACTCTGACGATGTCCCCAGGTCAACAAGAGACCACAGCCTCATGGGGCACCCATCCTGGGTCAGAAGCCAGTTCAGCGGCTTCAACTTTGACTGTCTCTCCTAGTGTATCAGGGTTAGTGACTTCACAGGTCACTAGTTCTGGAATACAACACAGTGCATTTCCAACTCTGATGATGTCCCCAGGTCAACAAGAGACCACAGCCTCATGGGGCACCCATCCTGGGTCAGAAGCCAGTTCAGCGGCTTCAACTTTGACTGTTTCCCCTAGTGTACCAGGGTTAGTGACTTCACAGGTCACTAGTTCTGGAGTACAACACAGTGCATTTCCAACTCTGATGATGTCCCCAGGTCAGCAAGAGACCACAGCCTCATGGGGCACCCATCCTGGGTCAGAAGCCAGTTCAGCGGCTTCAACTTTGACAGTCTCTCCTAGTGTACCAGGGTTAGTGACTTCACAGGTCACAAGTTCTGGAGTACAACACAGTGCATTTCCAACTCTGATGATGTCCCCAGGTCAACAAGAGACCACAGCCTCATGGGGCACCCATCCTGGGTCAGAAGCCAGTTCAGCTGCTTCAACTTTGACTGTCTCTCCTAGTGTATCAGGGTTAGTGACTTCACAGGTCACTAGTTCTGGAGTACAACACAGTGCATTTCCAACTCTGATGATGTCCCCAGGTCAGCAAGAGACCACAGCCTCATGGGGCACCCATCCTGGGTCAGAAGCCAGTTCAGCTGCTTCAACTTTGACTGTTTCCCCTAGTGTACCAGGGTTAGTGACTTCACAGGTCACAAGTTCTGGAGTACAACACAGTGCATTTCCAACTCTGATGATGTCCCCAGGTCAGCAAGAGACCACAGCCTCATGGGTCACCCATCCTGGGTCAGAAGCCAGTTCAGCTGCTTCAACTGTCTCTCCAAGTGACCAGGATACAACAGTATTATCAGTAACCCATCCTGCAGAGACCAGCCCAAATGTCCCCAAGACAATCTCAAGCTTTTCTCATGGTGAATCATATGGCATACCTTCAATGGCCACCAGTTCTAGAGCAGAAGCTGGTTCAACCATTCCCATATCAACTATCTCACCTGATGTACCAGATATGCTGATGTCACCGGTCACTAGTTCTGGGATGGACACCAGCACAACTTCTCCAGCATGGACTGTGTCCCCACATGAGTCAAAGGTAACAGCCTCATGGATCCCTCATCCTACAGAGACCAGTACCTTGAGTTTTCCTCACAGTGAATCAGACACCACAGACTCTGTGGGCACCAGTCCTGGTGTGGAAGCCAGTTCACCCATTTCAATTCGAACAGTTTCACCTGGTGTACCAGGAACAGGAACTGCTAGTTCTGGGAAAGATGGCAATATGACTGCTGTAACTCTGACTCTTTCTCCTGCTGAGAAAGAGAGTACAACCGCACTAGTCACCCATCTGGAATCACAGACCAGTTCTGTTCCAGTTCTTACTGCTTCCTCTGGTGAGCCAGAGACAACTGCCTCATGGATCACTCATCCTGCACAGACTCGTGCTTCTGTTTCCAGAGTAATCCCAACTTTTTCCCATGGTGAATCAGACATGACACCTCTATCGGCCACCAGTCGTGGGGCGGAAGCCAGTTCAGTTGTGTCAACAGGGACCATCTCACTAGGGGGACAAGATGTGCTGACCTCCCAGGTTATTGGTTCTGGAGCAGTGATGAGTACAATTCTTCCGACTGTGACTTACTTTCCTGGTGAACCAGAGGCCACAGCCTCATTGGTTACCCACCCACGTTCTGAGTCAAGCACCAAATCTTCAGCCTCAACTGTTTTTCCTCATTTATTGGAGACCACAGCCTCACCCTCCACCAGAACTGGGATGGGAGTTAGTACGGCTCTTCCAACTCAGACTGCATCCTTTGGTGGGCCGAAGACAACATCTCTCTTCAGCCAGCCTGTGACGGAGACCAGCAGAGTTGGTCTAGGTTCGAATCTTTCAACTGCTGTTCCCATGGAAACAGCCTCATTAGCCACTCATCCCAGGACAGAGACCAGCACAACAATCCCAGCTTCAGCTGTTTCCCATGGTGTGTCACACACCTCAGGCTTATGGGTTACCAGCCCTTCAACAGAGGCCAGCACAGGTAGTCCTATTCCAACTCTCTTTACTGGTGTCCCTGGGGTTGCCAATACTCCTACAATGACTGGTGAGCTCAGTACTGTAATTGTAACAGAAACCTTACCATTTATGGCTTCAGTTGGACTCCCAGATAGTTCCAGGATGGTCACAGGTACAGAGACCCCAATGTCACCCACAACCAGTCACAGCAAAGGAGCAAGTCCAACCACTGTCCTGAAAACTGCAGCTGTTGATATCATGAATTTGCCTTGCCACAGGTTTCAGCCCCACCATGGCTGAGACCGCAGCCCCCTTCAGTACCTTGGTTGGAAACCTCTTTGCCCCTGTGACCATGTCTGGGATGTCCACCTGGGCCTGTGAGAGTATGGCAGGAATGAGTAAAAATAAGTAACCTTATTGTAGCAAAATATATAATATATAATTTGCCTTCTTAACTATTGGAGGTATACAACCCAGTGGCATTAGTTACACTCACAGTGCAACCATCTCTACTATCTGTTCCCAAAATGTGACAATTCCCATGAAACCCATTCTTAACGAAACCCATTAAGCAATAATTTCTTGTCCCCCATTCCTCCCAGCCACTGTTAACCACTAATCTATCAATGCTCTATGAATTTTCATGATGTAGATGTTTCACATAAGTGAAATCATCCCCTATGTGTCTGGTGAATCTCATTTAGCATAATGGCCTCAAAGTCCATCCATGTTGGAGTATTAGGAATCCATTCCTTTTTGTGGATGAATTCTATTTTGTTGTCTGGATAGAATACATTTTGTCCATCCATTCACGTATTGATGGATATTGAGAATATTTTGATTATCATGAATAATGCTACAATGAACATCAGCGTGTCAGTATCTGTTGGAGTCCCGTTTCCAACCCTTTTGGGTATACACTTAGGAAAGAAATTTCTGGATCATAGGGTGTGTTAATTTGCTAGGGCTGCCATAACAAGATATGCCACAAGCTTGGTGGCTTAACCAACAGAAATTAACTGTCTCAAAGAGAGATCCTGGGAAAATACAGAGAAGAAGCACCTTGGAGTCACCCCATTCAAGGCGTGAGGGAGCTGAGGTATTCATCCACCAATCCCATAAGCCACTGCTGCAGGGATGCTCCCTGGGTGTGTTAGTTCCCCGAAGATAAAGAGGGGCAGGTGCTGGTGTGTGCTGAGCTAGTAAAAGCCATGGAGAGAGAAGGGATGTATCCTCAACCTGGTATGCCCAGAATCAACTCATTTCTGAAGTCCAAAGTCTGCATCTGCTGGACACACATGGTCCCCAGCAAAACAGGATAGGTGCTCACTCAGTACACAGGAAGGTGTTGGGTAGTGACTACTCCATGCAGCATTTCAGGTAGGACACATAGGCTGGGTCCCAGCTGGGCACTGAAATAAAATTGTGTCCTCAGAGCCTTTCCTCTCATCCCCCAGTCCAGGACCTGACTCAGCATAGGTCTCCTTTTACCTCCACTGCAGCTGGGGTTCCTGCCTTGATACCTTTCACTGTCAACGTCACCATCACTAACCTGCACTACATGGAGGACATGGGCCACCCAGGCTCTGGAATATTCAATGCCACTGAGAGGACCCTGCAGCAACTGGTAAGAGCACCCAAGCAAAGCATGCCTCGCCTCCACCCTGCCAGACCCTGCTGCTTTGACCCTTCCTGTTCACCTGCCTCTTATTCCTTCCCAGCTGGAGGTCTTGTTTGAGAACAGCAGTGTTGGTTCCCTTTATGCTGGTTGCAGGCTGACCTGGCTCAGGTAAGATGCCCTCCATGGCACCTATAGCAACCACAATTCTGTTCTTTCTTGGGCTCTAACACCCCAGGCAGCCTTATCTACTTGGGCCTTCGCCAAGAGGCAGCATAGCCTACTGGACCCAAAGTGCCTGGGTTTGAACCCCTGCTCTTCCACTTGCTATCTGTGTGACCTTGGGCAAGACACATAGCCTCCCTGTTGCTCTATCACACTGCCTATAAGATGATGCTAATAACGTTCCTCACTCCTGAAGTTGTGTCATTCCGCACAGTATGTGGCCTGTTGTGAGCCCCCAGTTAACTAGCTCTCATAGTAGTAGCTGGTGCAACATCCTTGCCAATGATATTCCCAGAATTCCTGACATCCTTCCTGCCCTGACCCATCTCCACCACACTGGGGACAAATGCTGAACATGGCAGATCTGAAGTTTGTTCTCTGAAAAGTGACAGACGCCTTCCCAAGGGGAGCCTGACAGAGCCAAAGGGAAAAGCTAACCACAATGTTGAGCATCGACAGGGAATTTTGCAAGTTATAAGATGCTCAAAAGGACCTAAACTCTCTGTAAAAATGGTCCATCTTCTCATCTCTCTGCCTATATCCCCTTGGTGCCCTCTGAGACACTGAGCTCAGCACCTCTTCCTTACACCTTTCATGACCCTGTGGCTTCTCTGTAGAGTCCTCCACCCAGACTCCACCCAGATAATGATGGTCCCCCTGCCAGGGGGGTGGGTCTTCTATCACTCCACAAAGGAGAGATTTCTTGCCTACTTCTGTAGATCACAGCTGTCTGCAGTTGAGCTCCACCCATTGCACCTGCCCCAATCAATAGTAATATTGCTCTTATCTCTTGACACCCAATAATCCAAGTGGCCTGCGTGTCTTCATCTACTTACTCCCACAACCACACTGTGGCGAGCCCATCTTGTAGATGACAAGACTGCGACTCAGAATGAGCACACTTCTTGCTGGAGGGCAGCCATGATTTCAGCCAAAGTGTTCTGGGTTCTAGAGCCCCAGCGTGTAGCCAGGAAACCGTTGTGTCAACAAACTTCCCAATGGTTTGATTGCGCCATCACGGACAGGTTCATAATCCGTTTATACTGAAGTTGTCTGACTTGCTGTTTTGGTGCAGGAGGCAGACATTGCGAAATGGCCATCGCAGCCCAGCTCGTCAGCAGGTTGATTACCCTTAGGAAGTTACCGCTTGGGTTTGGGTGTGCACTGAGAGTGTTTAAGATCTATCCTCAGCAAATCTCAAGGATACAAGGAAGCAGCAGGGTTAACTATTGTCATCCTGCTGTCTATTGACTGCAGAATGTATTCTGTATCTTATAATGGAAACTTTGTACACCCACTTTAAAAATGTTTACTTATTTATTTAAAAGGCAGAGAGATAGAGAATGAAGGTAGGGAGGGAGGAAGGGAGGGAGGAAGACAGAGAGCAAAAGAGAGTGAGAAGCAGATTCATCCCCACTGGTTCACTCCCCAAATGCTGGCAATAGTCAGGACTGACAAGGCTGAAGCCAGGAGCCAGGAACTCCATCCTGGTTTCCCATATGAGTGATACTTGGGCCATCTTCTGCTACTTTCCCAAGCATATTAGCAGGGAGCTGGACCAGAAGCAGAGCAGCTGAGACTTGAACTGGTACTCCATTATGGGATGCTGACATCACACTGCAAGCAGTGGCTTAACCCTCTGTACTACAGCCCCAGCCCCAGCTATGTAGCCACTGAGCACACCATCCCTCTTCTACCTCCTAACAGCCTTTTACATTCTTTTTAAAAACTATTTATTTATTTATATTTATTTGAAAGGCAGAGAGATTTAGACATAGAGAACCTTTTACATTCTTAAACACTCAGAATTTCAAAGAGTACCAGCGTTTACTGTACTCAAACTTCTACCTGGGAAATTCTAGATTTATTCTTAGTTAATGAAAAATAAGCCTGCTATATGTAAATATTATAATAAGATGGTTGTTTTATATTATTTTTATACTTATTATTTAAAATATATATAAATTTGTATTAATTTTGACAAAACACTTTATAAACATACTTACTATGTAACACATAAATACATCATTATAAACACAGATAGTTTAGGAGCAATGGCCATATTCTTCTCCCCATCCCCACCCTAGATATAAGGAGTAAGTAGAAAAGAGGCACTGGGTCATTTTTACAAACCTTGTTCATGTCTGGCTTAGCAGAAGAGCTGGGTATCTGTTTCTGCCTTCCACCTGTTAGAAATTTTCACTTTGTGCGGCCACTGGAAAAAATTCCACTATATACTCCTGAGAGAATGAGAGTGAAAATAATGTCTCAATATTATTATAAAATACATTTCACCTGATAGATTCCTGTGAGAATTTTGGGGACCTTAAGGGTTTGAGCCCCAGCTCTGTTTCCAATTCTAGCTCCCTGCTAATGTACACCCTGGGAGGCAGCAGGTGAAGGCTCAAGTACTTGGGCCCCCGCCACCCACGTGGGAGACCTGGATGGAGCTCCTGCCTCCTGACTTGGCCTGGCCTAGCTCTGGCTGGTTGCAGGAATTTGGAGAGTGAACCAGTAGATCAGTAGATGGGAGATCTCTGTCTCTCTCTCTGCTTTCAAATAAATTAATAAAAATTTGTTTATATAAAAGAGAAAATGGGAGACATAAGAAAGTAAACTAAGGAGGAGCCCTGGAGAACACTCCATCCAATGTGTGTGGCTGGGCAGAGGAGGCCAGACATGCAAATGAAGCAGAAGATGTGTTACAGGAAGGAGATGAAACCCAGGGAAGAGTGACAGCCAGTGGGTGGGGCCGGCAGAGTGGCACTGCAGGTTAAGCTTCTGCCTGTGATGCTGGCATCCCGCAAAGAGCATTGGCTCCAGTCTGGCTGCTCTGCTTCTGATCCATCTTCCTGCTAATGCACCTGGAAAGGCAGCAGATGATGATCCAAGTGGCTGTGTCCCTGCCCATCCATATGGGAGACCTGGATAGAGTTCCTCTTGTGGCCTTTTGAGGAGTGAACCAGTGGAAGGAAGGAAGGTCTCTCTCTCTCTCTCTCTCTCTCTTTCAAATAAATAAATATTTATAAAAAACAGGCACAGCCGGTGCTGCAGCTCAATAGGCTCCTCCACCTGTGGCACTGGCACACTGGGTTCTAGTCCCGGTCGGGACGCTGGATTCTGTCCCGGTTGTCCCTCTTCCAGGCCAGCTCTCTGCTGTGGCCCGGGAGTGCAGTGGAGGATGGCCCAAGTCCTTGGGCCCTGCACCCGCATGGGAGACCAGGAGAAGCACCTGGCTCCTGGCTTTGGATCAGCGTGGTGCACTGGTCGCAGCGCACCGGCCACAGCAGCCATTGGAGGGTGAACCAACGGTAAAGGAAGACCTTTCTCTCTGTCTCTCTCTTTCTCACTGTCTAACTCTGCCTGTAAAAACCGCATACAAGTATTAATAAAAAAAAAAAGGGCACAACCAGAGGATGGAGTTGTCTAGCATCCCCAAGCTCTCTGTGTCCCTTCCTCTGCAGGGCTGAAAAGGGTGGCACATGCACCAGAATGGATGCCGTCTGCACCTTCCACCCAGACCCCACACTGGACAGAGAGCGGCTGTATTGGGAGCTGAGCCGGCTGACCCGTGGTGTTACCCGCCTGGGCTCCTACACCCTGGACAGGGACAGTCTCTACATCAACGGTGAGCAGCTGTAATAGCATACGTTATATATTACATTATCTGAGATATTGTATGGCCAATGTGTAAACAATAATTAGACACACACATTACAGAGAAACAAACAAGGCTCAGGGTCTTTGAAGGTCAATGTGAGACTGAAGGTCACATAGCACTGCAGGAGGAGGCAATGAACTGATTGAAAGCAGCCATTATTAATTATTGATGGATCTCAGAGAAAGTACTAGGGAAGGACTATGTACTTGTGGTTCTCATTCTCCCATGACACCCCTTCCTTGGCTCCCTCCCATCACCTCACTCTTTCTCCCCCTCCGCCCACCTCTCTCTGCAGGTTATAACCATCGGAACAGGACTCCCACCACGAGCCGTGAGTAATGCTGGCTCTGAAGTCCCTGCACCCCTGGGGCTCCCTCCTCCCCAGCCTGTCCCCTCTCAGCCCCAGCCAGGACCCAGAGCAATCAAGTCTGCACCAAGGCAGAGGTGCAGGTTCTCGTCAACAGCTCTGTCCTCATTATTCCCTGATAGGGCCACAGACTCTTTATTTATGTCACATTTTCTTTCAGGTCCTGTGACCACATTTTCCCCAGAATCCCCAACATCTGTGACCTCCACTCCCAGACCTACAGGTAAGAATCTGTTTGCTGGGGTGGATATTGGTGCAGTGGTTAAGATGCCACTTGGGATGCCTGCATCCCATATGGGAATGCCTGGGTTCAAGTCCTGGCTCTGACCCTGACTTCAGTGTCTGCTAATGCACACCCTGGGAGGCAGCAGGTGATGGCTCCAGTACTGTGGTCCCTGCTACCACATGGGAGACTGGAATTGAGCTCCAGGCTCTTGATTTTGGTTTGGCCTGGCCCCAGTTGTTGCAGACATTTGAAGAGTGAAACAACTGAGGGACAATCTCTATCATCTGTCTGTCTTTCAAAGAAACCCAAAAATTGGATTTCTGAGTCCCATAACTTCTTGTCAGTAGCTGAAGAGTTCCTGTGTGGTCTGGACCCTGGTGCCCACCCAGCCACAACCTGCACACTCTGTGTCTTGCTTCCTTCTTCTCTGGCCACATCAGTCTCATTTCTGTTCCCACAGGGCTCAAGTATCCCCCCACCCTCAGAACCATCACACCTGCTGTTCTTGGAACTCAGCTGTGCCTGGTTCCTTCTTCCTGCCAATCTCAGCTCAGCATGCCTTTGCTGAGATCACCTTCTATCAAGTAGCATTTCTCTTGCACACAGCGAGTCCCTATTCTATCTCATTTGCATTCCTTACCTGCAAGTGTCTGTGGTCCCCAAGACCTGAGCAGGAAAGACCTTGGCCCTTCTTCTTCTCCACAAAATGCTACAACTCATCAGTCATTGGCCATTCTGACATAAGGGGACTGAGGTTCCCAATTGAGCTGAAGACAGTGTCCATCACAGAGGCCCCTTCCCTCCCTCTGGATGGCTGAAGGATAGCCCAGATGGGATATCTCAGGCCCACTGGACAGTATGACCAGGGAGACAGTAGTAGTCCCTTAGTTCAGGACTAAGACTCATAGCATCTCTTTCTCTTTCTGACTCCACCTCCTTCACCTCTCCCTCCAGCTGTGGGCCCAGTCCTGATGCCATTCACCCTCAACTTCATAATCACCAATCTGCATTATACGCCAGATATGGGGCACCCAGGCTCCTGGAACTTCAACTTCACGGAGAAGGCCCTGAGTCGCTTGGTAAGAGCCTGCCAATGCCCACACTGGCCTGCCTTGGCTCCCCATCCAGTTCCCCTGACCTAACCTGCTGATCCCCCTCTCCCTGCCTTCCTCATAGCTGGAGCCCTTGTTCAAGAACACCAGTCTTGGATCCAGTTACTCGGGTTGCAGACTGACCTTGCTCAGGTGTGACTTCATTCCTTCACATCATATAGGGCTTCACGGTCACAGACAAGCTCACCTGGAACCGGGGGCCCAGGCATAACTCCTAGGAAACAAAGGTCATTCAAGACTGCAGCCATCCAGGAAACCAGACTTGGAAGTTCTCCCTTCTGGCTGAAAGCATCAGAGAAGGCTTCCTGAAAGAATAGCTTTCAAAGATCTTAAACCGCTCGGATAAGCAGAGGCCTGTAGCACTCAGGTTCATTGTTCAGAGCAGGCAGCACTGATCCCTTAACTGCAAATGGAATGAGATGCCTCAGGCCATGTCCTGTGCTAAGGCCACTGAGGAAGTCAAGCACAGCACCCTTCCCTCAAGGTGCCCAGCAGGTAGAAAGGGCGGCAGCCACCTGAACGGGAAGCCATAATTATAAACGAGGTTAGCATGACCTTTAAGCTCTGCACAGTGGCCCTGGGAGCCCAGGGAAAGGAATTTTGGTTCTGCCTAGTGGAGTTGGATAGAGGTTAAATAGACAATATCCAGGAAATACTGGCAAGGATGTTGCTTCAGGGGTGGCACACTGGAGGAGTGCATCAGATGTGAGCAATACACAAGAAAAATCCTTTGAAATTGGAGAGTAGAGTAGGACAGATGGCAACGGAACGAAGAATGAGTGGGAGATGAAGAAAGGAAGGAATGCAGTGAGGAAGGAAGGGAGGAAAGGAGGAGGGGCAGGGTAAAGGGAGGGAGGGAGGGAATGAATGAGAGAATCAGAGTAGAGTGAGTGAGAGGGAATATAACGCAGGCAGGAAGGAGGTTGTGTTGGGGCCTGCTGAGAAGATGGATGGAAGTATACTTGCATGAGCAGAGGATGAATTCCAACCTGGGTGGGTATCATCAAGATTTCAGGCTGGAACTGGGGCTAAAAGCCATTCTAGGGAGTTTCTATAGACTTTTGTATAGCAAACAAGGTTAAGCACTACTGGTCACACATTAATGAGGTCACATTCTACTTCGCATCCCACACTAGCTGTGTGATGTGTGGGAAGTTCTTGAACACTGCTATGACTATAAAACAACTGCAGTTAATAACATTGTACTGTAGACTTCAAATCTGCTGAGAGCAATCTCACGTGCTCTCACACCTCCCCAACACTCACACAGGGTAACTCTGTGAGGGGATACGAATGTTCATGAGCTTGATGCGAGCTATTTTGCAACATCTCTGTCTATCAAAACACCAAATTACATTTCCATAAAACTGTTACTTAGGAAGAATTTTAAACATCAACATGGGAATAACCAGCATCTACCTCTTGGAGCTGTTCAAATGGGATAGCAAATGTAAAAAGCTGAGCACCTAGTTGGTATTCCATAAATATTCGTCATAATTAGAGCTGTGGGCAGCCATGGGGTTGTTGCAAACAGAGCCCTGACAATGGTGCAGAAAGGAACAACTCAGTGTGAGGATGGGATAGATGGGCAGGCCACCAGGAAGCTGCACTGGACCTGGGAATAGTTTGGATGTGGGGAGAAAGGGTGGCAGAAGGTCCGAGGGGGCTCCTAGGTCACTGGTATGGAAACATGAGAGAAGTAGCAGTGTGCTGTGTGTTCATGGGGGAAGAGGATGAGCTTGATTTGGGATATATGGAACCCAAGGTTCTTGAGGACAACCCGAGGCTGTTAGTTGCATGAGACAGAGCTCGGGAGAGAGGTCTTGTCCAGAGAAAGACACTGAGTCTCATGGTTGTAGAGCTGATGACTATGAACCCACTGACCCAGAAGATTGGGGAATGAAAGAGGAGGTGGTTGAGAAGATGGCCCTAGGGATCCACTCTTTTTCAGTATGTTAGGGGGCCTTCAGGAGAAGCCAGACAAGACCTATCAAAGAGAGATGTCACATAACCAGGATGAGATGGATGAGCTCAGTTTGAAGGAAGGATTTGAACAGAGTTATCTAATTCTTCCTGTCACTCTAGACCTGAGAAGAATGGGGCAGCCACTGGCGTGGATGCTGTCTGCACCTACCGTCCTGACCCCACGGGTCCCAGTCTGCGCAGAGAGCAGCTGTACCAGGAGCTGAGCCAGCTGACCCATGATATCACCCAACTGGGCCTCTTCACCCTGGACAGGAGCAGCCTCTATGTCAATGGTGAGTGTCTGCACTATAACACCTCCACATCTCTGTATGTCACCAGTTCTCAGCTAGGAGAAAATCTGCCTCCCAGGGGACATTCGGCCATGTCTGGAGACATTTTCATGTCTTGACTGGATGGAGTCTAATGGCATCTAGCAGGCAGAGGTCATGGCTGCTGCTGTACACTCCACCACCTACCAGGAAACTTGCCACCATGAAGCATTTTCTAGATGAGAATGTCAATAGCACCAGGGTTGAGAAATGGCTGCACACAAACCCACAGTCCTGGTACCAAGCCAACTTAACAAACCAAGGGAGGCTCATTTCCCTTCTCCTTTGGCCTCATGGGTTGAAATGTTTCCTTCTCCTCCATAGTCCTACTTCATGGCCAAGAAAGAACAGGGAGAGAACTGAGAAAGAATGGGGGTGTGTCCTGTGGTTAGAATGCTCTCAAGGGGCAGCAGGTGCAGAGAACAGCCCTCACTCCACTTTTCTCTCCTTCCTAATAACTATAGCAAATTCTATTCCCAATGGCCAGCTTCACCATACAGGCTTTGTAAAACACCACCTTCCTCTGCAAACACACCATGAGTGACAACTGTTTACACAACACTGTTAGCTTCAGGGCCCCTCCCAGCAAAGCTACCATCAAGAATAACAGCTCAAATAGCAGCTCATGTGTATCAAAAGCTTCCTGGGTGCCAGTGAGTGTGATAAGAACTTTTGTTTGCATTGTCTCATATGAATTCCACTCATAACTGTGGGCAACGATGCTCATTTTTATAGACAGCCATCACCCATTCAGAGAGAAAGTCATTTGTTGGTGTCTGCCCATTATAATGGGTGACAGAATGGAGATGCCAATCAAAGATTGGAGACACTGCTAAACTCCTGGCTCCCTGCAGACCATCCAGAGCAAGTCCCAAACCTCAGGACAGGGAGGGCTGCTGATAGGCTGTAGTCTAGCAATCCAACTTAATGGCAAACTCATTACTTTCCCCTCTATGTCTACTTGGAAATTCCCTTTATATCTGGTTAGAAACATATATTTTCTTGTATTATCAATAGGATATCCTCTGCTGTGTCTAGAGGTTTGTTCTAGGATTGAGACCAATTTAGAATTTTGTTGAATCATGAGAATTTTTTTTAAAGATTCATTCATTTATTTGAAAGGCAAATTATAGGTAGAAATTATAGGTAGAAAGAGATCTTCCATCTACTGCTTCACTTCCCAAATGACTGCAACAGCCAGGGGATGGGCCAGACTGGAGCCAGGAGCCAGGAGTCAAGAACTCCATCCAGGTCTCCCACATGGGTGGCAGGGGCCCATGCACTTGAGCCATCATCTGCTGCTTTTCAGGCTCATTAGCAGGAAGCTGGATTGGAAGCAGAGCAGGACTCCACCTGGCACTCTGATATGGCACTCCAGTGTCCCAAGCAGGGGCTGAACTCCCAGTGCTTCAACACCAGCTCCAACCATGTGGACCTTTCTGTGGGCTATTTGTGGGATCCTGAATGAACTATACAACCTCTCTAGACTTTGGTGTCCCATTTGTAGAATGGAATGAAAACACATACCACATGGGATTGTTCTGATGAGCAAAGGAGGCAATTCAGGCATAACTGGATCTAGGCCAGGGCTTCCTTTGGTCCAGTCTACACTTGGATCTCTCATGACAGCATCGGGCAAGAAGCAACCCACAGCCTGGAAAATACTCAGGAGAAGTTCTCTCTTCCCTATCTCCTTTCAGATGCCAACTTGTTATACCATTCACATGCCCCCAAGTCTCTCCCCTCTTTCACCAGAACATCCTTTCCCCAAAATTTCCCAATTACAAAATTTCCCATTACAAAAAAACCCAGCAACTAAACTAGTGGGGAAAAAATCATACTCTCATAAAATTTGAGGAAAGGAGACATAAAATTAAATTACCTTCTGGACTGAGAGACCTGGATGGAATTCCTAGCTCATAGCTTTGGCCTGGCCGAGCCCTGGCTGTTGCAGTCATTTGGGGAATGAACCAGTGGATGGAAGATTCTCTCTCTCTCTCTCTTTCTCCATCATTCTTTCAAATAAACATCTTAAGAAAAACAGAACTACCATTCTGGATGGACAGATCTGCATAAGGGTTAGAGTGCACAACCCTTCACAGAGGCAGGTGCTTAGCATTAGTGCTGGTGCCTATTGTGCTCCTGATAAACAGAGGCAGCTCGGATGCTATTTTTGCTTTGGTGATAATTATGCCGATGGTGCTAATAGATGCCAAATAAAATGTGGCCACTGACTGCTGATGAACCCCCAGAAGTTCCTACCCTCTCCCGGCCAACTTCACTCTCCTTCCTGACTCTTCCTTCTCTGTCTGCAGGTTACAACAGGCCGTATTGGACCCCTCCCACCAGCAGTGAGTAGACAACGCTGTGATGACCTCCATGTCCCTAGGACTTGTCCCTCCCCAGAGAGCATTCCTAGGAAGAGGAGCTGACAACATCCCCTCACTTTGTGCCTCAGAGCAGCCCTAGGGCCCACCCAAGGTCTTGGTCTGAGTCAAGATAGGAGCCTAAATTCTAAGGAACGGTTTCCATCTCACATTCCCTTAGGATGGGACCTCATCATCCCCCTGTGTTCTTTTCCTCGGTTCTGGGAACTTCCACAGTCTCTCCAGGACTATCCATAACTCCTGTCCCATACCTAGCAGGTAGGGACGCACTCTCTAAGCTGTGCAGAACTTCAGCCCTCCGTGGCCCACAGCTGGCCAGCCTTGGCCTGGCCAACAGATATAATTTAGGAAAAATGGAATCTTGTTCAAAGAAGGCAGAGAAATGGAACATGTGATTTACATGGGAAGATAAACATGTCAGAAGTTTCTAGAACATACAAGGGTACTTCAGAAAGTTTGTGGAAAAATGGAACACCCTACACCCTATGTCAAATACCCTTTCTCACTCCAGGCCATTTCTCCTCAGCTCCTGTGACCTCCACACTCCTCCCAAAGACCCCAGTGGTGCCAACCAACATCACCAGCTCCACAGGTAGGAGACTTCTCTCCCCAGCTCCGCCTGGGAAGTCAAGGTCATCAGCCTCAAAACTAGCACCCAGCCAGCCAGTGTGAAGGAGCCTAGAGCTGTCATGGGTCAGGCCACTCTTGCCCTGCTTTGGACTCCTCAAGAGCAGGGGATGTGACCTCTCCGTTCCTCCAGCTGTGCTGACCTTGGGAAAGTCACTCATCTCCTCACTGCCTCAGTTTACTCATCTGCCAAGTGGTTGTTTTGAACATAAATCCAGCTAAGCAGATCTCTGTGGGGCACCTGTTGTGTTCTGGGCAGAGGGGACAGGGTATTCAGTAAGTCCAAAACAGTCCTTCTCCTCACCAAGTTCAGAGGGTAGAGGGAAAGACTGAGAGGGGGCAGGCAACCACCACCGAGGATAATAAAAGAGAACCACATTCTACAGCACTTACTATGTGTCATGCCATGTGCTCTATCCATTTATTTTTAAAAATTTACTTTGGGTCAGCGCTGGGGCACAGTGAGCTAAGCTGCCACTTGCAATATCAACAACTTGTATTAGAGTTTCGGTTCAAGTCCCAGCTCTTCTGCTTCTAATCCAGCTCTCTGCTAATGTGCCTGGGAAAGCAGTGGAACATGGACCAAGTATGTAGGCCTCTACCACCCACGTGGGAGATGCATATGGAGCTCTGGGTTCCTGGCTTTGGCCTGGCCCAACCCCAGCCATTGTGAGCATTTGGTGAGTGAACCAGTGGATGGGAAATCTCCCTGTCTCTCTCCCTCTCTCTGTCACTCTGCCTTTCAAATAAATAAATATTTAAAAAAAATTTTACTTACTTGAAAGGCATAAAGAGAGAGAGAGGGAGAGAGAGAGAGAGAAGCAGAGACAGAAACTTCACACCTACTGGTTACTCTCTATATACCTACAAGAGCTGGGTCTGGGTCAGGCCAAAGCCAGGAGCCAGAAACTCACTCAGGGTCTCCCAGAAGGGTGACAGAAACCCAAGTGATCCATCACTGTTATCTCCCAGGGTGCACATTATCAGGAAGCTGGAACTGGAAGTGAGGCTAGGATTTGAATGCAGGCATTCCCATATGGGATGCAGGCATTTGAACTGCTACACCACACACCCGCCCTGTGTTTTTATTTTCAACTTTTCATTTTTTAGTGAATAAATAATGTTAGTATGATGTCAACATCAGGAAATTGATATTGTTAAAATCCACAAAGCTCAGTCTGTTATTACTGGTTTTACATACACCTTGTATGTATGTGTGTGTGTGGTTTTATGTTATTTCATCACCACTGCAATCCAGATACAACACTGAAGGCTTCCATCCCCACAAGGTCTCCCCATGCTACTCTTGTACGACCACACCCATCCAGCCCAACCCCAGGCAGCCACTCATCTGTTCACCATTGCTGTAGTTTTATTTCCAGAATGTTCTATAAATGGAAACACACAACATGGGATCTGAGGATTGTCTTTTCTCACTCAGCACAATGCCCTTGAGATGTGTTAACTCTTCGAATGTTGACTTAACCTGTAGAGTGTGATTCTCCCCACTTTACAGTGGAAGAAACTGAGGTGGGACCAGGGAACAGGTCCACAATCACAAAGCTGTGGAGGGGGAGAGGTGGGGTTTCAAACTGAATCTGGGTCCCTGGCATGTTGGTAGCCATGGTAACTGGTTGTATCATGTGCTCTCCTTATTTAAGGGCAAGTGCTAGGAGTTCTGGGGTGGGTGGGGAAGGGTAAAGTTGAGTAGGTGAGCAACCCTCTAGGGACTACTATTTGAAATTTTTTTAAAAAAAGATTATTTATTTGAAAGGTAGAGTTACCAAAAGAGAGAAGGAGAGAGAGAAAGAAAAAGATCTTGTATCTGAATGTCCCACATGGGTGGCAGAGGCCCAAGTACTTGGGCCATGTTCTGCTGCCCTTCCAGGCACATTACCAGGGTGCTGGATCAGAAGAGCAGGAACCAGGACTGGAACCCATGCTCTGATATATATGACACTTTGATGCCTGTATTGCAAGTGGCAGCTCAACCTACTGCGCCACAATGCCAGCCACTGCTATTATTATTTTTTAAATATTTGTTAAATGTTGAATGAGATTGAATATTCTTTTCCTTACTTGTCCTCAAAACTACGAGACTGCCCCAATCATTCTGAACACGAGCCCATCAAGGCTTATGTGGGCCCTCAGTAGAGTGAAACACATCTCTGTCACCCAAGGCCGCCCATATACCTGCTCGGGTCCCTTCACTTTCTAGGCCTGGATTTTACATTTCACCACATCCTGCTTTGCTCTTTCCTTGACTCTCCATCTTCCTGTCCTAACTAAGGTAGTGTCTGCCTGCTACAGACCCTCTGCCTTGGTCCTCAGAAGCTGACTTAGAGCCCAGTCCAGGTCTGACTCAGGCACGGCCTCCTTTTCTCCCTCCCCTGCTGCAGTGGCTGTCCCCTTCCTGGTGCCCTTCACCCTCAACTTCACCATCACCAACCTGCAATATGAGCATGACATGCAGCGCCCAGGCTCTTGGAAGTTCAACAGCACGGACAGCATCCTGCAGGGTCTGGTGAGAGCCCTACCCACTGATGCCAACCTCTCCTGCCATGCCCAGGCCCCACCCACTGATACCCCAACCACAAAAACTGGGCCCCATCCACCCCACTCAGGCCACAACCCATGGTACAGCTCTGCCCATGACACTCCTGTTCCTTCCATCCCACCAATGCATCCCTTAATGCACCTTTCTCTCCTCCCTCTCCTTCCTCACAGCTCAAACCCTTGTTCAAGAATAGCAGCCTGGGATTCCTCTACTCGGGCTGCAGGCTAGCATCACTCAGGTGAGACCCTCCCCAAGGGAAACACAGCCCAGTGGGCGGATGGGCCCTGAAAGCTCTGGGATCCCTGACCCTGTCAGTACTTGGAAGTACTACTGCCCGTGGACACTGAGCACCAGCAGCTAGACCAGCAATCAAGATCACTACCACCCTGGGCGCTGTTTTGTACACTTTGTATCTGCTATCTCATCAGCCCAAGTAACAACCTCACAGAGCAGACACAGACAGGGAACCTAGGCTCAGAGACCACAGAGGGCTGATGTTGGGTCCCACATCTTTGCTTAGGGTGGGGACCCCTGGAGAACAGTGAGCTTCCTTGCCACCTTCCCAGTTTTCACAGTAGAGGGAAAGAAAGGGAAAGAAGGAGACGAAAGGTTGGAGACAGCTGCACTAAGCACGTGACGCTCTTGCCTAGGTCTGAGAAGGATGGGGCAGCCACCAGAGTGGACGCCATCTGCAAACATCGCCCTGACCCTAAAGGCTTGGGACTGCAGAGAGAGCGGCTGTACTGGGAGCTGAGCCAGCTGACCCACGGCGCCACTCGTCTGGGACCCTATAGCTTGGACAGGGACAGTCTCTGTGTGGATGGTGAGTAGCTGTGATGTGGTTAGAACTTCTTCCCCCACACCAGGCAGCCTCCACTCTGCTGGCCCGTTGCAGGCTCTGCCATGTGCTCTGCATGTGCTCATTTGGGTCTGGACCTCAGGATTTCTTCCTCATCTTGGACTGACTTCATCCTCAGGGTCTTCTTCCCCAGGCTGAGCATGCTCAGAGAGAATTCCCAGGAGCCTCTGCTTCGTGAGACCTCCTCCATCACACCAGGGTAGCACTGGCCCCTAATTCATCCCCTGCCTCTCCCTTAACCATTACTCACTGTCTTCCCTCCCTCTCACCGCAGGTTTCACCCACAGGAGTTCTGCAACCATCACCAGCAGTGAGTATTCAACTGATGTCCCAGTGCCCTTCTCCATCCCTCACCAAGTAGGACAGGAGCTGACCCCTTGTGTCCTCTCCAGCAGGAAAGGAACTGCAAGGGCATAAGTTATTAGTCCTCCCCTGTACCCCAGCTCACAGAGAGCCCCAGATCTGTCCCTGTGTGCAGCAAGCTCCAACAACAGTCCCTGCTTCTGGCATTTATGCCATGAGAGTGTCTCAATGCTTTCAATGATGTGGGCTTCTCCTCAGTTCCTGGGATCTCCACAGTGGACCTGGGAATGCCTGGGACTCCATCCTCTTTCTCTGTGCCCATGGGTCAGTACTGGAACATGGCACCACTTAGAGGGCGCCCAATGATACTACTCACTTGATAGAGGTGCAAAGTCATGGCAAATGCAGTGATCAGGAGTCAGCTAATAACCTTCCTTCAACTCTGGGCTGGGCCCTAGGGATGCAGCATGGGAGACAAAACAAAGTCTCTCTCTCCAGAGAGCTTATATTCTTGTGAGGGTGGCAGTGGTTTTGATGATGATGAAGGTGTTGATGGTGAGGATAACCATGCTGCTGCTACTGCTGGTCATGATGATGATAAAGGTGGTGACAGTGATGATGATGATGATGAAGGTGGTGACAGTGATGATGATGAAGGTGGTGATAGTGATGACAATGATGGTATCAGGTGGTTATAGTGATGATGATGATGAACATGCTGCTGCTGCTGCTGCTGCTGCTAATGATCGTCTTAGTCCACTTTCTGTTGTTATAACTGAATTCCACAGTTTTGGTCACTTATAAAGGATAAGAGTTTATTCAGCTCATGGTTGTGGAGGACCAAGGTCTAGCAGCCACAGCCAGTGAAGGCCTTTTTCTGGTGGGGGACTCTCTTTAGAGTTCCAAGGTGGTGAGAGGCACCACACAGAGAAACAGAACAAATGCACTAGCGTCACTCTTGCTTCCTCTTCTAATAAAACTGTGAGTGCAAACTCAGGACCTCATCCAACCCATTTGCTTCCCAAAGACCCACCTGAAAATATCATTCATGTATGACTCTGGAGATTAAGTATCCAACACATGAATTCTGGGAGACACACCCAAGCCATTGCAGTGGTGGTGAGTGATGGAAATGATGATGTGATGGTGATAGTTGTTACCACGGAGAGTACAGACAATACCTCACATTATTGAGTGCCAAATATGCACTTGGAGCTTTCATTTTAGGCAAGCAAGACATGGAAACCTTTCATTTATCACTCCTTTTAAATCCTGTTGCTTATGTAAAAATAAGTCTATTGCAAGCTCTTGCATTTTCTCTGCTTTTGAGCATTTTATTTATTTCTGCTTACCCTAGTGCTGAGTAAACCTGCTGGATGGATCAACTGTAACTCACTCCTTCATACCTCTCGACTGTCTACTCAGTGCTTTGTGCACAATAGAGCTAAAAGAAGCTCTACTGGGTTTCTTTCCCCCAGGAAATGGAGAAATGAAGTACCCTTTCTTATAATGAATGCATGTATTCATTTCCTGCCCCCATTAGAATCACTAATGATGCTGTCATATCTACTCTAGGACAACAACATGACATCTGTGCCACCTCCTCCTTCATGGCAGACATCATAGTTGAAAATAGCATCCACTTTTTTTTTTATTCTAGACCGTTACAGAATCTTCCCCAACATAACACCCCCAAAAACTTGCTACCAATTGTCACAAGACTTTAGGTCCCCTTCTACACATCTGTGGAAGGTTCTCTGGTTTTCCTAGAAGGCTTCTGTGAGTTGAAAGGCTGCAAACTACATTTTCCAAGATCTCCTTGCTAATTTCCTGTTAGGTTCAGACAACAGGAGTCAGCATGGGTGAAATAGTGGTGGGCAGAGTGGGAGAAAAAACCAGGTATTTTTTCACCTCTCTCTCTGCTTCATGTAGCACCCCCCTCAGGAACTGCATCTCCTCCATGGTCTGAGCCATCTCCCATGTGCCACTCCCTTGTCTCTTCGTCCCTTTAGCTCTATGGGACAAAAGGCTTCCCGATTTTGCTAAGCTCGATGTTACCCTTTTGGGTATTTTTTTTTTTTGACAGGCAGAGTGGACAGTGAGAAAGAGACAGAGAGAAAGGTCTTCCTTTTTCCATTGGTTCACCTCCCAATGGCCGCTGCGGCCGGTGTGCTGCGGCCGGCGCACCGCGCTGATCCTAAGCCAGGAGCCAGGTGCTTCTCCTGGTCTCCCATGTAGGTGCAGGGCCCAAGCACTTGGGCCATCCTCCACTGCACTTCTGGGCCACAGCAGAGAGCTGGACTGGAAGAGGAGCAACCAGGACAGAATCCGGCTCCCAGACCGGGGCTAGAACCCTGGGTGTCGGTGCCACAGGCAGAGGATTAGCCTATTGAGCCGTGTATTCCTATTATTTAAATAGCTGACACGAATTTTATTTTCTTAACTAGAAATATATGTGCCTATATGGTGATGCCCTGCAGACAGCTAGTGCTCAAGAAATATTTGTGCAAGGAAGAAAGGACCTAAAACTGTGACAAGGGACCCTAAGCCTGTGTCTGGTACAAAACTAGGCCAATATGCAGAAGGTCACTTTAGTTAATCTCAGATCCAGGCTCCTGGGAGAAGAACCAAGTCCAGAAAGAAAGAACATCTGGACAGGACTTAAGGATGCTCCCTGCCTACAATGCATCAGCAACCAAGTTGGGTGGAGCCCTCTGGTGGAGAGGGCTGGAGCTGGCTCGGGGAAGCTCTGGACAGGGAACAGAGAAGGAATGAGAGAGGAGACACTGAGAGGCAGGGAAGAGGCTGAATAGGTGGCAGAGGGGAGAGCTGTAAATCACCGAGACAGACATTCTTCCCTGTGCTCCAGTCTGTGTACAGTGTCTGAGTTTTGAGGCCACTCTTGATACTAGGGGTCTTCAAAGTTCATGGAAGATGTGTCTGATGAAAAAAATAAGCATGGACTTCACATATTTTTATCTGGCACCAAAATAAACTTGCCCTGTAATTCCATTTTCCCACAAACTGACTGAAGCCCCACTGACTAACTACTGGATCCACAGAAACCCAGTGGGTCCCTTGGTCTTGTCTCTTTCCCCATCTCCTGTCCCCACTGTCTTCACCTCTCCTTCTCTGTTCTTCAGGTTCTACCCCACGGACCTTGGCTTCCACTCCAGGCTGTGAGTAATTTGGGTCCTGGCATTGCTGTGCCTGGGGACCCATCTGTTTTCTCCACTGTCCCCTGCCCTACGCCCTGAGGGAGGGACGGAGCAAGGCTGGCCCTGGTCTTTGCCCATCTTCATCCCCAAGCTCAGAGAAGACCACCCAGCACAGGATGGAGGGTGAACAGGGAAAACAGTCGTGAGGCCCCACAATGGACCCTTTCTTGTCTGGGGAGGTCCTCTCTCCTCCCATCTTCAGCTCCTTGTGTTTTCTTTCCAGTTGCTGTGACTTCTGCTGCCATCCCAGTCCCCACAGGTAGGAACTTTCTCCCTGAGACTCCTCCCTACAAAGCTCAAGTGTCCTTGGCCAGTGGGAGGTGTGTGACCCACAGAGCCCTCAATCCTCATTCATTTATTCAGCAAATATGTTCACAGAAAATGCATGTTATGAAAAGACTGGACATGGATTTCAAACTTCTTTTCCACCAAAATGAACTTTTACTTTTCCATTTGAGAGGCAGGGAGTCAGAGACAGAGAAAGAGACACTGAAGGAGAAAGCTGTCATCTCCTGATTCACTCTCCAAATATTCACAACAGCCAGGACTGGGCTGAGTGGAAGCCAGGAGCTAGGAACTCAATCCAGGTCTCCGGTGAGGGGCAAGGACTGAACCATTTGAATGATCACCGCTGCCTCCCAGGGTGTCATCAGCAGGAAGCTGGAATCAGAAGCAGAGCTGGGACGTGAACTTAGGCACTCCCGTGTGGGATGTGGGTGTCCCAACCGGCATCTTAACCTGTAGACCAAACGCCTCCCCGTAAACTTGTGTCTCCTTAAATCTTCAAATTCCACAAACTTTTTGAGGTACCCTTGTATCTACTAAGCCCTTTTCTATATAAAAGGCCATGGAAAAGTAGAAGTAAATGGAATAGAAAGGACCCTGGTATTTGATGGACACCCAGTGAAGAAGATGGGACTTTACAGATCAGTACTGAATTACCCTCAGGGTGGCCCTGGGGTGAGTTTCTGCAGGTGTGTGGGCCATTTCCCCTCTCTGGCACTTAGTTTTCACTTTCAGCAAAGCAGAGAACAGCATGAGCTATGTGTACACTTGGACAAATGTCCTCTTACAAGTCATGGTCAGTGACTTGGGCAGGATCTGGTTGAGCCAAAGACCTTTCTTAAAAAATTATTATGTATTTGAAAGGCAGAGCAACAGAAAAACAGGAAAGGAGAGAGCACTGGGGAGAGATGAAGTCCATTCTGGTCTCCCATGTGCGTGGCAGGAGCCCTCATCCTTGGGTCACCTTCCACTGCCTTCCCAGGTACTTGAGCAGGAAGTTGGATCAGAAGCAGAGTAGCTGGGACTACAACTACAAGGGCCACTCCAATATGGGGTGCTGGCATCACAAGTGGCTGAACCTGCTGTGCCACAGTACCAGCTCCCAGCTTCCCGTTCTCGGCCTCCCACACACCCAGAGCGGAATTCTGCATCGCCCATCTGCTCTGAGGATGAGCCGGCATCATTGCTGTCTTACAGGAAGTCTCTACTGAGACACAGCTAGCGCCTCCCATTGGTGTTCTGACCACTGACCACTCAGGTCAGAACGGGTGGTCACTGCAGTCTGCACCTGCCCATGGTCCTAGGTGAAGGGTTAGGAGCACAGACACTGGAGACACAAAGCCTGGGTTTGAATCAGGCTCTGCCACTGAGGGACTGTGTACCTCGGGGCAAACTTGGAGTCCCCTTTTGCTCAGGTTTCACGGGGGATTACTATTACTGGCAACCCTTCTCCAAAGCAAGGAGCTAAATGTAAGTGAACATTTAGAACAGAGTCTGACACAGAGTGCGCTGTAAGCATTTCTTCAAAAAAATTAAAAATTTCCAATTAAAAATGTGTTTAAAGTGATATTAAATGTTGTCTATAGTTATGGGCTACCATGTGATGTTTCATTATACATGTGTAATGGCCATTCAGAGAATATAAGTCCATCTCCTGTAATGTTTTACATGTATTCATGGTGAAAATAATTCAACAGCCTATGGCCTTACAGTCTGTTTATAGAGCAATATTCAGTCCACTGACATTCTCTACAGTCACCCTACTGTGCTGGGGAACCCCAAAACATCTTACTTCTCTCTATCACTTGGTTCCTGTGAACTAACTCTTCCCCTCCTCGGCCTCTGGCCACCCCCAGTGCACTTCTAACTTCTGTGGGATCACCTTTTTATTTGGACTTCACAGATGAGTCAGTCCATGTGTGATACTTGTCTTTCTCTGTCTGGCTTAGTTCATTTCACTTAATGGGCTCCAGTTCCATCCATGTTGCTGCAAAGGACAAACTTTTGGCCTTTTTAAAATAACTGGATAGTATTCCATTGTGTATATGTATCATGTTTTCTTTATCCACTCATTAGTGGATGGACACTCACATTGCTTCCCTTTCTTGACTACGAACACATTTTATAAAAATACTATTTGTTTTCATTTGATTTGGAAGGCAGAGAGATGGAGAGATTTTCCATCCACTGGCTCACTCCTCAAATACCCACAGCATCCAGGGCTGTGCTCGGCCTAAAGCCATGAGCCTGGAATTCAGTCTGGGTCTCAAGACATTACGTGGGTGGCAGAGACCCAGGTATACTCGAGCCATCACCTGCTTCCTCGCAGGGTGTGTATTAGCAGGAAGCTGGATTGGAAGTAGAGGAGCCAGGATTTGAATCCAGGCACTCAGACACGGGATGTGGGTATCCCGAGAAGCAACTTGACTGCCACACCAAATGCTCACCCCAAATAATTTTTAAAAATCAATAAATATATAGATCTTAGAAAACAACTCGGGTTAAGAAAAAAAAACTAAAAAATCAGAATGTCTGTCTGGAATTTTAGCTTCTTGAGGGTTAGATATGTTTGTTTTCTGCCTAATGACATATAAATGGATTTTACAATGTTCGTGGAAAAATGAAATCCACTGATAAGTTTATTTTGGTGCAAAAATTCTTGAAATCCACGCATAATATTTTCATAATATTCCTTTTCCAAGAACTTTTGGACAGCCCCTCATATGTACAGATTTCATTTTTTTGCATCAGAATATCCATCTTTCAGTTGCATTTCCTGCAGATTTTTTTCATTTTCCACAAACATTTTTCCTCCATAGCGCACTCTTTCATACTTGTCCCCAGGGCCCTCCGTTAATGCTGACGTCTGGGTCTCTTCCCATCCTGGAGGGCGGCCCTCCACAGTGCTTGAAGACTCATCTGGTCTCCCTCATGCTCAGGTGCACCACAAGCTAACACAATTCGTCTCCTTCCCACCCCCATTGCAGTAGCTGAATCCTTCCTGGTGCCCTTCACACTCAACTTCACCATCACGAACCTGCACTATGAGGTCGACTTGAGTCGCCCTGGCTCCTGGAGCTTTAACAGGATGGAGAAGATCTTGCAGAGCCTGGTGAGAGCCCCACCCACAGCAACCTGCCCCTCAATGAAAGCCCTGCCCACCTCACCTATGCCATGCCCATAAGAAAAATTCCCACCCCTCACCATCTCTGCTGCTGCAGACTCAGGGAACCAGGCCCGCCCACTGATGCCAAAGCCACATCCACCTTACGCTGCCCCTGTCCCTAACCCCTAAGGCTTCTATTTTCACCTCCCTTTCTTCCACAGCTTGGGCCCTTGTTCAAGAACACCAGTGTTGGCCCCCTGTACTCTGCCTGCAGCCTGACCTTGCTCAGGTGAGACCTCAGATGACTCTTTGGTCAGGGCTGCCTCAAGTGCTCCCAGGCCTAAGGAGCTCCTACCCTTCTGGGGGATGTCCTCAGCCCAGGTGGGATCCAGGACCAAGGGGTCTCCTGATGCTACCACCTCCCCACCCCTACCTGTCTGAATTCTGCACAGTCCATCAGCAGAACTGGCTCCTCTTCTTGGTCATTCTTTCTAAATTCCCACCTTCCTTCAGGCTATGCATTTCTTTTAAGATGAATATGCCTTCTCTGCTTGTGCTGATCCTCAATCCCAGCTCTTCACCTCAGAACCCTGAACTCTCTGTCCCATGCCATGAGCTGCAGGGTGCAGCCCCATAACTCATTAGTTTCCTCCCTCCCATAAGCCTTTCTTGCATTCTTGGCCTGGCTCCGAGACTGTACAGTCACAAAGTCTGAGCCTGCTCCTTCCTGCCCTGCCCCGGGAATCTCGGGATCCCTTTCCAGGACAATTTATTTATTGTGAACTCTTCTCACGCCCTCCCCAGGTCAGAGAAGGATGGGGCAGCTACAGGCGTGGATTCCGTCTGCACCTACCACTCCCACCCCACAGGCCCTGGGCTGGACAGAGAGCGGCTGTACTGGGAGCTGAGCCAGCTGACCCATGGTGTCACTCAGTTGGGCCCCTACACCTTGGATCAGGGTAGTCTGTATGTCAATGGTGAGCAGTAGTCGTATGTGTTTTGCTGTACTGTTAAGCCCATGGTCCCACTTCTGGGACTCTCTCCCTCCTCACCTGTTCTTTCTTTGCCTCTGCAGGTTACACCCACCGGATCCTGGCCACCACCCTGAGGAGTGAGTGTTTAGAGGGTTCATAAACCTCTGCCATCCCTATAAGTCCCAGCTCTTTCCAATGAGTGGTCAAGACCCTATGCATGCACTCTCCAGACCCCCTACTCTAGCCCTAGCCTCAAAATAAAAAGGGACCTATACCCTTTTGGCCCTGGGCATGGACATCCCATCTCCATGATGATGTGGTGTTCACCACAGGCGCTTGTTTTTTCTCTCCTGCCAGCTTCTACGGTGGCCACCATTTCCTCCCCAGCTGCGGCTGCCAGCCCTGCCGTGGTGCCCTTTACCCTCAACTTCACCATCACAAACATGCCCTACGTGACAGACATGCAGCCCGGCTCTGCGAAGTTCAACTCCACAGAGTCAATCCTACAACACCTGGTAGGAGCCCCCTGCTACCATCCCTCTTTATCAACTTTCTCCCCCAGCCTCTTTGGGTCCCCCTGCAAAATTCCGGATGACTGGAAAGGTTCAAACCTTGGGGCAGGAGTGGGCATTTGGCACAGTAGTTACGACGCCAGGTGGGACGTTGCCATCCCCTTTTAGTGGGGCTGGGCTTGAGTTCCAGCTCCACATCTGATTCCAGCTCTCTGCTAACACAGATTGCAGGAGGCAACAGGTGATGTCTCAAGTAGCTGGGTTCCTGCCACCCACATGGGAGATGCAGAATGAGTTCCTGGGTCCTGGCTCTGGTCTAGCCCAGCCCTGGCAGTTGTAGGCATTTGTATATGCCAAGTGGTGTCTTAACTGCCTAACCAAATGCCTACCCCAATAGATTTTTTTTTAAAGCACTGTGTTTTCCTAATTTTTAAAGTTTATTTTTTAAAGGTGCATTTTATTTATTTGAAAGTCAAGAGTTACAGAGAGAGGGATCTTCTATTCACTGGTTCACTCCCCAGATGGCTTAATGGCTGGGGTTGGGCCAAAACAAAGTCCGGAGCCAGGAGCTTCATCTGGGTCTCCCACGTGACTGGCAGGGGCCCAAATACTTGGGGCATCTCCAACTGCATTTCCCAGCCCATTAGCAGGGAGCTGGACTGGATATGAAGCAACCGGGACACCAACCGGTACCCATACGGGATGCCGGCATCACAGGCAACAGCTAGTAGCCCCAACACCACAATACTGGCCCCTTAATTTTTTTTTTTTTTTGACAGGCAGAGTGGACAGTGAGAGAGAGAGAGAAAGGTCTTCCTTTACCACTGGTTTACCTTCTAATGGCTGCTGCGGCTGGCACACTGCGGCCGGCGCACTGCGCTGATCCGAAGCCAGGAGCCAGGTGCTTCTCCTGGTCTCCCATGTAGGTGCAGGGCCCAAGGACTTGGGCCATCCTCCACTGCACTCCCAGGCCACAGCAGAGAGCTAGACTGGAAGAGAGGCAATCAGGATAGAATCTGGCACCCTCACCAGGACTAGAACCTGGTGTGCCGGCGCCACAGGCGGAGGATTAGCCTATTGAGCTGTGGCGCAGGTCGACCCCTTAATTTTTATTTTTGATTGACATAATATTTGTAGCTATTTATGGGATATTGTGTAATTAGTCCATATGTGCATATAAGGCACAATGATCAGATCAAGGTGACTACCATTTCTATGTCCTCGAATATGACATTTCTATGGGTTGGGCACCTTCAAACCCTGCTCCTCTAGTTATTTTGAAATACATAACTTTTGTAGGTTATAGATGCCCTGCTGTGCCATTGAACATCAGAACTTAGGTTGACTCTGACATTCATTTTCTCTCTTACACGCTTTGTCCTCAGCTCAAGCGCTTGTTCAGCAGCAGCAGCCTGGGTTCACTTTACACTGGATGCAGACTGACAGCACTGAGGTGAGCCCTCCCCTCTGTGCTGCCTGAGGGCAGTGGGGGAAGGAGAGGGCTGCTGGGGCTGGCCAGGCCCTGGAGTAGGTGAGACAAGGACACAGCACTGAAGGACGTCTCACTGTCAGCTGCCAATCCTGCATCTGCACACCTCTGAGAGAGATAGTCCTTCCTTAAACGCTGTATCCAGGGGCCTTACTAGCCTGATCCTACTCCTGGCCTTGCTTGGGGTGACAGGGAGTGGTTGGGTAGGGGGGACTTGAGATCATGCCAGATCCAGTGAGACAGTCATATTCATAAGATCTGACCAGGCCTCGCATGGCCTCCATTTATAAGGATCATGACAGGACAGTGTGGTCAGCTAGGCCCTCTTCAGAAAGCCCTGGGGCTGTTTTCTTTGACATCTCATGTGACCCCTCCCTCATATGCAAGGGATTGAGGCCTCAATGGATTGGCGAAGGGGTTACCTTGGCTTGGAACTCCCATGTCCCAAAGAGGAACCACTGCTGCTGTAGCAGTCCTCCTCCCCAGAAAACTGGGTCACCACACCAAAGGCAGTCCAGAGGTGTCACATCCTATGAGGTACCCACGTCCACTTAATAGCCTTCCAAGGAAAGATGCAGGTCGTCAATCCAGGATCATTCCCAGCCTGTGCAACATCCAGGGAAGACAGCTGACCCTGCACCTTTATCAAGGGTAACTAGGAGATCACAGCTAGAAGCAGCCTGGCTCAAGGTCACTTCCATCCTGCTGAGATACAAGGGACCTTCCATTTGTCTCCAGCAATGCTGTCTGGCAGTGCAACCTGCTGGTCCCTCCCCCGCCCCGCCCCTGCCTGGTTATCCCTCCAGCTTTCATTTGTCCTGCTACCCTAGAGACAGTAAAGGAGGAGGTGGGTGCCCACTGAGCAGCGTGGCTCTGCTACACAGTGTCTCGTGCTCAGATGCTCGGGTTCACAAACTGAGCAGGGTCAGCTCTCTAAGAGCTGAATGATTTCTAGTCAGAGGTGGGGTCCAGTCCCACCAGGGACTATGGGTACCCTCTAAATACCTGTGTACCTCAACAAAGGATTAATAAGGGACTACAATGCACCTGGTACCAGGACTGAATGTATGCTATCAACTATTTGTGAACCCATGACATTGCACCCAAGTGGTGACAGCACTGTTCCACACAGCAGAGCTGGGAGAGCTGAGGGTCAGGGAAGCTCAAGTGGATTATTCAACAGGTGGCACAGCTTTAAACAGGTGTAGAGAGACACTTCTCTGCCTTTCAAACATGCAGTCTGGTCCTCCATGGCCCCAAGACACCTGTTCTCTTGTTGATGGCCCCTGCAGGAGGGCAGATTAACAGGTGTCCACATACAAGGGGCCGAGGGAACAAAGTCCCAGCAAAGGAGGCTCCTCCATGCTCTCTTCATCCCTATGTCCTTACCTCCCTAGACCTGAGAAAGGTGGAACTGCCACTGGAGTGGACACCATCTGCACCCACCGTCCTGACCCTGCAGGCCGTGGGCTGGACAGGGAACAGCTCTACTGGGAGTTGAGCCGGCTGACCCATGGTGTCACCCAGCTTGGCTCCTACATCCTGGACAAGGACCATCTCTACATCAATGGTGAGTGTCCCAGGCCATGGTTGGTTGTGTGTGTGTGTGTAAGGGGGTTCTCTTGCTACCCAGGTGCATCCTGCTGTTGCTGCTGGGCTCTGACTAGGGGACTCATCAAATCTGTCAGCTTATAGGGTTCTTTCTGCCCCCCTTTTTTTCCTTTGGAAGTTGCCATTTCCTGTCATGAGCTAAATCACCCAGAGAAAGATGCATGAGCAGAGAAAGGTTGTATGAGGTGCTAGCCACCATGTGGAAAGGAAGCAATCTCCTACTGAAGGCTGCCCCCTCTAAGTCATTCTGATAGTAGCTGTCTTTCCACCGAGGGTCCAGCCCCTTGACCCTGTCCCTACCAGCTCTGAACAGCTCACCTCACTCTTCCTCACTCCTGCAGGTTACACCAGACCAGTCTTGACTTCTGTGCCCAGTGGTAAGTGTTCAACCCTCAGATGACCTCATGCCTCCCCAGCCCTACATGGGGACACCTGGTGACACCCTGCCACGTGCAGGGCTTCACAGAGGCAGGAAGCCTGGGGTAGGCGCTGGTTACTCACACCCCCCACCCCTCCATCAAGACTCCCTGTATCCCCCTCCAAGTTGGTGAAGCTGCATCGCCCCCACTTCTCATGCTTCTTCCTCAGTTGCTGTGGCCCTCTCTTTGGGAACCTCAGCTGCTCCAGCCTCTTCCCTCAGCCCCACAGGTAGGCGCCTTCTCACCTTGTCTCCTTTCTTCCTACCTCCTTGCCTCTCTGGTAAGCAATGAGAAGGGCAAAACAGAGTATGCACGGGCAGGTCAAGGCAAGTGGTCAGCGTGGGGAGGACACATCTTTGGATGGAGAGAGTTTACCGCTGGGTACAGCATAGAGCACTTATGAAATGCCAGCTGTTACTCTTGCTGCACTCTTTTCATTGTCCTCATTATTACTGCGATTATTAGTGTCTTTCAAGATAACGTTTCCCATCCTAGGAGAGGCACTTTGAGCTCGTGTACCAGATGTGAATGCCCTGGGAGATGGGTCCAGAGTCTTCCCGGTTCCCTTGCCCCCAGATCTAGCTCAGTCCTGATTCAGGGTGTGACTTTTCCTCTCCCAATCTGAACACAGCTGCTGGCCCTGCCCTGGCGCCCTTTACTCTTAACTTCACCATCAACAACCTGAATTATACGGAGGACATGCAGCCTCCAGGCTCTGGGAAGTTCAACAAAATAGAAAAAGTTCTCCAACGCCTGGTAGGAGTCCCGCCCACCTCCCTCCTGCCCTGCTTACAGATGCTAGCCCCGCCCACTGGTGCCAGCCCCGCTCCTGACCCACTCAGACCTTTCCCTCATCTGCCTTATTCTTCTACTTCAACAGCTGTCGCCCTTGTTCAAGAGCAGCACTGTTGGCTCGCTCTACTCTGGCTGTAGACTGACCTTGCTCAGGTGAGACCTCAGGAGAAGATGGCCCAGCTAGCCATGCTGGAAATTCTTATGCATACAAGGGGATAAGGCAGAAAGAGCCGCACCATACACAATCTAACTTTCCCTATGACACCCCCATAGTGTTCTCAGGAACCCTCCTCCGATAGTTCCTTGGATCCTCCCATCCCCAGGCCTGGGAATGGTGGGGCGGCCACTGTGGAATCTTGACTTTGGCCTCGCAGACTCTCTCTCTGCCAAGGGTCTCACCCCAGGGATCTCAGCCTCCTTCCCCAGTCTCTTCAGGACTCTCCTCTCCTGTCCTCCCCAGGCCCAGGAAGAATGGGGCAGCCACAGAGGTAGATGCTGTCTGTACCTACCGCCCAGACCTTATGGGCCCCAAGCTGGACAGAGAGCAGCTGTACTGGGAGCTGAGCCAGCTGACTCATGGTGTCACTCGGCTGGGCAACTACACCCTAGACCAGGACAGTCTCTACGTCAATGGTGAGCAGTGGCCGTCTGTGCTTGGCCCTTCCCAGCCTCCTTGAAGCCTTCCCTGCCTCCCAGCACCTCCTCTCTCCTTCCCTCTCCCTCTGCAGGTTACACCCACAAGGCCGCAGCACCCATCCCTGGGGGTGAGTATTCTGTGACCCCCACGATGCTGCCTCTGCCAGAGAAGGAAGCAGGTGTCCCCTAGCCACACCTCCAGCTGTCAGAGAGGAGGTCCTAGGGATACAGGGAAGTCAGTGCAGTAAGAACCATCTGTCAATCACTTCTGTGTTGTTGGCTAGACCCTGAGAAATGCCACTGAATGTTGGACGCGAGGAGATTGGGTAGATGAAGGCAGGCGAATAACACAATGTAAATTCTCAGAATCTTAGGTTGTAAACTGTCTCGTCCAAAGCTTATAGCTCCCAAATCATTTCCTCCGTCGTCCACAGTGTGTGATAATCTGGGGTCCATAAATTGATGTTTCTAGCATCAGGGCCTAAGGACCTTCAGCCGTTGGCTAGGGTCTTCAGTAAGGTGGTCCCTGGCCTCAGGCTACAGCCCCAGGCTTGGTCTGCCCTATCATCAGTCCCAGGTCTGATCGTTCTTTCTCATCCCTGCTACAGCCACAGCACCATCCCTGGTGCCATTCACCCTCAGCTTCACCATCACCAACCTGCCCTATGCGGACGGCATGCAGTCTTTAGGTTCCTGGAGGTTCAACACCACGGAGGAGGTCCTGCAGGGCCTGGTGAGAGCCATGCTTGCCTCCCACCCACTGGTGTCAGCCTCACCCCCACTCACACCCTGCCCCTTACTGTCTGTCCTGCCTACCTACCCTTTCTCTCCCACACTGGGGACCACCTTGCCCTGCCAGTGCTGCCTGGCTACCCTCTGCCTCCCACACTGATGATCACCCCCTCCCATGATGATCTGATTTTCAGAGCGTCTCTCCTGTCTCCCCTCCTTCACAGCTTGGGCCCTTGTTCAGGAACACCAGCATCGGCCCTGTGTACTCTGGTTGCAGACTGACCTTGCTCAGGTGAGACCTTAGGATACTCAGCCAAGGGGTTTGGTCAGCTTCCTTCCCGCCCTCCTCATGAGTGGAGCAGGTGCAGTTATGGAGGTACTGGCTCCAGGACCACGGTATCCCCTTATCTTGCTAACCTACCTCGTGCCCCCAGGTTCTCCAAGTCTCTGAGCAGGACAGATCCCGACCCTGGTCCTCTCTTCTAAATTCCAGGTTTTCTCCCTTCCTTCAAACAAGACAGGCACCTCTTCTAGATTCTCAATTCTGTCTGCAGGAACTCTTTCAAGACAAACTTGCCTTCTCCACTTGTGTTAGTCTCCAGTTCTGGCCCTTCACAAGCTGAAGCAGGAGCTCTCCAGGCCCCATGCCTGAGCCCTCAGGTTCTGTCTCAATCACTTGCTGACATCTCTCCCACCCCTGTCTCTGCTCACAGTGTCAGCGTGGCCAGAAGTCGGTGCACTTGGAGCCCCAGAGTCAGTCTGCTTAGCTCGCTCTCTCCCAGGCCTCACACCTTCTCTGCCCCTTCCTGTCCTGCCGTGGGAATTCCAGGATCCCCCACGCCAGGGGATGCATTTATCATCATCTGCTCACTCATCCTCCCCAGGCCCAGGAAGGATGGGGCAGCCACAGAGGTGGATGCCGTCTGCACCTATCGCCCTGACCGCACAGGCTCCAAGCTAGACGCAGAACGGCTGTACTGGGAGCTGAGCCAGCTGACCAGTGGTGTCACCCGCCTGGGCAACTACACCCTGGACCAGGACAGTCTCTACATCAATGGTGAGCAGTGGCTGTCTGTGCTTGGCCCTTCCCAGGCTCCTTGAAGCCTTCCCCACCTCCCAGCACCTCCTTTCTTCTCTTCCCTCTCCTCCCTGCAGGTTACACCCACCAGGCCACAGCACCCATCCCCGGGGGTGAGTACTCCGTGACCCCAGAACACCGGATCCAAATCCAGGGCCACATCTGCAGCTGTAGGGAGGGAAGGAGTCGGGGGTGCAGGCTGTCGGTGGCTGTGAATGCATGGAGCCAGGTAGAAACACTGCTAACAGGAATCTCAGCTTGTCAACAGTCTCCTTTAAAGCTTGGTGGCTTCCAAATGATTCCCTCTTTCACCTGCAGCGTGTGGCACTCCTGCATCCATATCTGTTGTTTCTGGCATTAGGGTCTAAGGAGTCTCAGCCATTGCTAGGGTCTCCAGTAAGATGGGCCCTGGTCTCAGGCCTATGGCCCCAGGCTCTGCCTGCCCCTGTATTTGTCCCTGGCCTCACTGAGAGTGGTCTCTCCTCTTCTTCCCCTGCTGTAGCCACAGGACCACCCTTGGTACCATTTACTCTCAGCTTCACCATAATGAACCTGCAGTACACGGATGGCATGCAGCCCGCAGGCTCCTGGCAGTTCAACACCACAGAGAAGGTCATGCAGCGCCTGGTGAGGGCCACATACACCCACTATGCTCCACCCAGCGGGGCCAGCACTGCTCACTGCATGCTTGCCCTGCCCAGTGCTGCCTGGCTACTCTCTGCCTCCCACACTGGTGACCTCTGACTCTCGAGCATCTCCCCTGTCTCCCTCCTCCACAGCTTGGGCCCTTGTTCAGGAAGACCAGCATCGGCCCCCTGTACTCCGGCTGCAGACTGACTTTGCTCAGGTGAGAATTTAAACAGCCCACTGAGGGGTCAACTTAGCTTCCTTCCTGCCTTCCCTGTGAATATCCTCAGCGTGGGTGGAATTCAGGGGGACCTGGAACCAGGCCTATGGCGTCTCCTAATCCTCCTAAGGCCCTGGATTGTCCTCAGGTTCCATCAGCTTAGATCAGCAGAAGGGGACTCCTGCCATGGTCCTTTATTACTCTCCCTCTCTTCGAACAAGACAGGCACCTCTTCTAGATTCTCGATTCTGTCTGCAGGAACTCTTTCAAGACAAACTTGCCTTCTCCACTTGTGTTAGTCTCCAGTTCTGGCCCTTCACAAGCTGAAGCAGGAGCTCTCCAGGCCTCATGCCTGAGCCCTCAGGTTCTGTCTCAATCACTTGCTGACATTTCTCCCACCCCTGTCTCTGCTCACAGTGTCAGTGTGGCCAGAAGTCAGTGCACTTGGAGCCCCAGAGTCAGTCTGCTTAGCTCTCTCTCTCCCAGACCTCAGACCTTCTCTGCCCCTTCCTGTCCTGCCCTGGGAATTCCAGGATCCCCCACGCCAGGGGATGCATTTATCATCATCTGCTCACTCATCCTCCCCAGGCCCAGGAAGGATGGGGCAGCCACAGAAGTGGATGCCGTCTGCACCTACCGCCCTGACCTTATGGGCCCCAAGCTGGACAGAGAGCAGCTGTACTGGGAGCTGAGCCGGCTGACCCATGGTGTTACCCGCCTGGGCAACTACACCCTGGACCAGGACAGTCTCTACGTCAACGGTGAGCAGTGGCCGTCTGTGCTTGGCCCTTCCCAGCCTCCTTGAAGCCTTCCCCACCTCCCAGCACCTCCTTTCTCCTCTTCCCTCTCCTCCCTGCAGGTTATACCCATCAGGCTGCAGCACCTACCTCCAGGGGTGAGTACTCTGTGATCCCAGAACACCAGATCCAAATCCAGGGCAACAGCATCCATCAACAGCACATCTGCAGCTGTCAGGGAGGGCAAAGTTATTACAGTCAGAACAAGCTGTCAGTCTATTCTGCGCTGGTGACTGGACCCAAGATGGATGGGGGAAGTAGAGGAGCAGTTCCATAGAAACACTGCCAATAAGATCTCAGATTGTCAAGTGTTTCCTGCAAATCTCTGTAGCTTCCAAATCGTTCCCACCTTTCACCCACAGCCACTGATTGTCTAACATCCATGACTGGTGTAAAGGGAATGAGGGCCTAAGGACCTTCCACCATGGCCAGGGTTCCCAGTGGGATGGTCGCTTGTCTCAGGCCTGTGTTCCCAGGCCCTGTCTGTCCCCTGTATCCATCCCATGCCTCTCCTCTCCCTCCCCTGCTGCAGCCCCAGGGCCACCCCTAGTGCCGTTCACCCTCAACTTCACCATCACCAACCTGCACTATGCAGAGGGCATGCAGCCTCCAGGCTCCTGGAAGTTCCAAAGAACAGAGAAGCTCCTGCAGCACCTGGTGAGAGCCGCGCAAGCTCACTCCTGCTCTGTCCTGTGGGGCCGACGCTGTCCCCAGTGCGAGGCCTGCCTACTCTCCCTCTGTTTAGCCAGCTGATGATGGCAGCCAGTGATGGTGACTGCCTTGCCTGCGCCACAGGCCCTCTAGTCTCTGTGCTTCTTCTCTGCAGCTCGGGCCACTGTTCAAGAACACCAGTGTTGGCCCCGTCTACTCCAGTTTCAGACTGACCTTGCTCAGGTGAGACCTTAGGAGAGCAGGTCAGGACTGCCCCAGGTGCTTGCAGGCTCAGGACTTGGCCCCCAGCAGAAATGGAATTCAAGAGGCAGTGGCAGGACCAAGAGATCTTATTCTTCCAAAGGACATGCTGTCCTCAAATTAGGCAATTCCATCAACAGCACCGAACTCTTACCCCTGCTTATGTTTTCTGAATTCCCCATTATCTCTCTCCCTTTGGTCACAAAGGGCATTTCTTGTTGGTTTTCAATGCTGTTCCTAGGCATTCTCTCAAAACCAAAAAGGGCCCTTTCCACTTGCCCTGATCCCTAAGTCCAGCTGTCCCCCTGACTTGGGCTGAGCTCTCCAGTCCCCACATTTTGCAGCATCTAGGTTTTGGCCCCACTGCATACTCACGGTTCTCCCACTCAGCAGCTCCGTGTGCTGTCCCAGGCTGGCCAGAGGTGGGTGCATTCAGACACTTTGGTCTGGCTGCTCACCTCTTTGCCAGCCTTCTTATCCATCCCACCCTGCCCTGGGATCCCAGGACCCTACCTTAGGGAAACCCATGCATTGTCCTCTGCTCACTGGTCCTCCCCAGGCCGAGGAAGGACGGGGCAGCCACAGAAGTGGACGCCGTCTGCACTTACCGCCCTGACCCCACGGGCCCCAAGCTGGACAGAGAGCGGCTGTACTGGGAGCTGAGCCGACTGACCCACAGCGTCACCCGTCTGGGCAACTACACCCTGGACCAGGACAGTCTCTATGTCAATGGTGAGCAGTGGCTGTCTGTGCTCTGTTGTACAGCAGAGGCTGCAGCCTCCCCTCTGTGCCTCCTGTAAGCCTTCCTGACCTCCCAGCACCTCCTCTCCCCATCTCTCTCTTTCTCTCTCCTCTGCAGGTTACACTCATCACACTACAACCAGCACCACCAGTGGTGAGTGTTCAGGGAGCAACAGCCCTCTGTCCACACCCACCACAGTCAGGCAGGGGAAAATTGCAGGGGTACAGGGCAGTGGTTGCAAGAATTGGGTCGGGGGTGAGCCACCTCTGTCTTCCTGGCCACTTCTGGCAGCAGAGAAATGCCTGCTAAAAGAGTGTTGAGCGGATGGAAGGAGGAAGGTGGGTGGACGACTCAGTGACATCCTTTAAGCAGGCATGCTAGGTTGTAAAGTCTCTCCTTCTGAGCTTGGTAGCTTGCAAGCCATCCTTGCCTTCACTGGCAGCACGTGATGGCCTAGTGTCTACAGCCCATGTTTCCAGCACTGGGTCTCCCAGCTGTTGCTAGGGTCACCAGTGAGGTAGTCTATGGACACAGGCCTAGGGCACTAGTCCCTGCCTGCTCCTGTGCCTGCAGCTGGCCTCACTCAGCACGGCCTCTCCTCTCCCTCCCCTGCTGCAGCCACAGAACCAGCCCTGGTAGCCTTCACTCTCAACTTCACCATCACCAACCTGCTCTACACAGAGGCCATGCAGCCTCCAGACCCCTGGAAATTCAACACCACAGCAAGGTTCCTGCAGAGCCTGGTGAGAGCCATGCCCACTCACCCTCCAGCCCTTTTCCTGCCTCTCCCACCCTGTGTGGGTGTCCTGGGTCCTGGTGCCAGGCCCTGCCTCCCTGCCCTCTTGCACACTGCTGGTGTCCGCTCTGCCTGATGGTGATTGCCTTGCCCTGATTCTCAGCCCATCTCTGTCTCCCTCCTCCACAGCTTGGGCCCTTGTTCAGGAACACCAGCATCGGCTCCCTGTACTCTGGCTGCAGACTGACCTTGCTCAGGTGAGGCCTTAGGATACTTGGCCAGGGTTGCCCTGCTGGCCCTAGGTCCCAGGGACTTTGGCTGGCTTCCTCCCTCCCTCACCCCTCACCCCATGAGTGTCCTCAGCAGAGAAGGAGTTCAGGAGGCATTGGCTCCAGCAACCAGGGGCTTTCACCTCCTGATATTAACTCCCCTCACAGACCACCAGAGTTCAACAGCAGGACGGGCCCTACCCTGGTCTTCCCATCTTTTTTTTTTTTTTAATTATTTGAAAGGCACAATTAGAGAAAGAGAAAGAGAGAGATGTCTTCCATTTGCTGGTTCACTCCCCAAATGGTCCCAACAGCCAGGGCTGGCCAGGCTGAAGAGCCAGGAGCTTCTTCTGGGGCTCCCACATTGGTGCAAGAGCCCAAGCACTTGGGTCATCTTCTGCTGCTTTCCCAGGCCATTAGCAGGAAGCTGGATAGGAAGAAAAGCAGCTGGGACTCAAACTGACGCCCATAGTGGATGCTGGAATCCAGGTGGTGGCTTATCCTGCTACACCAATGCTGGCCCCATGGTCTTTCCTTCTGAATCTCCTCCCTGTTGCCCTTGTACCAATGGGTGCATCTCCTTTGGGTTTTAAGTTCTATCCCCAAGATGTCTTTCAAAACAAACATGCTTTCTCCACTTGCTTTGATCTCTGAATCTACTTATTTGCTTGTTTCAGTCAGATTTAGTTATTTGCAATTTTATATATATATATATATGTATATTTAGAAAAACAATCTGGTACCCACAACCCTGCTCAGTACCAGGCTGGCTAGAAGCTGGTGCACTCCCGAGTCCAAGTCTGGCTTCTCACTTCTCTGCTGGCCTTGTCACTCCTGCCAGCTCCGTCCTGCCCGGACTCCAGAACTCTTTGGACTCCTTTCCTGGGCAAATCCATTCATTGTCATCCCCATAACTCCCTCTTCCCAGGCCTGAGAAGGATGGAACAGCCACCAGAGTAGATGCCATCTGCACCTACCGAGCCCACCCCACAGACCCTGGGCTGGACAGAGAGCAGCTGTACTGGGAGCTGAACCTACTGACCCACGGCGTCACCCAGCTGGGGCCCTATGCCTTGGACCAAGAC